AACTCTCAAAGGGGATGACAACCTAGTCCATGAAATAAATTACGTCCTACTTTTCTGCACCGTGTGGGCAACGCCATGCAGGGTTCATTGGGGGTAATTTTGCCAGGACAGCGGCATTAGTCTGCTCTATTTCCATTTCCAACTGTCGAGCGAACTTTAACGTGCACAGCCTGTAGCACACGGGGTCTCGGTTTACGGTCCCATTCGAACGACTAAATGCTTTTTCCATGTCAGACCCTCTTACTTGCATCGCTGACAGGGAAAATCCGTATTATCTCGACCTTTGTCGGGATTGAACCTTGGATTTTCAGGTTCGCGAGCAGGCGTCTAACATACTGAGCTACCGCGGCTCCCCAACCCAGTTCCAAGAGGGACGTCAGGTGAGTAAGTCTTACCTCAATTCCACTGTCCCTTTTTACGGTTTCATCAATAGACAGAGATCGACGGGTATGCCTAATTCCTTTATCTTGCTGAAAAAAAGAATCGATTTTTATTCAAATGACGATTATAGCTCAACTACCACCGCCCCCCCCCCCCCCCCCACCTTCCTTCCTCACATCATTGCATCCAGGGGCGTTTCAATTCCATGTAGAGGGGGGGATGAAAGATGAAGCGAGACCCGAAGTGTCAGATACCAGATTATAAGCAACACTGTTTACAGTCTATCTGTCGAGGGCTCTGATTGGCTGTATTCGCAAGCGCACAATACAGTCAAATCACTGCATTCTTTGATATAAGAATAGTGGCTATTGCAGTCAAGGTATAAGACGAAGTTCGTAATAGCTTGACATTGTGAAGATGACCAACCTGTCTCAGTGCTTCTTTTATATCAAACTGTATGTGAGACATTTCTCTATAAAGAGAATCAAGAGTCTTGTCGAAGTTTGCTCGATCTAACAACGTCTTGACCTTGTATTCACACTCCAAACAGGTTCTATAGACTTCACAATGTGTATATTTCTGTACGAGGTCCTAAAAAAGAACAAAGTTTATTCTTAGACAAAACATATTCGGAATATGAAGCTGATTTAATCTCACAACTAATGCTTCATACTTTGGGTTCAAGCCCGGGGGTACCTAGAAAAAGAACAAAAAACGATGGGTGTCTCTAACGGGAAAGCCCCGAATGGGGGGTCGGAGTTACTTGAGATACAGGGGTCCCCACACTCCCCTAAATACGCTACTGACTTCCACTTAGTTTTTCACGAGGCTGTTTGCGTTCATCTTACTGAAAAATCCGTTTAAAAACTTACGTCAAACGTGTCGGATAAAAGAATTTCGGGCTGACCATCACGAGTTCCGTCTGAAAAGAGCACCAGTCGCTTACTGGAACACTTTTTACAATATATACGGGTACACTGCATACATAACTTTCTGTTCTTGGGTACCAGAATACTGTCGTTACATTTATTACATATACTGTCACGCCCAGCTTTCTACAAAACATAAATAATGTAGTGATGGGGCCAGTGGATAAATGCAGATGATAAATATGTGTCAGAATGCACTATACCAATTTAAAAAGTCTTGTGCCCATGCGGCCCCATTTTAAATCTCAACCAGTGGGTGCTAAAAACGCCTCTGATCTAAACCGTAACAGTAAAAGATTTAAACTGTTGTTTCCCCATAAAAACAGTCTGTCCCCTATTTTGTAACCCCAGTCTCGTGGGGCTGGCACCGTTACTGAATCTAATCGAATGTGTATGTATGAATAAATGAAAATAATGAATTTCATCTTTAAATGGTCGTACCAATATAGCATTGCCAACAGCTTTCACTGGTTTCACCAAACCACCTTTGGATCTGCTCATCATGAAATTGTCAAGAACAGGACGACACAACTCCGCTACTTCCGCACCAAATCTGTTCAAAAAGAACGGCATTTGATTGGTTTGATTTTTTCCTGACCTCAGAACCTAGATCGTGTCTAGTAATGTAAACGGGTTACAGAGTGGTTGATGAATCAAGATAGAATCACCAACGAGAGATATGTTTTAGTTTCGTTAAGGAAGAAAGGAAGGGGGTGGAGGAAGCACGTGAGAGGAAATGAAAGAAGGGAGGAAGGAATGAAAGGCGAGTATCCAGGTACAGGAAGGAAAGACAGACAAAAAAAATGAAATGAAGGGAGTTTTACGTCCTACTTTTCTGCACCTTGTGAGCTTATAACGGGCGACCCCCTGCAGGGTACCATAAGGGAATTTTTGCCAGGACAGCGACATTGGCCTGCTCTTTTTCGATTTTCAACTTTCGAGGGATCTTTAACGTGCACAGCCTGTAGCACACGGGGCCTCGGTTTATTGTCCCATCCGAACGACTAGACTTTTTCAATGTCATTCCCTCTTACCTGCATCACTGACAGGAGGAAACCGGTTTGAATAAATCCGAAGGTATTATCTGGACCGATGTCGGGATTGAACCCTGGACCTTCAGGTCAGCGAGCAAGCGTCTAATTCACTGAGCCACCGCGGCTCCCGAGAGACAAACAAGAAGGGAGAAAAGGGAAGAAGGGACCAGAAGGAAAAGGAGAAAGAGACATAAGAGCAAAGGCCATGAAGGGGTATGAAGGAGATGAAGGAAAGAAATGGGATGAATGGTTGTTTGAACCACATACATACCGTTGTCTAGAGATGTCCATCGCTAATGAAAATGATGAACGAAGCGAGTCCTTGTTCCTCATCTTTCTAAAAGCGTTAGACAACGACGTGATTTGCCCAACACACTGTTCATTAAAAATACAACTATCTTTGGATCCATAACAGAAAAAACACACCTGAAACGAAAATAAAACAAGATAAATTGTAGGAACGCTGTATAAAAATAAAACAGATGAAGTATACTGAAAATGACAAATATGAATTGTAGAAACGGTGTACATAAAAAAAATAGCTGTAGTGTACCAAATAAACTGCCCGAGCTGCTCCCACCCCCTACAACTTCTCCTTCGCCTATGAAATTGACAGTGTAAATTGTTGAAACTTTGTCTTCAGTTGTAGTATTAAGAAATTTGAGGTCATAAGGTCAAACAGCTAATGACTAATTTAGGTTAATGCAGTGGCTCAGCAAGATGAGTGGGGACCCGGAATTTTATTTTAACCACTTTGGTGGTAAGTTTCATAAATTATAATATTCAAACAACACTTATTACCCTATGAAAATATCCTCCCTGTTCAATTTGGGCGTTTTCATCCAATCGCATTTTCAGTCCGGAACAAGCAAAACAGAACACTTTCCCACATCTGGAAAAATATCAAAATTTGTTGAATACGGGTCGAAGCGGACATCAGCTCGAAGGCACTGGCTGTGTATTAAAAACGTTAAAAAGTCATGTGACAAAGAGGCATACACAATGTTTCCTTTGAACAATGTTATTCGTTGCGGCCAATCAAAACTTGAACACATAACAATGTTTTTTTTTATTTTCAACGGACAAATATCCGTCGTCTGCGCCTGGTTTTTAACCAATCAAAGCTTATCATATAGGACAATGGAGGGGCAATGGGGTATGGTGTTTCGTTGTAGTAATGGAATTGGCTAGTTGTCAGGGGAGTTATGTATATTTTCGGGTAGCATTGCCCCCCCCCCCCTCCCTGTAGCTCAGGTCCCAGATGAATTGGATTAGCAGTAAGGGATTGTAACATTTGTTGCACAATAGCCAGAACAGGGAAAATCCGAAGGGAATCGAAAGTAGAAATTACCTTCTGCAGTGATGTCGCCGGAAGAAAATAGTAAATTTCCTTAAGCAACCATAACAGATTGGGTGGGCTGAATCCGGTTCCCAATGGTCTTTACAAATATCTATAAATAGATCAATCAATCAATCAAATAAGTCACGTAATCTTAAAACATGTGATTATTACATAACTGACATCAAAGAAATCGCCTGGGTAATCTCGTCAATCTGATTGAGTAGATTATCCAGACACAATTATTGAAATGGTACCGCCCTACATTTCTGAGCCACATTATAAAAAAATCTTTTGACAAATTCTGTCGTAAGTATTGTATAGGCATTTGGCCAGGAGAGAGGCATTATTTTTAAGTGAGGATGTTTTACATGCACAACCCCTAGCCTGGCACCTTGAAGAGTTTCCCGCCATATCTGCGCAATCAGACGTGTCAGTTTCTTGAAAATGGATTGAATTCCATGACACTATCCAGACCCATACGGGATCGAGTCCTAAACCCATGGTCTAACGGGACCATAGCCGACTCAAAGATGCCTGTTTAGCCTACTAGGCCTATAATATGGAGTTTTAAAGAGATCATCCCGTATCACTTTTAACTTTCAAGCATAAAAATAAATTCAAAACTCAATTTGTTTATGGTGCGAGCACACGGAAGGTCGTGATCGGTGATTTTTGTTGCCGACTAGAGTCTTGTCCAGAGTTTCACGAAACGAAAATCTCCAGTCGATCGCTTTCCACCATGTCGATGATCACGTGTGGGTCATGCAATTGAAAGGAAAATGTCTTGCAGACGATAAAAGTATTGGAGATAATTATCAAACGTGTTAGTTATTATAATCTTGTCGTGGATTTTTACTCAAGTTTCTAGTCGGCGATAAAAATCTCCGATCAAGATCGTTCGTGTATTCGCACCTTTACAAGTTAATAAATGTGAAACCCCTTTCTCCCCACCAAAACAGTAATTACACTTACTTGGGCGAAAACAGGCAAATAAGTTGTGCTTTTTGTGGGTTTTTCTTTTTTCTGGAGTCAAATCCGGGGCAGAAGCCCATGGCGTCATTCTCATTTCATAAGGAAACTTTTCCTTTTAATAGAGAAAAAAACATAATAAAACAAGGTATTACGTTTAAAGTTGATCCGTTATTTTGGTCAATAAATACAGCCAAATGCACCATAGATCCGATAATATTTAAGGATGTGGCGCCAGGCAGGGTATGTATACTCTTCTAAACACCTGATACCACTTTTCATCGTGAAACACTCACTTATGATTGATATACTTCCTCATGTGAAAGGTTCATTAGCTGCTACTAATGTTGCTCCAAAATATTTGTTTTGGATTGAGTCTCGTTTTGCGGTTCGAATCGTTATAGTAGACTACTTGTTTTATTTATGCCTTCAAAATAATATCAAGCCCTTTATACGGCACAATACACAATACAAAAATGAGTGGGAGAGCGTTTGAAAAAAACAACTCATTACACAAAAAACGTATTCATACTGCACACCATAATCCATTTTTTCATATCCATAAAAGGCAAGGCACAGGGCACTAATACTTTCCTTGAGAGTGTTTTTATTTATATTATGACGAAATCGCTGAGTAATTGTTTATGTTATTATTACAAATAATCCGAAAATTGTTGAATCTTATAAGTTATTTAGTCAGCTAGTCTATTCTGTCAGGTGGAAGAAAGGCAAGCGTTGGTAAAACTAATAAAAGTGTCAAACGCCGCCATAAAATCTACATTCGTAGCCTGCATATAAAAATGTGACCCCCCCCCCCCCCCCCCCTCCCTCCTTCATTCCTTGACATCATTAGGTACCTTTCTAGTATCACAAACGTTTGTGAATGTTTCGATTTGATTGGATTGTACGCTAACGAATACAGCCAATCAGAGCCCTCGACAGAAAGACTGTAAACAAAGTGGCTACACGTGTGATCGGTAGGCTATGATTGGCTGTATTCGCTAGCGTACAATCCAATCAAATCGCTGCATTTACAATCGAGAAAGATTGCAGTCGAGGTATTAGATGGAGTTTGAAACATACGAATAGTGACTATATATATTGAACATGTATAAGGACCCCGTAACAGACACACATTAGTCAGGGTAAGGTTACATTAAACCACTCTGCGTCTGGGATTTCAACGATGAATATTAGGTAATATTGAAGTTTGTATTTGTTTATGTCAGTGACATTCGGGCTACAAACATCATGAGAAACTAGAAGGCGTTCACGAGACCTCGTTTTACAAGTGTTTCGGGAAATCCACTATTTTGAAATGAGGTCGAAACGTGTCACGAAATGTCAAAGAAGTAATTAATCGAGCGCATGTGACAGTGTCAGTGCCACACACCCTTTGATTTGCATGAACGATTACAGCCGAAATATCTTGGTCCTTTCGTGTACGAGGCAAAGAATTAATAGAAGTGTTCATGCAAAGGTTTTTATCAGAGGTAAATCAGTGCCTTGGTTCATGACCCCATGTGACAGCCAATCAAGTCGTAAGACTTTAATTTGTTTAAAGGGACATATGTGGCATATTTGGGGTTGATTGTAGTCTTGAATATTATGTAAATAGTCTGCAGAAGGGCTAGAAATTTTCGAAAATCGCATTATTCCTTCCAAAATGTCTCAAATAGAAATTTCAACAATTCATTATCATTTAAGCACAATTTTTCTTGGTTTGACACCATTTTTGAGACACACTCTTTTTAGGAACGATGTATTTAGGTAGGCACTTATTCAATAAGTAACACTGTATTTAAAGTAGCCTATTGTGCCTAAAAAGAAGAAAGAGCAATTTCCTTTTCGTTCCTGAAAATATCTGTGCCTATGACATTGCGCCTGATTTTAGAGTGCCTTAAAAGGGTGCCGAAATTTCTCTGTCTAGCGGACTTGTGCCTAACAGATACAGTGCCTAAATAACGCTGTGTCTAACTGGTCTGTACCTTACTGACCGAGTGCCTAACAAGAATATACCTAAAGTACTTTGCCTACTCTGCCTAAAAAGGGTGCCTGAATTTTTTCTATCAAACTGCAGACATGTTCGTAAAATATTTGTGCCTAGCCTATGGCCACATATACCCAACTCAGACCCGAATACAAACTTGTAAGTACAGGTAATGGAGGAACAATGATGTATGGTGTTTATTTGCAGTAATAGAATTGGCTTTCATGAGTGCCCCACCTCCCCTGTAGCTATGGGCATGACCCAACGCAGAGATGAATTACGTAGGATTTCTAAAAAGAGAAGAGAAGAACCAATGAACGCAGGTCAGAATGACCTGAAGAAATGAAATGTCGGGAGAATAACGAACTGTCTTACCTCAGCAGGCGCCATTTATACAGTCAATGGTCCAAATATCAGTCTATGTTATATGAAGTAATAACATATTTGTTTATAATGCAGTCTTTACATCCTTGATGAAGACTTTAAAGTGAAAGTAGGATTTCGTAATATCCGAGACATATATTATCGGAAATTCCCAATACAAATAATTTCTATATTCTTCGAGAATTGAGTATAAATAGAATAGACTGGTATGTTTTGCTACTCTGTGGAGATGTCATAAGGTGTGGGCACACGAACGGTCTTTGTCGGAGATTTTTGTTAGAGTCTTGTCAATAGTTTCACCGACCCGCACGGACACACGAGGAGACAAGAATCTCCGGTCTGTCGCTTTCAGTTGCAATTGAAAGGCAAATGAATCTGATTTTCAACCTTGTGTGATATTATAAATCCTGCCGGGAACGCGATGATCTTGTCGTGGAAGTACGGGCACACGCGAGATTTTACTCAAGACAAATACCTCCGACGAAGACCGCTCGTGTGCCCGCACCTTAACCAGTTCTCTGAGATCAAGAGAAATAAATCTCTAATCTTTGCGTTTCCTAGAATAACCAGAGATACTTGCAGCTTGTAGCGCCCGTCTATTCCCATCAAGGCAGAATGGAAAATTCTCCCAAAATCTACCATAAACGCTACTTTGCTGGACGGATATTACCAAATAATTTCCTTTCCGTTTTAAACTGAATCAGTGCATTTCCCGTACATAAAGACTACACGGAAGAAGATTTTAACTTTGTTTCTTGTGTTTGGAAAAAGGCTAAGATTCGGTCAGATTTATGAATTTAGTGGAGCACTTCATCGGTTCCTGTTTATATTCATATTTGGGTTTATGAAGACGATCTAACATCAAGTTCTGTGCAATCAGGGAAATTTTACCAATTTATGCTTTTTTTTTCATTTCTGTATAGCCTCCTGTAGCCTGACCAGTACTCCTAGGGGGGCAAGCTCGCAATCGAGGGGGGCAATTTAGCAAAGCATCTTGACAGACGATTAAACGTCGAGAAACGGACTTTCATGGAGTATTTGAGATTCGAGATTATTTTTGTTAAAACACACAAGTTATAATACGTTATATTTTTATTGCCGTTTTAGTTTAAACGTAGTCGGGTATGTTTTATGGCAAAACGTTGAACAAATACTCCAAGTTAATTTTCTGGGTACTCTTCCTGTTCAAGGCAAGTAGAACAAGATTGCGCTGGCGAAGCTGAGTCATAGACCGTCGTTGTGGTGAGTCAACGCGAGTAAGAGTTGAAAAGCTGCTTTCACACACAGCGGTACTAGAACCGAAACTAGAACAGCCAGTGCATATAATTTGGGGAAAACCAATTTCTGCTCGTATAGTTTTTGAAGAACAAAATTGAAGTCCTGCTTTTCTGTCTTGGCAACGTTATCTTGGAGAAATTGTTTTGACACCTCAAGTTCAGCGACAAAGGGAATTTCTACTCCAGGCTTGGATGACGGTGTCAGAGCCGCCTGATCAAGAGAATTCCGAGACATTGCACGAGTGGAATTATACAACCAGTGATTGTCCTGAAAACTCATCCTCATCTCATTCAGAATCAAGTCGATAACTTCAAAGAATATTCGTTTAGTTGTGCTAATGTCATTGTTATCTAACATCCCATGTTGACCGATCGTTTCTAGGACATGAAAGTCGTCTAATCGTGTATTAAGCCTTCTCACTTACTCCACCATAAAATGCCTGACCAGAATGACCACTGTTGGCCATTCACTCAGACTCAGTTACCTGCCGCTCCTATTGACTCAGGAAAAAGAAAAGGTGTATTTTAAATAAGCGACCGGTACAAGCCCCCCAATCCCCCCCTTGGCTGCGTTCCTGGCTCTGATATTATTCAACTGAGTACGAATTAGTAAAACTGTGTGGGTACGTTTTTCCTACGGTCACATGATCAAGTCTTCCCAGAATTCAAAGCAAACCGGAAACGACACAGAGCGGTGAAAATATTTTTACTGTGTTTTTGTTTGCTTATTTTACAAAAACAATTGTATGATTTTTAACAAGTAGTAAGTTTTTAATGATTAATAAACTAGGGAACGTTTCCATTTGCAGGTTTTAGCGAAATACTTATTGCATGCGTTAATATCTGATTTAAAATTGGCTTCATTTGCGAGCTGAACCACGTCGGCTTTCTTTGTCACGTGGTCGCCATTTTTTGGAATCGGAAATTCCTAAAGAATGCATTGCATATTGTTTTATATCCATGGTGCATGATTTCTAAAGCGAAGGCAAGAATTCGTAGGTCCTTCATTTCGTAACTTGTTGACGATTCGCTGTGCATCTGCGTGTCCTACTTTTGGCGTCTTTTCCCAGTTCTATTTTGGCGGCCATCTTGTTTGTTTATTTTTTGGTTGTTTTGAAATTGCAATTTTACTAAGGTGTGAAACCTGTATTTACTACCATTTAGTGTTCAATTCTGCTTCCTCATTCAGATGTGTACTTCAGAAAGGTCAAGATAAATCTTGCACTATTTCTGTCATCTTGTCAGATATCTGCAAAAAGTTTTTCCCTAACAAAAATAGAGTGCAATTTTGTAGGCTTACAAGGGGGCAAACCACTTTATAATATAATGTAATTTATAGGAATCAGATTACTCATCTCTGATTAAGAATAACAAAGCAATTTATTCCAAAAACTTCCAGATCTTGTGTTAATCCATCACAATAATTGATAAAGATTAACAGGTTTTTAATGAGTGCATTACAAATTAATTAGGGGAGGAAACCACTTAAAATGGAGGTGGAAACCCACTAGGATTAAAGAGAAATGGAAACCACTAGGGAGGAACTTCTAATGGGGCCAAACCGCTACATGCCATTCTAAACAATAGGTTTTGATTTCTTTAACTGCTTTTATCATCTCGGCTCTTTTTTTTTTCAGAATTCAAGATGACCTCCACGTCTACACCAACCAGCAATACAGCTTCCTCTACAGCTGAAATGTGGAGCCAGGCAGCTGCAGCTTATCAAGCTTACAACAACTCAGCTCAGTGGTCTAACGCTGCACAGATGTACAACACAGCCAGTGCCTATGGGAATAATCAATGGGATGCTAATAGTGCTTACAATACCAATTGGTCAACTGGTGCAGCCAATACAGGTACCGCAGGCACTGGTACTACAGGCTACAACACAAATCAATGGTATGGTGGTAACTATAACACAGGCACTGGGGATGCTTCCTCATATTCTACTGGCATGACTGGTGCTTCTAATAATCAGAATGCTTACACTGCCAACACAGCGGCGTTTTCTACCAACACAGGCTATGTAGACCAGTCTCAGAATTATGGTGCAGATGGGTACAGCACTGGTGGCTATGGCAACCAATATGGAAATTACGGTGGCTATGGAAATCAAGGCTATGGAAACAAGGGAAATGATAAGGGTGGAAGATTTGGAAATAACAGATCAGGGTCTGGCAATAGGAACCAGGGCAGTATGGGTGGGGGTAACAGATCAGGTGGGGGTAGGTCTGGGGGGATGGGAGGGGGAGGAAGAGATAGGGATCGTAGTAACGGACGAAGTGGGGGACGAGATGGTAGAATGGGAGGAGGTAGATTCAGTGATGGTGGAAGCGGTGGTCGATTTGGAGGTAGAAGAGATCGTGATGGTAAGTAAAGGGTTGAACTAATCTGATTTTAATGCATTTCTTCTTTAGGGTCTTAGTATGGCAAATTTTCTGTTATGAGCAAATTAAGCAGTGTATTCAATAGGGTCCAAATGTCTCCAATCCATTTAAAATTGTTTTAAGGCCCAGTCTGGCTTTACTGCAAGTGGGTGTGGTTGAAACAACAATAACAGTTGGGGGAAGTGACATTGGTTAAGATCTTATTTTGAAAATTGCTAAACCCATAATTTTTGTTTTGCAGAGTCTGGTGATTTTGATAAGCCTTATAATCCTAAACGTGTGAAACTTGACAGAGATATGGGTCGAATGTCTGGAATGATAGAACAAACGTCAAGCACTATTTCATCTTTACGACGAGGCTGGGGCAACATGGATAGCAAAGAACTGAATAAAAAAGTTGACTATTTGTTGAACCAACAGGTAAGAGAATGGTTTTCATTTTGGATTTTTTGAGGTTAAACTTTCAAGGGCCAGAAAGGAAGGTTTGGTTTTTATATCAAATCGTGCAACCAATGTAAAAGTGCACAACTTAAGTGAACACTGCTTATATTTCTAAATTTGGCAGAAAATTTGGACTCGCAAACTGAAATTGAACCCTGATTGTCAGTCAAGTACTAGATGATAGTAACCTTGTCTATTGTTTAACAGATGATGTTGATAGAGAAACAGAGTCATATGGCTGAGATGATGGAGAGAAGAGAAATGGAGATGATGAGTGAGATGAATGCTATGATGAAAGATAGAGATGACATGATGAGACACATGGGACCTGGTAAGTTGTCTTCCTCTGATTTTCCCTCATTTCACACTGCATAGTGCTGCCCAGCGCTTCTGGGAAAATGAAACAATAGAGCTATTGAGGGAGGGACACACCATGCAGTGTGATATAAGGAAAATTTTGTTATGACTGAAGCACATCGTATTCTCTTTGCCCTGATCTTCCTGTGTTCCACACTGCACAGCCATCTTTGCTCATCTTTGGTCGATAAGTTTTAGAGTTACCATGGCTGTTGATTTTAGAATATATCCTCAACATCAAAAATGCTGTTAGACAACTTAGAATTCAAATCAGACATGACTGACTGATTAATCAATCAGCAGTCTAGATTTCTCACAAATACAGACCAAATTGCCCAAAACCATTTCTCTTACAAGCCACAAATTTATATCGTTCCAGGTGGTTATGGTGGTGGTTTTGAAGGGGGTATGCCTGGACCAAGATGGAGTCGAGACATGAGAGACAACTCTTGGATAAGTCCAGAAGAATCGGTCATGAGGTTCACAGAATACTTGCTGTTCTTCTTCCCTAAACCAACCTGTACCCAAACTCTCATCAGAGCAGTATTGAGCTCTCGTCTCAACATCAAGGTTGAATTCCGCTTCAAGGAGCTTGAGAAAGATGGAGATAAGGTCATCCGGGGTCATTTGCTTCTTGGATACTTCGTCTTGAGTCATGGAACCAACAGCGATTTAGATACCTTGAGAGATTTCTTGTTTGAACGTGCCATGTATACCCTGATGACAAAAACCCTCGGCCATATTGCTGTCAATAGTAACCGAGTCATGGAAGCCAAAAAGAACGAAGACAGAATTATTCGAGGTGATGAAATGTGTGAGATCAACGGAAGCGAAGCTGTGAAGATTTGGAGCAGTCGTCCTGATCGAGACCGTGACCATAAAGATAAAGACAAGGATGAGAAGAAAGAGGATAAATCTGAAGATTCAGAAGTCAAAACCGAGGAGACAGCTGAAACAGAGAAACATGAGGATGAAGAAATGAAGGAAGAAAGCGAACAGCAACAACAACAGCAACAACAACAGCTTCAAGAAGGTGAAGAGCACAGCGAGAAAGATGGGGAAGAAAAACACGACGATACCAAATCAGAGGATGGTAAACGAGGTCGTGAACGTCGAGATTCAGAGAGAAGTAAAGATGACAGACGTGACCGATCACGAGAGGATCGTCACGACCGTGATAGACATGGTCGTCAACGAAAACCAAGATCCGAATACAAATTCTTCAGTCCAAGACTTAGGGAGAGGCTCGAAATGATGAGGGATGAGTTACCCACTGGACAACACATCAGATCTATTCATGATATGAGCTACGCTGCCAAATGTAACAACGTTGGTATAACTTTGACCGTTTACAGACGCAGACCTGACGACTTCCTGTTAGAAACCTATGATGCCGAGCTGTACGCTGATGAAATTTATCTTGGACGAGGTCACGGCAAGGATGTCCGTGAAGCTCACAAATACGCCTTTATACACAGCCGAGATGAGATCCTTGCAGCATCTTTGAATGAAATGTTGGCAACACGTAAACGTTTGATTGAATTGAATTTGAATGACCCTCTCTTGCTGGATGTACAGTATCGAGGACCCTTTCACGATGTGGGAAACAATATGAGCAACTTAAAAATGGCCAATGAGTGGCCCTTGGGTGAGGATAAGCCTATTGATGACTTCATTCTTCTGGAAGATGAAGAGGACCGAAAGAAGAACCACTACAAGACCCTGGAAGTTAGCGCTACTCAGAATTCGATGCTGTTGGAATGGGTGCGATCTGGTCGAGAGGACAACATGCCTCATCGGTAAGTTACTGTCTATCTCTTCACTAGCCTTTGCATAGGGGGTAGGGATTTCATTTACTTGGCCAAGTTGTTTGAAAATTCAAGAAAATCCTTCAAAATGTTATGCGTAAGTGTACATCATTGAAAAGAACAACATTTATTTATATTTCCAAGGATAGAACATACTTTTTTGTACTAAAATCATGTGTAGTACCTGTTAAAAACAAACCAGGTGTATTTTAGCCAAAGCGCTGCACCTGATTTTTAGTTTGGTCTTAATCCAATAATTCTAAAGACTGTCTTCATCAATTCAACAATAAGTCATAAAGTTATGTCTGTAACCGGGCGAATTAAGTCATATAGAATTTCTAACACTCTAAAGCCCATTATTAACCCATCAGACAATATTAAAAAATGGCCATTTTTCTTTTATCAAAATCATTCTAAGGATTTCTGATCCTTGTGCATACATCATGCCATTGGTGATCTTTGAATTTTAAAAATGGCTATTTAAATAAGAAGCCATATTGGATAAAAATACAGTTGTCTTCTAAATTAATTCAAAATAAATTCTGAATTAGAAAAGAAATTTCAAACACCTTGGCCAAGTTTTGATTTGTCAATTAACAATATTTTCGTCCAATCATAGCAAACCTTCTATATCTGTCTTATGCCTTGGATTTGGTTTAATACTTGATTTACAGATTTGAAATTCTGCTTTGCAAAGCACGCCTGAAGAGGACTGTTTTGCCTTATATACTATGACAATTTCTTGTATGCTTGTATAATTTGTATACAAACCCACTTATTTGAATGAAGATGCCTGCAGATGAGGCATTGATCCAGTACTTAGTTTAATGTAACGATACAAAAACCAGCTGCAATATGCATGATTTATGCCTTTTGAAGATGATGACGGACTTGTATGCCTTATACAAAAATTATGAAATCATTAATTCTAAGAAAATGAAGATATATTTAAAATCGAGAAGATATGAAATAAGCAGCCAAAGAAATGACTAGCATGGAGCTTTGGAAAAATTTGGAGTCAAGACGATTTTAGTTTATTGGAAAATTTCATTTTAATAAGATATAAAAAATTAAATTTTCCCTTTTTTTAGGTCTCCAGTCAGCCTTCGAGGAACAGGGAAAACGGGTTTAAAAATTCTCCATGCCTCACCATTTCTTGTAAGACCAGTTTAAAACCAGGTTTTTTAACCTCAGTAAATGTATCAACAGGCTAGCAGGGCATTATCACCTTCTTCTAGGGCATTATCACCTTCTTCTAGGGCATTATCACCTTCTTTGAGGGCATTATCAACTATTTCTAGGGCATTATCAACTTTAGGGGGTGGTACGACGTTATGGTTTCAAAACTGTTAGGGAAAATGAGTTAATCGGCAAATTTTTCAAGTGCCTGCCCTTAAAATGCTAGCCTGAAATGTTTTTGTCATCTTTTTGGCCGGGAATGCAAAATCCAAATTGGAAACAAAAATAGTGATATGTAATTTTTATTTGTATGCCGAGTTTGCAAAATGATTTTGGTCTTCATGCGCACTCAAAATTTTTAATTTAAAAATCCACTCGTTTTGTACGAGAATAATTGTAATTCTAGAATTAAGAATGGAAAGCGTATGCAAATTGATTAAACTAAGGGAAATAATTCAAAATGGATGCTGGCGAGACGTAACTGACTGGAAAAAGGAGACTACTTGACGAAAACCTGTTTTCTTTGCCTTAAACATTCTCTCTGTTGGTCTATCACACCTTATATTATGTATGCAATATGATTTTCATTGTTACATGATTTTTGCTGATGTTTTTTCCACCCAATGCTTTGACATGTTTAATTCTAATAATTCCAAGCAAATTTGATTTATAGTGTGCACAAGAATTTTCAAAAATAATTTCGCTTAGACATTAAATTACAAAAACACACAAGATTTTAATGCAGTAGATTTTTTTTTTTTCGACGTAAAAATTTATCAATTTTATCTTCTTTCGCTGAAGAATTTACAAAAAAACTGATTATTCGGCTGAAGAATGTTTAATTTCATTTATTTTCTAAATTGTTTTATAATTCATTGAAGATGAGAAAAAAATGGAGTTCTTTTTGAAGCAATGATAAATATTTTTCATTACAAATTTAATTTAGCAAAATGTCGTCATTTTTTGTTGTAAATTCTTGTGCACATTGTCAATTATTTGGGTAACGGAATTCTCTCCATAGGCTTTTCAAAGTCCAGGAACAAATCTAAACCATGAAATTTTGTATTTTTTGTAGTTGTCAACTTTACTTAGAGAAGGTCAAGATAGCAGACGTCAAGGCTCCTAATAAGATAAAAGCTAAGAATATGGCTGCCCAGGCTGCTTTAAAGAAGTTAAAGACCACACAGACTTTTATCAGAGTGAGTCAATCTTCCATTTCTTTGAAATTCAAAAATGGACTATGAATTATAATCCTTCGTGTGAAATTTGTCATCTTCCAAATCTACATACTGTTATCCATCTTGAGATGTAGAAGCCCAAACTTGATTATAGCTGAAAGGCCATTTTTGGAAGCTTAAACTTCACTATTTTGGGAAGCCCAGTCCAAACTTGAAGTATTTTGACGTAAAAGCTCAAACTTGTCTATTTTTTTAAGTTTAAGAAGTCCAAATTCTGCCAAAAAATTAATGTTGTGGCTTATTTATGATGGAAAAAGACAATCCCTTTCAGTACTCCATTGATCCTGAAAAGCCACCATTGTTTACTCACACTGATCTGAAAGAACGTTCCCAGATTTTGGAGAACCGTTATAAACAGATCAAAGCAGAGGAAACCGGAATCATCGAAGAAGACGAAGAGCCCAAGACGGAAGAGGAAGAGAAGGAAGAATCCCGAGAGGAAAGGAGAGAGAGAAGAGAAAAGGAAAGAATTAAAGAACGAGAGAAGGAAGAATTAGAAGAGAGATGTCTGGATGAAGTGATTGGGGAGGAAGTTGATAAATATTTAGCTCAAGATGACATGGAGGGTGTTACTTTAGGTACGTTCACTGTTCACTGTTCACGATCAGCTCTTAATCAATATCGAACCCACATTTTCAAAATTAAACTGTATGACCATTCCATCTAAGGCTTCACCCGGGCTAAACAGCTAATGTCACCTTGGCATTGATTGGTCGAAATCCCATTTCGCACTCGTCTTGGCCAAATTTTTTGGACCCGTTATGGGGCATACCTGTTGTTGATTCAGTGGTAAGTGAACACAACAGTGGTCCAGTTTATTTCAACTTGCCAGCTGTGAGTAGGCCTAAAACCCACACTGTGACCTCCCATAATAAGATCCATAAAGAGAATAAATTTCCCCCATTGCTTACTGCGTGGCTTCCCATCATTTCATATATATATAGAGAATGAAATGTAAAGCTGGTTCAGTACATGACTTATTCTAGACAAACTGTTATAACATAGAGCTGCATTTCTCTCCCATTGTTCATTGCATGACTTTATTATAGATCATAAGAGAATAACATAAAACTCTTTTCATAGTGCTATGGGTATGTCCAAAATATTCCGACGAATTTCTTATTGTGATAAAATTTGATGTATTGCACACGGCACTGCGTTGCCTGTTACAATATCCCAATCAGTAGAACAAAAAAGAGGAAGTAAAACTCCATTTCATTTCATAATCTGATGTTTTATATTCTCCTGTTTATTTTCAGGTGAGGACCTACCAGTCAATATAAAAAGACGTGTTAGTTTATTAGCTGTACAGAAAGGTTTATTAGTGATGCCATGTGGTACTGATGATCTAATACTATTAAATAAAGACAATTATCTCTGTCCTAATATGGTCAAGAAACTGACCGAGAACGACAACAAATTGGGTCGATACTATCTAGTTCAGGTAAGACTATTTTTATGAGCCCATATGCCACTCATTTCTTGTAGACACAATTTTTTTTAGTTAATCTTAATATACATATTGGATTGGTTTAAATTTAGCAATTACTGGATGAACCGTTTTTGAGTTATTGCCCTTGAATTACTAAATTTTACTTTTTGACACAAAGAGGCTATAGTGTTGATTTCAGATCTGACTATTTTCTTTTACCTGCTCTGGTCAGAAAATGTTAAGATTTAGTATCATTCAAAACTAATGTCCAATGTTTGAATTTTTCAGCTGCGAGTGGCAGGAGAAGAGAAACCCATGAGACTGGTGGAAGAGGAAGAAGAGGATGACGAAGAAGATGAAGAATCCAAGGATCACTCAAAAGATGAGAGAGATGAAGAAAAACCAGCTGAAAAGTCAGAGGAGGTGAAAACAGAAGACATTAAAACAGAACCAGACTCAGAGAATGGAAATACAGAGACTGCTATGGAGGCGGAGTAAATTATGAGGTTGATCATGTGATTGGTTGACATTTGATAACCTGATCAGATTTAATAATTTGATATGGATCGGGCTAGATGTATAAATGTCAATCATAAATGATCAGTTTTGATTGGTTGATAAGTGATCAATTCTAGGAAATTTGATTGGTTGTTCTACCCAAATATATTATGTCAATCATTAATGATCAGTTTTGATTGGTTGGTCCAGTTGGATTTATCATGTCAATCAAAAGTGATTAGTTTTATTTGATTAGTTGATAAAGTAGTTATAAATAGATTTGACCAATCAAAAGTGGATAAGAAAATTGAAATGTATATAGTAGTTCATTTTTATTTGGCTTTCTAAAGCTTTTGCTTGGCTTGATTTAAGACTAAAAACAAAGCTTGGAACAAGAGAGTTGAGTAATTTATGCAGAAAAACACAAACTGATCATTTGTATTGTTGCTTGAAAACTGTTTCTAAATGTTGGGAACTTTATGTCACCAGACAAATGAGGCCATTCGACATTAAATTTAATGAAATAATATTTGGACTTAGTCTGTTAAAAGTCAAAAGTAAATAGGTCTTAAATTGATTTGAATCTTTTCTGAGTTTTAGTCGATAAATGGTCAGTGTTTATTGGCTGTCTGAGATCAAAACTGATCTATTTTAAAGAATCTGATTGGTTTATTTAACAGCTTAAGATTTAATTGACCAATCAAGGCTCCTTTTGGAAGAATTATCCACAAAAATCGGGAAATTTCGAAAATATGTAAGACAAAAATTCTTCAATTGTTTTTGTTTTAAAGTCATTAATTTTGTAAATTTTGAAAGAATCATGTTAAATCACATCATATATATTATAGTCTTTATGTTTATTTTAGTGCTATTCTCATTTGTTGCATGTTGCAGTTCTGTTTACCTTATTGCACACTGCATATCTTAGTTAACTCATAGAGTATTGTCATGTTGCAGTCATAAACTTCTCTCGTTGCATACTGCATAGCATTTTCTCTCTACTTACTGAAGGATGTGTAGAATATTGTTATGTTACAGTTAATTTTAAGAAAACTTTTCTTTACTGTCTTAAATTTTCCCTTATTGCATACTGCATAGCATTTCTCTCAGCTAACTGAAGAAATTAACTATTGCCATGTTGCAGTCTACTTTTAAGAAAGCTATTCTTTACTGTCTTAAATTTTCCCTCATTGCACACTGCATAGCATTTCTCTGCTTACTGAAGAATGTGGAAAATGTTGGATATTGCAGATTATTATGAAAAATATTTTGTCTTATTTATGCTACTGTAAAATGACCTCCATTGCACACTGCATAGTGGTTTTGTATTTTGAGTCGTACTCAGATTTAGTTCATATGAATACATTATTAAATATTCTAATTTGCCTCACTCTACACTGCATAGCCTTGTCTTATAAAGCCTAAGAATATTGCAGCTTTATATATTTTGATAAGTATTTAAATGACTGTAAATCTTGATAAGTTCATTAGTCACATTCCTTGGTTAGAAATCAAAAATAATGTCTTAGACATTTACAGTTTCTTTTGTATATATTCTTTCATCCACAAAATTATTTTGATTTTACCATTTTGTATGTCATTTGGTGAAAGTTTTTATTTTTGTCAAATTTTCATTGATTATGATAAATCTTTCAATCAATTGCAGAAATTTGCAACCATTTCCACCTAAAGTGATTACATGTCATTATAGTATTATGTATTTGAGAGTATTTTTGGCATATTTAGTTGCATATTTTGTTGTCTCATTGAAGGGATGGGTTGAATATTGTTCATTTTAAAAGTGTATTATTCAGTGTTATTCAAATTTCACAATGGAAGAGACAAATTTCATTCTTACTGTGTTTTTGCTATAGGAAGGCATATTGCAATGATATTTGAGTTGTAACTGGGTATAGAGTTACTGCCCTTGTCCCTAAATCTTTTGATAAAGCAGATGCACTATTCCAAATCTATTTTCCAATCTTTGGTTCTTGCAATTCCACTAAAACTAAGTAAGTGTTGTTTGATGTCACCAAGCGCAAAATATGCTTTGTCTTATACAACCCTGCGAGATTAGTGATGTCATAAAGCAATTAGATTTAGTGGAATTGCAGGAACCACAGACGTCAGAATTGGAATGATGCAAATTGATGTCCACGATACACATAACATGATTTTAGAAAACCTCTACACGATCCCTTTGATAAGTGCAATGAATAATAGATTTATTTACATAATTAATTAGCTCTTCACATAATGTAATAGCTACAACATATTTTAGTGAAGAATCAAACTACCCATTCTATTCCCTCTTTGGCAGGACACCTACTCCCCATGGAAGCAGACTTGTATCATGTCACAACATCCTTAATGACTGTTGGCCACCTGTGACACTTTTCAAATTTAAAATCTGATACACATTCCATACAATAAAAAAGTGGTTGTCCAAACAAAGACAGTAATATTTTCTCATGCTAAAGCTCTCGAAATGACATTCACTTTCACTCATTAACTATAGAACTGATCAGATTTTCATTTTGAAAAGGGATACACATGGAGATTAGGTTCCCTTTCGTAAAGCAAACCAAATATATTCCATCAAGAAAGGTGCTCTCTCCTCCTGTTAAAATGTAAATGTAACCAAATCAGACATGTCTAAACAAAAATTACAGCAGTTCAAAAATATTCACGGAATTTCACCGCACACAATACAAAGACAAAATACAGAAGCTTACATTCATCAACAAACAGGGGATAAAAAATAACTCAACACAAAATATTACAAAACAAATACCCAAAGCAACATACAGAAACATGTAAAATATAAAGAAAACAGAAATATATATTCAGAATATACATGCAGTCTTTGAAATGCTTACAACAAATTGAATAAAATTACAAGTTTTACAACATGCCACTTTTGCCAATTTTTGGCTATGAAATTTAAATTTGAAGAAAAACAGTAATCTAATTGGTTGATATAAATGAATTTTGAAATCTATTTAACAGATTGACCAATCAGATGACTGGAAAACTGATCAACACAAGTTTTGAGTAAGATCAATTAACATTAGCTTCATACACTAAGTTATAATATTACTTTAAGAACAGGGTATATAACTTTTAATTTTATTCATGCTCAGCTCGGAGTTCCAAGGTTAAAATAACATGACAAAAATTCCTTCACTTCAGAGCCTTCTAATTAGTTTTTTACAAGCCCAATATCGGCCACAATTAATCTCCGTGCTTGGAAATAATCTCTAAATTAATAGGCCAAAAACACGGTTTAAAAATGTCACAAAACATGGATAAGAATTACTGATTTATATAACAACACAACGTATAGACAAGAGAAACATTGTCGAAACATTGCATAGTTATAAAGCAGTATTTGGTACCCATATAGAATGATATAATTATTTGAGACAATTTCTCAAAGCCACTAGAAAACTGTTAAAATATCATCTTAAGCCTTCACAATGTCTTCATTTTCATCCTTGTATTGTATCAATTTATATCGGCCACTCTCGTTGCCACATTTCCTTAAGAGGTTCACCACCTCGATGGGGTTGGCTGTTCGGAAAATGTCCTTCTGAATGACCACACAGTTGGTTCGCATTTGTTTCTCGCTGCCCAATTTAATGATGATGAGGGTGCCGTATTTTTTGCTGATCTGACGCAAGCGGGTAATGTGATATTTAGGAAAGTCTTTATCCAGAATGATCTCTTCCAAGCTTTCAGTTTTTTGATAATCCTCTAGCACATTCTCTAGGACCTGATCCACCCATGGGGTCAGATCATCTGGTTTGGGGTCATCGGCTGCTGGTGCAGGGTAAGAAGACAAGTCCCAATTCCGAGCGAGTTCTGGATTGTCAGCTTTCAGTAACAACGCTTTCTGTTTGGCTGTTTCAAAACTCATGAAAGGATTATTGTAATCTCTGGATGATGTCTGAAATGTAGAACAAAATTAAGTTTTTTAACTAAGTCAAAAAAAGCAGAGTCAGATCAGGTGTTCCTCTCTTATCTGAACTATCCAAAGATACTGGAATGGTGGCAAGGTTACCCAAGAAAGTTAAACAAACTTTGCTTTCGCTAAAATTCAATTCCTTTTTTAAACTGACATTCTTAATTATGAGAAATCAAAACTCCTTAATCCCCATTAATAACATTGTTGTTCAAGGCTGGATATAATTTCACAGGCAACATGAATCTCCCCTTGTTTAAGAAATGAGCTCTTCCGATAAAACAAAACACTCTCATATCAATAGAAAGTATGCATGAGCAGATGATTTCAATTAAGAGACAAGGGGTGTCAAATAGATGAGTTGCTTACTATATCAAGTTGGATAGTCATAATCCAGCTGTGGGTTGGAATCCTCATCAAGGTAAGAACAATTATGATGCTATGGCTAGTGCTTCTGCGAGTTAACCTGCTGTCAGCTTTCATCCTCAATCACTTACCTTTATCAAAGGGCAGTTTGCTTTCAACCATTGAAGACCTTTTTGAGCAGCATTAGCTTTAGATTTGATTCTATTAAAACCCATAGCATCAGCTATCAGTTCCTCTTGTAGGAACAATAAACATCTGAAAAAAATAGAGAATAACTAATTTAAGACATCTTTCGGTTTCAAGCTACAGGCTTTGCTTACGCCAAAGAGGCGAAACCTTCTGAAACAGTAAAAGCTACTCAATCTTTGGATTCAAAGCACCATAGATAGTATTAGCAGCTTTCGAGATAGTGACGTCATATACAGTTTTAAACATGGAACACGGACGTTTGTCTGAGAATTGGAATTGAGCACATCAATGCTTTAAGTGTCCTCAATGCACATAAAAAGTTTAGAAAACAGTTTTACATGCGATTAAAACCAATTACCTTGTTGGACCTCCTTCTCTGGGATTATATAACACATATTCAAACAACATGCGATTGGCACAGGCTGTATCTTCTATAACCTTCCACGGGGCAGTCTTGGTCTCTTCTGTATGTTCGTACACCACTATGTCTCTCTTGGTCGTCACATCTTTGGCAAAGTTCTCCAAATTAGTCGTCTTCATCACATTCATGTTTGAACCCCGTTCGTGATTTTTGGATTTGTACTGCATATCTACAACTTCTTGATCCAAAATGTCAACGTTTTGCAGACGCTTATTCTCACGGACTATTCTCTCTACTGGATAGTTCCAATTCATTAACAGACGTTTGGCGTTTCTGTAGGCGTTCTTCATGGCGCCACGTTTATCCGATTCTTCACCTTGGCCAAGCATCAAGTCATCCACGTATAGTTCACAGGTTTGAGATTCTTCACTGTTCTTGTAGTAAACCAGAGTAATTCCTGCATCCACGGTTCCACAAGCTACGTCCAATTCGTGGATCAGGTTCTCCTTGTATCCTCGGGATTGAGGAATATTCTGGCGAAGCTGTGTCATCATTTCAATCAATCTGGCAAGGATGAATTTATGGTCTCTCGATTTCTTTCCATCTTTGGGCTCCTTGATTTTTTTCTGTTCTTCAGGCAAATCCTTGTAGAGCTTGTTTGAATTAGCAAAAATGTGACTCACTGATTTGGTGAGGAGCATATACAATGCTTTGGCATACACAGAATCTTTGACTTGGTGCTTTGTATAGCCCTGTTCTCTAGCGAGAAGGACACCATTGATCTTCAGATGTCCATCAATGTAGGGATCTTTGTCCATATCCTCAAAGACGTTATACTCTGTGCGAATCTTCACCAAGGTGGTATTGTTGTGTCTGGAGGTCTCTATGGCCTGTACCGCAATGAAGAGGTCATCATACTCCAAAAGAACTTCGATGAAGTTGTTGATCTTGCCTTCGATGCTTACGTAGTATTCTGGAGCAGGTCCTAATCCACCATCATCATATTCATAATCTAAATAAGGATTGTGGTTATATGGCATTGGCGTTTCTATTTCTGGATACCCATATTGAGCTGCTCCACGCCTGGCACCGCGTCCACGAGGAGGACCATACCCAGAGGATCGAGCAAAAGGATCTGCAGTTGCAGGTCTTCTGCCATAATAGGCATCATCTAATGGATCAGGTTTCTGGGGTCTACCGCCCATTCCAGCAATCATTTCAGACTGCATCTCCAGCAACATCTGTTGTCTGTTTAAAACTTGATTCAGCTGCTGGGTATCCGAGTTTGGACGCCATTTTGGGGTTTCACGACTGCCAAAAGTCAGATTTGCCAATTCTCTTTGAGAGTCTTGGATCATTCTGTTCATCATATGGACAGAGGATGTTCTCTGTCTCTTCACTCCCATTGGATCTCTATCATCTATTGGTCGCTTTCCTGGGAAAAAAAAGTTTAGATGATGATTTTTTTGTTTTCTTTTTAATTGGATGACTTGACAAATGCTCTCTGTTTACCACAAATGACCAAACTGCTAAGCAGGAGTTTCATGTCAAGTGGTCAAGCTTGCAGTGTGCAATGAAGCAAGTTATGTCAGGACAGCAGTTTTTGCTTTCTCTATATCTAGGGTTCTTTTAACATGCTCAGTCTGTAGCATGAATCAGTTACAAATAATAATTTTTGTTGCAAAAGGCAAGAAACTTTTACAAATCTACAAACCTGCATATCCATATTCATAATCATCTTCATAAGCTGCAAAAAAAGAAGAATGGAAGTTTGAAAAAAAAGACTCTAAAACTATGGCAACCTATGAGCCTTTTTCTTTAAACAATTTAACTCGTGGGATATGTAATAACATGTTAAAGAGCAAGCATGATACCATCTGATCCCTTGTGAGTTTGAAAGAATTTTACATACCATCATAAGGAGGATAATGAGGATGAGGGGCTGCAGCCTCAAATCCAGAAGCTCTGTATGAACTGAATCCACCAGCACCCCTACTTCCACGTCCCCTTCCACCACGGGCGCCTCGACCACCCCTCATGCCCCTTGAGTTCATCCCTCAACTTCCAGATAGCCTAGAGACAAAAATAATCATACATATAGCCATATAAGTTCTGTTGCAAAATATTTGCAAATTGAAAGTTAAGTCAAAAGTTGTTCATAACTGTAAATTCACAAAAATTATTGGAGTTGCAAATCAATGAAAGCTTCTCAATTTATCTTTTTCATTCTTGCTTATGTCATTTTGTGCTACGTTAAAAAAGAGATTTCAGGATTTCAGTCAAATTGGGATAAAAAAGTGTATCTTTCCAGATGAAAAAGGAATAGCACTCTATATGAGTCTAAGGCATGAAGTCAATTAACAAATCAGCCAAATGAACAAAATGAAATGAACTCTAGTCAACTGGAATTAAACCAGCATAGGATCTTTCCGAGCTCCAAAATATTTTGCAAAAAAAAATCAATCCAGGCAAAAAAGGCTTTTTTCCTTTGAAATATTTTTATAATTTGTCATTTAATTTAAGAATATCTAAAGTATACTTAATAAAAAAGTAATTATAAAGCCAAAAGTCAAAACGCAACTGAACAAATTTCGTAAAAAAAAAGTTACATTTGTGACGCAAATAGAAGTACTTCTATTGTTCTCAATTTTGTTCATTGAATATATTCAACATAACATAACAGTTAGTTCTTGATAATCTAGTCTATCACAGGAATAAAACCTGGCTGTTCAAATATAAAAAATTGGACAATAGACACCCTTTAAGTGACTATATTTTACCTTCACTCAATATCAGGTATGTGGTCAAAAGAGCTCAAAACAAGCTCTGTAATATTTTATTGTGTTTAGAATAAAATAAACGCAATAAAAACACTTCAGTTTCTAAAAATGTCTTGAATGGACTTCAATAAAATTGAAATCCAAAACTCTCCAAAAAGTGACTGTGAAACTTCAAACCTACAAAGAGGAAGAATAAAGTTAACATAATGGTCTCATCATTGTTTAAGAAATTTTGTATTTTCCGCCAAACGACTGTGGCTGCTGTTATCAATGAAATGCTTAACACTGTTACCACAATTATTGCTAAAAATATCTTTCAGATTGCAATAACAACATCACAAAGATTTTAAATTGCAAGAACAGACATCTGACTGAAAATTGAAATGGTGCAAATCGATGCTATCAGTGTCCCTATTACATATATAAAGTTTACAAAGAACCTTTTTACAATCCATTTAATCTAAATGTGTATTTTGGTACCACTCTGAATAGTAGCTTAGCCTACTGAAACCAGACAACACAAACACAATTAAAGACAATGCCAATCAACCATTAACATCATATAAGTTCTTACGATCACTGTCACTTCAAGACACTAAGACAGTGGCTGAGTATTTAACAAATTTCTAACAGTCTTGTTGTTTTGTAAATTAAAAGTGCTAATTAAACAGTAGCTTTTATCAATCAAGACCTTTGTTTTCATTTGATGTCACGTGACCTATTCAATCCACGCCATTTTTCTTTTTCTTTCCATCTATTGCTAATGTTATCAAATCAAAAAACATTTTTATAGCTAACGTCTCTACCTAATGCCTGCATATTTTGCTCATGAAAGTTTTGAAAATTCCGTTGCATTGTATTTTTATACCTACCATTTAATTTCTGCAAAGGTTTTCGCTTGAAAATCTTTAATTTTCTGTGCAAGCACGTTGATCGATTTCTCTCAGCTTTTGACTTCCGGTTTATCACATGGTTGACGGTGATGAGCAAACTTTCTTATTTCGTGAAAAAAATCCGGGGTAAATTGAACAATATTGTATGACCCTTGAGTGATGATATTAATGAAAAATTCACAAAAAGCAAATATTGAGGTTACTTAGTTAATTTTCATGGTAAAATTTCCCTATCTGAGCATTTATAGTCATAAAAATTTCATAGTTAGAAAGGACTATTATTTACAGCACTAATTTCCTTTACACCGTCAAAAGGGACGCTACTCTAAAATCAACAGTGCCAGAAAAAAATAAAGAAGAAAAAGCCGGGCATCCTTTTCAAAAATAGGTAACAATTCCTGCTTCATGGTTTCGCGGTAGTTTGCAGGATAATATTTGTGCTGTGCTGCGTCTACTAGGTAAAATCAGCTTGTTGCAGCCCCTTGGAAAGTAGAATAGTTCAACATTCCAATTTCAGTATTTGGTTTATTGAACATTTCTTGACCACGTCCATGGCCATTATTTTTATTATAAGACGAATGCGTTGCCGTAAAATGTTTTGTTGCATCTTATAAATTTGAATCAAAACATCTAAACACACTGTATGGGAGCCTGAAGCCCTAATAGAGTCCTACCAACAATTAAGTCAGCTTGTTAGTAGGTCTAATGAGAACATCCCAAATTATTAATTAACAACTCGCGCAGTGGCAATTGGAGAGCACTGATAAAAATAGACTTGTAGGCTGCCAGCCAAGGTAAAAATGCTTTCTCAACTCAAGCCTAAACTAAAGTACTAGTGTCGTACTGGTAATGATTAAAAAAATTTTAAATTCCAAAACCATTGTTCTTTCAGATAATAAATTTTAATCCACAGAATGACCGGTGGAGGCAGAGATAATAGACGTGACAGAGATCGAGGTGGAAGGAGAGATAGAGGAGGAGGGGGAAGATTTCGTGATCGACGAAGTGGAGGTTTTAATGACAGACATGGTGGGGGAGGTCGGTTTGATGGTGGAGGGAGATTCGATGGACCTGGCAGATATGATGGAGGAAATGATATGTATGGTCAAGGACCTGGATATGGGCCAGGGTTTGGTGGAGGGGGACCTAACTTTAAACCCCCCGTTGTTTTACCCCCTGGAAATGAAGATTATTGGGAATATCGAGGTGAGTTTGACTAGAATTAAAGGCCCTACTGAAAAATAGGATATAATCTCCATTTTGGTATTCTACTTAAGGCAAGATAGAACTTTAATGAGTTTATTGACCAAAGAACTGTAACTGTCATTTTCTTTTTATGTGTATTAAGGATTCTGTTAGTAAGAACCACAGACGTTTGATTGAAAATAGGAATGGTCCAAATCAATGCTTACAGTGTCCACATGAAGTTTTACCAGTATTTAAGTGTTTTTTTTCTTCTACTTTTTTAGTTCAAGTAAGCTTACATCAGAGTTGAAAATTTCATTTTTTATTTTTTGCAGATTCTGAAGATGAGATAGCACCAAAAGCAGATGACACGTTTGAAGTGGAAGCCAAGCGTCAAAAACTGGAAATTGATGATGGTCTTTTACCAGGCGTGGAGGGAGATAAAGGAGAAAACAAAGAAAATTCAGAAAGCGGAGAGAAAAAAGATGCCCCTAAATCTCTTCTGGACCTCAACATGGAAGACATGGTTGATGATTATTACGAATATTTTGATGGTGGTCCGAATATTTCTCACCGACGTGCTCGTCAGTTGCTTGATGGGATTGAGGCTGATGAGCACGGAATGGACGCTTATGGTGGGATGCAGAATCATGGACGAGTTTACAAAGTCATTGCAGGAGAGTACAAATTCTTTGACGGACCTGGCCCCAAATCGACAGAGCTGATCAAGATAGGACAAGATGGCCGCCGGGTCTCACCTGAAGAAAAATTGTTCATATTTGTCCAGTTTCTTCTCAAGAATCCTTTCACTAAAGATACGTCCACTGCTGTTCTGGAAGATGCTCGAAATAAGATGAACCCCAAACAAGCCATCAAACTGGTCTACCATTTAGTCCCTGAGGAAGATGACGTCATTTGCAGTATGTACAAATGTACATTTTATGCTGCTGGTTTCAAAATTGTGGAAGTTGAAGCCCCTACGAAAACAGAAGCCAAAGAACTAGGTGCTGAAAAGGGACTTTACACTTTGATAACGAAAACCTTTAATGAAATTTGTCCAAGCAATTACCACGTTGAATTTGATGACGGCCATTATGAAACTAAGGTCAAATATAGTCGCGAGCATAACAGAGATGACGGCGATCAGGAAGAGAAAGATGAAGAATCAGAGGAAAAAGATGGTCAGCATGACAGACGTCGCGATGGACGTAGAAAGGGACCAACATGGAGAAGCCCAAAATTGATCATTCGTTTACAAGTCATGAAGAAAGTCCTCACTGGAACTCACGTTAGCAACGCTTATTCTGATATGGAGGCTGCTGCATACACTTGCCAGGTGGCGCTGTGTATCGTCTGCTACAAGAAGACCAAATTGTCTGGTGAATCTGATCCCATGAGATGTGAGATGTATGCTGATGAGATGTTTCTGGGTAGTGGAAGCGGAAACAACTTCCAGGAAGCTCAACAAGAAGTTTACAGATCGGCACGAGACAATTTCTTACGAACTTCAGTCCACAATATGTTAATGAATAGCAAACGACTCTCTGAACTAGATAGAGATGACCCCAATATTTTGGACATCGTCTACAGAGGTCATTATCAAGAAATAGGTTCAAACAATGGTAGCTTAAAAACATATGATATCTACCCAGCTGATAAAGACAGAAACGTTGACGATCTTGTCATATTTGAGTTCGAAGCCAGTCAAGCCAAGGCCCCATTCCATAATCTTAAAAGCAGTGCCACTAAATCTCATATGTTGTTTGAATGGGTTCTATCAGCCAAAGATGACAAGTCGAATTGCAGGTAGGTCTAATCTGATACAGGTTTAAGCTTAGTAGGCAAAATGTTAAAGGGGTTTTTATTCTAGCCCCTTGTAAGTGGTAGTGGAATAGATCAGTCAGTGGATTGTAGTCTGCTAGGTGTTTAGGTGGGTTAGAATCCTCCTACAGGTAGGAACAATTCTGATGCCGGTGTTTATGAGATTCAGCCTGGTTTCGGCTCTCAACCCCTAATACCTAAATTATAGCTTCAATCTTTATTTCAGATGTATGGTATTCCTACAGACTAAGCTGGTAGCTGATGTTCGAGGCTCATCAAAAGTCAATGCCAAAAAAGCTGCTGCAGAGAAAATCATCTCCGAATACAGTTTAACTCATACTATCATTAGGGTAAGCATAGTGGGTTTTAATTCTGGAGTCGCTTGGGTTAGATATTTGCACTCTCACCTGGAGGTGCAGGGATCAATTGAGAGGTTGAGAATACCTTCAAATGTTTCTCCTTATCAGTGATGCAGGTTAAACAGACTGATATGGAAAAATCCTTCAGCTTTCTGATGGGAAATAAACCAAGCCCCTGTGTGCCACAAACTGAGCATGTGCAACCCCATAAAATCCTGTGCCAGTGGTTTCGTAACTTTGTCATTAGTACAAGGTTACAACCTTTACTCCTAAAAAAATCTTTGCATGTGTAGAGGTTAGCATAAAAATTCATAAAAGCTAGACATTCCAGTTAGTCATAATCTTGTCTAAAGTATGGCAAAATGAAGAGTAAAAGTTGTGACTCCTCCAAAGAGAAGCACCATCAGGTGTTTTGAAAAGAGTAAGCATAGTTTGTTTTGCATGCGACACCAGCCACTACTATAATGGTCAACATCATGAGATACAACCAGATCAATTTTATGCCTGACCAAACAAATCAGTCGAGATGCAAGAAACATATTTGTATTATTTGTCCAAGATTTCGCTGTAACGACCATAAGGTTTCCTAAATGAAGTTTGAAGTCTTATCTTTGCGGTTCTGGGCATTCATAAATCCATATCTATATTTCATGACTGGCCTGTTCTGGCAATTCTTATAATCCCTGTTTTTATTCCAGTGTGCTCCAGTAGATTATTCCTGTCCCACTTTGACTTATGAACAGTTGAAGGAACAAGCAATTCAGCTCAGTGGACAGGAGGAGCCAAGCGAGGAGGAACTAGCACCGTTCTTGCTGCAAGCCATCGAGTTAGTCATCCAGCAGAAGATTGAAGAAGGAACTTTAGAACCAGTCATTTTCAACGAAGATATCTCGGGCGACTTACGCAAACATGTGAAAAAGTACGCAGAAACAAATAATTACCCCCTCATGGAAAAACCTTCAGATACACGCAGGCACTTGATTTTACAACGCAAAATGTTTACTGCAACCGATATGCTTGAAACCCTAGACCAAAGTAATTGTGTAAATGGAAAGTACAAATTGATGCAGAAACGCCAAGACGAGCTTTTGATAACTTATTTCAATACAGAAGGAACAGAACAACTACATCCACCAGAGGTCTCTAGTATCGCTGATGTGTTGCAGAGACACGCCCAAGCTGAAGCTGAAGCTGAAGCTGAAGCCGAAGCAGAAGCCATTACTGCTGAAGAGGAGATCAAAACAGAATAAATTTCACGGATTTTTCATTTCATTTTTTGTAAAAATAAGCATTTTAAGTTTTTCATTTTGAATCAGGAGTAGAGTGCTTTTATAATTCGAAAAATTTGAGGCAAACTACAAAGTTGTAAATTTGTTATTGGTAATTTTAGATATGTCCAACTTTAAGAAATTGTTACAACCAACTTTATATTTTTAAGGATTTTTGTTAGGGAAAGGCATCTAGAAAAAAACTTTGACCAAATTCTACTCGTTTTGACATCTTGTATACAATTATGTTGCAAATTTTGTCTCAATTTCCTGCAAAAGTCTAAATATTAAAAAAAGAAATAACAATTATTATGTTACAAATTGCTATCTATGTATTTATATGTAGAATGCCTATTCAAAGGGAAATAACTGCATTCATTTATATTTCACCATTCAGTATAGCAATTCAGTCATTACATTTAGAGTCCTTCATATATATTAACCAAGCATTTAGGAGATCATGATTGAATCTGTTGTCATTGAAATCAAATGTCAGAATAAAGATTTTATATAAGTTGTATTCTGAAAACTATTGATGCATGTTGAAGCTTGTATGAACGATTTGATTTAATTGTATATGGGAATACAGCCAGAGCCCTCTACAGGAGGCAAAATGGACAATATTCTTATGTGTGCTTCAAATGTATAAATGAACACCATTTTTTCCACTGGAAAAGCAAGCACTCTCTTCTTTCCATTCAAAGAAATAACAATATTTCAATAATTTTTTTTTAAATGTCCCTCGAACTAACTACAAAATAACGTTTAAAATGATACAATAGAAATATTGAACTAAGAAGTAATAGAAAAACCTTTGAAACAACATGATTGAAAATGGACATTTTCTTTTCTTTTCTATTTAACTGAACAACAATTTAGCCTTATTTAGACTGCCACAATAACAGTAATTTCAAGTGGGCTAATTTTTATGGCAGTGTAAACGCAGCTTTATGACAAAGAAATAGGCCCATATAAGAACATTATTTTAAGCAATGAATTAATGCAGTCTGGACAAAAAGAACTGCTTCTTATACCTTGACACAATCAGGTACTTTTCTTGTATAATGTAACGTGTTGATTGGATTGTATGCTAGCGACCTAAGGTCTATAAACAATAAGCCATAATGTTTACATACTTCTTGTCAAATGTTTTATTGGCTGTATCTGCTAGGGTATAATCCAATCAAATCGCTGCAATCTGTAATATGAGAAATGTGCCTAATGATGTCAAGGTATTAGACATAGTTAATAACTTGATGTTGATTTTAGGGCCTATTTCAATAATAAATGAATACCATATTTAATAAATAACAACATGCATGATATATAGCCTTGGGTTCTTCAAAATAAACAATGTTACTTTTAACGAATCCTAAATACAGGTAAAGTGCTTTATGATGTCAAGGTATTAGACACAGTTAATAACTTGACGTTGATTTTAGGGCCTATTTAAATAATAAATGAATACCATATTTTATAAATAACAACATGCATGATATATAGCCTTGGGTTCTTCAAAATAGACAATGTTACTTTTAACGAATCCTAAATACAGGTAAAGTGCTTTATGATGTCAAGGTATTAGACACAGTTAATAACTTGACGTTGATTTTAGGGCCTATTTAAATAATAAATGAATACCATATTTTATAAATAACAACATGCATGATATATAGCCTTGGGTTCTTCAAAATACTCAAGGTCACTGTCAGTATCTTACTGTTATGAAACATGAAATTTAACAGAAGTTATAAATTATATATCCAGTTAGGACATGAAACAGAAGTAACACTTCTAAGATAAGAAATTAGACAAAGACCTTTTAAAAGCACAAAACTTGTTGGACAACTTTGATTCATAAAATAATTAACAACACTACAAAAATACAAAAAACAAAATTAACAAATACATACTTTTGAGAGCTTCAGAGTTGACATGTTGAGCAGGGTTTTAAATGCAAGGGACTTCTTGCAGGAATATCTTTAAGTTAGATTCGTAAATCTTCAGGAGCCTTATTTTCAAAAACTTTACTCAAGATGATTTTAGTGTTCCGATCATCTGATTGGTCAATCTACTTTTATTATCCAATCAGATTAGTTAATTTCTGAAAATCTGGATTTGATCTTAGTTAAATTTTGGAGTCCCAAGATATGACATTTATTGCTGCAGTTATAATTAGAACAAATCATATTCTAGAGATTTTGGAACATTTGTAAGGATATTCTGTCAATATGCCCAGGTCAAATAGAAGTCAAGTTTTTACAACTTAAGTTAAAGAACCACGTATTGAACAAATACTTCTTGCAAGGACACGTTTTGTGATTTTATCACACCATTTGGAAGTCTTGTTTAAATGCACCTATTCCACCCCCAGTGGTGAATACCGGTATATTGGTCAATTCAAGAGATTGTGAACAAGTTTTCTAACCCTGAATGGTCATCGCCGGCATCCAAGAATTTGATAGCATCGATCTGCACCATTCCAATTTTCAATCAGATATCTGTGGAACTTGCAATTCCATTTGACTAAGGGCCAATTCGAGTTGCCAACTCTGTCTCTTTGAAATCTTTAAATTGATGCAGTTCAATCCAACAACTTTCAAAATTTTCTACCCTAAATATTGGTTATCATTCACAACTGAGGGCAAATAAATGCATATTAACAAGCAAATTTGGCATTCATAAATTTCCACCCAACAACCTATTCAGTGACCATCTGTTCATCACCATTAGCAGGTTCTTCTTTAGGTACTTCTTCAGCTGCAGCAGCCTTCTCGGCCTCCTTAGCTGCCTTCTCAGCTTCTTTCTTTGCCTTTTCTTCATCTGCCTTTGCTTGTTCTTCAGTGTTCAAGTATCTCTTAGCTGTTTTTTGATCTGTTTGCTTCACTTGGTAAAGTTTGTAACGACCAAAAGTTCCATCGTTTTCTAAAAGAACTTGCAGGATTTTGTCTGCTGTGTGTGATCTACTTTGGAATAAAACCTGGAAGAGAATCAAAGACTTTGTTACAACATGATCATTTATCTAGGTCTTGGCATTAAATTCACACACTCCAGACAAATTCTTATGCGAATTTTTTATGTTAGAGGAACAAGCACTGTTTTGTGGCTGGATTGAGAGAATTTCAGTGGCTAAATCCAAGGAAGTCTAGACGCTTTGAGACAGTGAAGTTCATAGCTGTCATTCCACATTCTGATTTAGTCTCAACAAGAAAGTACCTAAAATTTCTTATCCTTATTTTTGAACTCATGAATCTAGAAAATTAACCCAAAAAAGAAAAAATCAGAAGTAGAAAAGAAGGGCATAAAACTCCTTGCATCAAAACAAAATGGCTGAGAAAGTGGTCTTACCTGTACTCGTTTGGCAGGAATAGAAAAAGTATGAACACCCATTGCATAGGCCTGCTTCCTGACCCACTTCTGCTCTCGGTCTGGAAAATCAGCTCCCATGACCATTTCTTCCACAGTATCATGACCAAAGAAATTCTGAAGTTCGATGTCCAAGGCTTTGTTGATCCATTCTTCCATCTCTTGCTGCTGTTTCTTCTCTTCGCTGACTTCCTCTGTTCCAGCATCAGTCTCCATGCTTTCTTCTTGCTTCACTTCCTGCTTGACTTCAGGACTCTCCATCTTTAGTTTAATAGCTTTCTGTTGGATCTCTTCATAAGTGAAGGTTGTTTTGGTACAATCTCTGCTTTGATACTGCAATCAGAATTTCGAGAATTTCATATAAATATTTAAATATTGCACAGACTTTTGATGATGTATTTTATCATTTAATAATGGGGATTAAAAGCAGGCGACCTGAAGCACCAACAGTGGCATCAGAAGTTTCTTTACCTTGAGTAGGATTCGACCCAAGGCAACCAATTACTTCCAAGCTGACAAGAATCCAATTTGCTACCAAATAGACATCTCCATTTCGACTTTGCTTTGTATTGAAAAGAGTATGCTACAAATTTGGAAGCTAATTCTTTCATGAAGACTGTTGACCCTCTAGAGTGGCTTCTTCATTACTGCCAATTACAAGCCTTTGCTAATATTGTGCCAAATGTTCCTTTTTGTTTGTTGTTTTAACATATAGATCTTTGGGTAAGAGCTATCAGTTTTTCTCTTACGATTTATTTTTTCTTGTCCAAAATTTGGTTTAAGTAATTATAGAAACCTACCTTAATGAGGGTTTGTGAATTTGAGAATCTTTGGAGAGCATGATTTGCAGCAAAATTCTTGGCTTTCATTTTATTTTGAGCTTTAGCATCAGCTATCATTCTCTTCTGAAGAAAGATCTGACACCTGGAATACAAATTAAAATGAAGTTACGTCATGATTGGGTCAGCTGTAATGTATGAAACTAAGTCAAAAGATGTCATAAAGATTTCAACAATCTAACAGAATGAACAACAGCCCATCTTCAAATGATAAGATCTTTTTGTTCCTTTTTCATCAGCCTTTATTTTCATCAGTTAGGGTCTAACAATAGCCCTTTTGAATGTTTGTCAAAATAACCATTTCATGTAACTTGATGCCTTCTTTAACCAATCAAATTTCTACCCTCTCCAGCGCCAGCATTTTGTGATGCAGTTAAAAGTTGAAAACATCCTTCAGGATTGGTTGAAGTTGACATGGATCAGCTAAGGGTGAAAAATTAAATGGTACCCACCTTTGAGGAGCATCGTCATGTCTACCAGAAACACACCAATCTAGTGCCATACCATTCTGTGTGGCGCTAGTTTCTAAAATCTTAAAGAAAGCTTGATTTTTTTGTTCTGCATGCTCCAAGATGATGATATCAAAGGTATTCTTCTCAGTAGTGGGAGGGTATAACTGCCAGGCTTTCAGATTTCCGCTGTTGGAACCAATTTCATGGAAGGGGCCTCTGTGGATGATGTCTAGAATCAAAGGATCATCTTTGTTGAGTTCCGACAGTCGCTTTTGGTCCTTTATAATGACGTGAACCGGCGTGCTCAATAAATAGTCTCTGGATTTGATATAAGCATTCTTCCCAGCTTCTTTGGGATCTGCCCCTTCTCCCTTACTCAGGTACATCTCATCTGCGTAGATTTCACAGGAAACAGGGTCCGACTCCGTTGATGATTTGTATTGACGATAATGTACTAAGGTCAAGGTCATTCCACAGGAAGCAGCCGCCATATTCATATCAGCAATACTGTACACTTTCTTTCCTTTGGGTAAACTTTGTTTCATATGCTTGAGCCTTTCCTTGAGTCTAGGGCTGAAGTATTTGAATGACATTTTGGATCGTCGTCCTAATGGAGTCTTTTTCTTCTCTGCGTCAGATTTTTCTCCTTCACTCGTTTCAGCTGGCTTTTCTTCTTCCGTTGCCTCTTCTGTACCAGGTTCAGTCTTTATTGGGACGTCTGGTTTCGTTTCTGCTGTTTCAGTGTCATCAGAGGTCTCCATCTTTTCAGTCTCTTCTGGCTTCTTCTCAGCTTCTCTCAACTCTTCGTTGCTCATTAGACAAATTTCACCCACTGTCTTTGTCATTAGTTTCCAATACGCAATATCAAACAGCAACTTTCGCAGCAAGTTTCGATTCTTTCTTCTTCCTTTACTGAGGAAGAAAGTTCCGAGATGGAGTTCACCTTCAACCTCCGGTTCCTCAGAATCTTTCACGTCATCCATTTTACAATGGAGTCGAAGATCGATTCCACTGTCATTCAAAGCTCTCTGGACTGTGTTAATGCTGCCACCTTGTGGTGGAAAGAACAGTACAAACTCGATAAATTTTTGCAGATTTTCTTCAGGGCTTGCCCATTCTTGAGGATAATCATATTCTGGTGCCATTGGTCTACCCCAGGCTTGTGGTGGAGGAGGGGGTCCTCGGAATCCAAATCTCATTCCTGGATCGGGTCCATAATCAAATGGTGGGGGTGGACCCATTCCCATACCCATTCTTGGTCTCTTTGGTTGCCATGGTCCTTGAAATTCCATTGGTCTCTTTCCAAATCTTGGCCCTCCTGAAATATAAGGTGTAATACATTGTGGCTATTAGAAACAAAAGAGTACATATTCTTGAAAATTTCATTCCACAAGAATGCTTGCTGAATAATATGACAAAAATGTCCCAGTGTTTTATGATTTACTTGTTAGACATGATTTGATGAACAAATTCAAATGACATTTTTAAATGAAATGAATTCATAAAAATCGCATTCAGACGATTTACTGTTTTGATCAATCATACATGACTGGCTAATACAGCAGAATCAAGAGTCCTGCAGTGAATTAATCAATTTTTGTACGTACCTCGGCCTCCTCTGCCCCAGCCTCTGCCAGCCATTTTGAATTACAATTAGTAACCTACAAAAGATAGGGAAAACCTCATAAGGGACGACTCGAGGAAATTGAACACATGCTGGAGAAGTGTTTGACATTTTTAAAGCCCTACTTTAACAAAATCTCAAGAACCAAGCATTTACTCATGAATCACCAATCACCGAAATTTCATCACCAAGATTTCACCATCAAGGAACTCGACACCACATTGCATAGTTTTCAAGATCACTCAAAGCTATTTGTAATGGGTATTCATGTGAATGCTTAATCAATGAATTGCATTGCCTTAAAAATGATAAAAATGAAAAGTGAAAAAGTTTCACAGGCATTACATTACTTTAATGAGTGAAATATGAAGAAAATTATTAATTATGATTTGAAATAAATTGATTATGAAATTTAATATTTGCAGAAAAATCTTAAATAAATATTTGTCAAACAACCTCTCCTTTAAAAAAAAATAAATAAAAAGTTTCAAAATTAGCCAAAATTTGAAGGAGTTTACCCTCGGTTGTTTTTGTGTTGAATTTACCTTCAGCTTTCAAATAAATATTTGTTGCGAATTCACCAAAATTTCTCAAAGTTTGGCACAATGCCGATAATATCAGTCTCAAGTGTGTCTGATTATAAAAGACACTAACAACTTTTGATTTCTCTTTGAAATGGTCCAAGTGGATGGCATCAAACCTAAAAATTCAATAGGAAAGAACATACAGAGCAAGTGAATTTCAACAATTTCATCAAGAAAAACATAGTAATTAACTTTCATAGAAATTGAATTATGCTAATCGAATAACTTTTCGTCAAGTATGGCTCAGTGAATTTATAATCAATTTTACTAGAAATATGGCAGAGGAATTTCAATGTGCAAGTGAGCTGCATTTCCAGATGTAGCAGAGATATGCTAATTTGAAATGGTGCTTTAGTACAAAATTTCAAGATCCAAGCACAAGGAAGAAGATTCAGAGAATACTATTTTGGTTATAAGGATTTCATTTGGTATTAAAAATTGCAAGTGTAGATCACACTAAATGAAAATATTGGGTTTTACATTAATATATCAAGAAGGAGTAGCATGATTGACAGGGTAATGGGTTCTGCAGTTTCTTTGTTAGAAAAGGAATTTGTTTGGCACTCCCTGCAGTGCATCACGATGAGGTCAAAGTGACCTAACTAATTTTCAGCACCATAACGCGCCACTGAAAGACAACTCACTGCAAAGACTAAGTGCAATTTTGTCAAAAATTTAATATGTGCACATAGACATAGAATATTTGCTATAGCAAGGAAAAGATATGTAGAAAATGCATTAAAAAAGCAAAAGATTTCCGGTATGAAACTAGCCGGGGACGCCATATTAATTTTTTTCAGTATTTTACAAAATTTCATCAGAAGATAACATCATCGTATCGACACAATTCGTTGTAATTTTGATACCAAAGACTTTCTAATTTAATCCCTTACAGATGCAGAACTTTTTTGTCGGCTACGTACCTGCATTTTGTAGCAAAATTAATTTTATTTGGAAATTAGTGAGCAACTCTTTTCACCCACGCACCGACTCTCCTAAATTGAAAACGAGGTTTATTTATCCAATTGACAAAAGCGTAACCATTTTTTTCCTCAAGTAACTAAAACGTAACCAAATGAATTAACTCAAATTTTTATTTGTGATGTGAATTTATTTTCGGGGGGAAAAGTACAGAGTATTTGTATCATATTTAGATAAATGTGTCAATTAAACCCTCAAATCATTAAAAATTGGAAAATTTCATTGAAAAGATTTGTTTCAAGTTTTTATCAAGCAGTAAAAGGGAGGAAACTCCAGTTTTCTCCAAATTTACGACGACATTCTTAGAAAAATGGCCGAAGTGTCTGGCCAGAGGTTGCAGTGGCAAACAATAATCAAGCCACTGCTCGACGCCTCTTATTCTTCCTTCAACAAAAATGATATTCCAGATTTGACAAAAGCAATTATTAAAAGGTATGATCTTTTTGACTTTATGGGTTCATTTTGGAAAGAGAAATCGTTCGTTTTTATTGTAAGGGAAAGTCTAAAGTTGAAATTATGGATCTAATGATAAATCAGTTTTGAGTATTGTCAATGTTGAATGAATGAGATCTTGTGAAACTGAAAGTTAAAAAAACAAAAACAAAAACATAGAAGGAATTGTAAAGGTTTTTCTAAATTTAGGGGACTGATAGCATCAATTTGTACCATTCCAATTTTCTATCAGATGTCTGCTCTGTGGTTCCTGAAAATTGGAATGGTGCTGACAGATTCAGTGTCCCTGATACATTTAAAAGATTAAGAGAACATATTTACAATCTCTTTAAACAAAAGAAGGAAAATTTAAACAATGCAAATTGATAGCGAGGGTTATTAATGTTGAATATGTGTGTCTTCTTGCAATGGCTAATCCTCTTACTAAAGTTACTTAGTGATTTGAAGCAGAGCTAAATTTTGTCAATACCTTTGTGAGTCTCTGATCACATTGTAACTGTATTAGAGTTTATTTTTACCATGTAGTTTAATTATGTCAGATCAGATTGTCTTTAAATTAATTAGCACTCTTCTCTTCTTATCTAGTCTTATCCTTCAATGTGACTGGTTGGCTCTGATGTGGTGACCTTATGGTTCACATCAGGGTGAACACTTTTTGGCATCTCCCTGGCAACAGTCAATGTTTGCTTCTTTCTGTCCCCTTTATGCTCACTTCAGACTTGGATCTGGAAGAATACGCACCATATTGTAGCTTTTATGCTATTAGGACTGTGAATGTCTCGTATATTGTTAGAGTAATTGTTTTTAAGTTAGGTTTGCTACAATAAAGTTTAAACTTGAAATCAGAACAAAATCATTATTTGGTTGATATAAATAATTTCATTTAGATATGTAGTCTCTCCTAAATCAATACCAACTTATTTGTGAATCTTTATTGCCCAAGTTCATTAATTTTAATAGATTAAAAATGTGAAAAGGGCTATAAAAAAAACACTCTTTTCAAGTTTAACCTTTCTGATATTTTGTTTATTTTCAGTGAAAAAGAAATATTAAATCATGATGATGACTATGAGCCATTTTATTCGTCTTTTATGGCGCTTTCAGGCCATTTTCTTGGTGCCAGTACCAATAATTGTAAGTTTTTTTTGTCTTCCTTTTGTTTTCTCATTTGATCATTGATTTTTGATCCATTTGTGGACTCTGACTTAATGAGTGAATTTTGGGTGCAAACATTGTTGTGTGATGATCCCATGTGACAACTGACAAGTGTATACACCCATTGATTTTGTGGACTATATTTAATGGTATGAGATTCTACTAGGTATATATCAGTTATTTCAAGACATGATCGTATTTGTCTGTTTTCAGTGTCCAAATCCCACATCAGTCCTGTCACCATGGCGTCGAAAGTTGTCATGGAATTTTTACTATCCCGATTACAGACCAAATCAGAAAGTTGTACTATTTCACAGGTATGTATGATAATATGGGGCAATAAAAGCACCCCTGTAGATCCTTCACAGCTGAAAATCAAAAATGTGTAGGCTTTTTCTGTTGCCCTGATTGCACACTGCATGGGGTTGCCCATCCTCCATAGCCCGAAAGTAGAATTTGAAGTTCCATTTTTATTGCTTTTCAGAAATATTTGATGATACTTATAAAAGGATTGTGTAAAGGAACTGGATGTTTACCAAAATCAGACATAGTTACCTTTACCTCCATGTTAAAATCAGCTAAAACTCCTACCCTTACTACAAACATCACAAAAGGTAGGTTTACTTACTACAGACATCACAAAAGGTAGGTTTACTTACTACAGACATCACATAAGGTAGGTTTACTTACTGCAGACAACCCAAAAGGTAGGTTTACTTACTAAAGACATCACAAAAGGTAGGTTTTGTTTACTACAGACATCACAAAAGGTAGGTTTACTTACTACAGACATCACATAAGGTAGGTTTACTTACTACAGACATCACAAAAGGTAGGTTTTGTTTACTACAGACAACAGACATCACAAAAGGTAGGTTTACTTACTACAGACATCACATAAGGTAGGTTTACTTACTACAGACATCACAAAAGGTAGGTTTTGTTTACTACAGACATCACAAAAGGTAGGTTTACTTACTACAGACATCACAAAAGGTAGGTTTTGTTTACTAGAGACATCACAAAGGTAGGATTACTTACTACAGACATCACCTAAGGTAGGTTTACTTACTACAGACATCACAAAAAGTAGGTTTACTTAAGCTTGCTATGATTTACACCAGTCATCACCAGTAACAGCTCACTAATTTTTCTGACCACTTTCAGAAGCTGAGGACAGTGGATCAAAAGAGACTAAAAAACCCAGACTAGACAAGGGAAGTAACCTATTCAATCAACTGACGTCAGTCTTTGATGAAGTAGCTTGCATATCCCACAAGCCAGACCCACCAGCCGTGAACGTCGACGGCAACACCATAATTCACAAGAACGATACTTCCGAAGAAATCGGTGATTTGATTGGAGAAAGAAACAGAGCTGCTCTGCTTCAGCTGAATGGTGCAGAGACCTTGCTCAATGCATGTACAGACTTGGTATTCCTTGGCAAATACATACAGAGATATAAGGACGCCAGTGAGGGAAAGAGTTTTTATATGCCTGCTACGTTATGTGAGGCTTTAACTACCAGAAACAGGTGAGTTTGGTTGTTCATCATCTTTGGATATTTTTGGTTTACCATCTTGGAACAGCCAATTCAAGCAGTGGTGGCTCAGTGAGTTAAATGGTGACCTGATGATTAAGGGTTCGATTCAGATATAGGCCTAGATAATACATTTTTTTATCTAGTTTCTCCTTGTCAGTGATGCAGTTCGGAGGAGATGACGTGGAAAAAGCATCTAGTCTTCGGTCCCATGTTCCACAGACTGCATGACGGTAGATGTCCAAAATATCCAGTAGGTCGTCTTGATATTTAGAATCTTCCCAATAGGTTTAGCCTCAGTTACAATTCGATGTGGACTGGTAAATGTTAGTTTGAGGTTATGAATTCAAATCCTTGAAAATATGACCATTTTCACCTTAGTTGTTATTGAATTCTATTTTTTCCAGTTATATATGTTTATTGAGTGATATATCAATAGTATGGAGAGCCTTCTCTCTACCGATGTTAGAACCATTGACTAATGAACGACTAGGTAAAATAGTCACAGTAACTCTAGGCTGTCTGTATGCTAGTATGACGGTAGCTGTGTCTAATACTATTAATAACATGGTGAAGCCTGTAGCTAACCAACCAGCTGCTTCAAGAGATGAAGAAATAGAAGGATATGGTATCAGTATTGTACAGAAATCGGTGAGTACGGTAGTGCTGGCACGATATATTGATGAATAATAATTAGTTTTCTATTAACCATGCCTCCCCCTGCATTTGCTTCTCAGTATGGGTGAGGGTGCCACCGTGGTTCTTCGAGTTAACACTTCTTTCTGTACACTTTTCAGCTGGAAATATTAAGTACTGTTTCAAATACTATCAAAAACTCTACAAGAGCCGGAGGAAACGTAAGTAATATGGAAAAAAATTTTTTTTTCAATTAAAAAGGATGTGGCAAGGTTGAGAATATATTGACAAAAACCTACCCTGATTTAACAAATGAACTCTTCTGAATAACCATTTCACTGTTACCATTTGAAGAGAAAAAGCATTTCTGGAAAGGTCTATTCAAGGTTTAGGGGTGTCACACAAACAATCCAGGGAAATCTTCAAAAAGCATCCTTTGGACCATCCACTTCTAAATATATTTTTCAACCATTCAGACATTATGGCAATAGTGCTCATCAGACATTTTCCTCATGTTTCAGGTGGCCCAGAATTTAAACCTGCTATCCTCCTGGGTGTTATTAAAAGGATTTCAAGGATTATTAAGTTTAACCCCAGCTATTATACTGGAAAGAAAAGATTCCAAGGGCAAGACTCAAGACAGTGGAGCCAAGACTGAAAAACCTTCACAACAGAGTAGACCCAGCTCTGGTAAAAGGTGAGTAACATAGGTTGGTTGCTATAAGTTTCATAACATTGATTTTCTGATCTTTGATTGCAGGGCCCACTTTCAAAAGTACTTTCCATGGCATCAGAATTGTTCTTACCTTGAAGAAGATTCAAACCTAATTGCCTAGTATATAACAAATTACTACCAATTGAGCTATTTCGCTGCCAAGGGAAGAGTTATTCAGTTTTTAAGTTGTTAACCCCTTCACAAAGATTGGTATACAGTTGGATACTAAGATTGCCAATCTGGCTTAGTTTTAATGAGAGAACATCTTCATGCAGGCTCTCTTAATTATTCACCCAAGGGACATAACTCTTAATACAGCTAGGATATTTTCAGACCACAATATTACTAAATGACAGTTTTTCTTGAAATTGTATAAGGGTTAAAATGAGGAGTTTTCCTTTTTTCAGCACATTCCAAGGATTTGGTGTACTATCAGTAGCTCTAGGAACAACTCTAGCTAATTTATTAACCAGTTTATTGGAAGATCTTCAAGTAGAAGGATCACCAGCTCCAATTGAGGTAGGTCAAGTTTTTTTTTAATTTTGAAATTTTGGAAACAAACATGGGTTATTAGACTTGAATGAATTGTCTTTGCAGAATATTGTTGAAATTTGGTGCACTTGAGTTCAAATTCAGAAAAATTGGATGTATGTGAAGGACTGGATATACTGTGTCAGTCTTCTACTTGATACCCCTCAATTTTTCATGAACTCTTCCACACATGCATTCTTCCTATCAATATGAAACTGTATATGTATGGTTGGAAGAGCTTGTTAGTGTAATAAGGGGTATATTTTGTTGCCTCAGTGAAAAGTTAAAGAAATTTGAATTTTGTTGTAGATGTCAAGTCGAGTAGTGAAAGAAGGAATGGAAATAGCTATAACAATGCCACTCAATGCCTGGAAACGTGTTCGTAAATTAACAGCTACCATTAACATCATAGACTTGTTATTCAGTCTAGTAGCAGTCTCACTTAGAAAGGTAGGTGCTAAATGATTAATCTTTGGCCAGTCCGTTGTTTTAGTTAGTTTTCCCCATTGCACACTGAGAAATGCAGTTGATATCTATTAATCTTTGTTCTGTCTATGCTTAATGATAATAATAATGAAAGGAAAATACGACCGAAAACCTTACATCAGTAATAAATGCACATTTCTATATTGTTGTTGAAGTGATTACAGTGTAAACTATGATTTACTGTATTGCAGAAGAACTTAATGTCAGATTATATATCTGAAAAGAGATACATATACCTGAAATTGATCAAACCATAGGCAGTTATTATTTTTTTTTGTTGGAAGTAAAACTCCTTTATTTTTCAGGCTACTCTATTAAAGAGATTAAAACAAGGCAGTGATAACTCGGAGACTAGTACCAGTAGTAGTTCTGATTCTAATACATTCTATGAGGATGAATTTAGCAGTGAAGAGGACAGCAGTGAGGATGGTGAGTCCACGATTTCAGGGTTAAATTATGTGGCATCTCTTCAACCTATTAGCTTCAAGCTCTGAAGTCTAAGTTCAAAGATAAGAAGTACCTTGGGGGCTGTTGTTACCAAGATAAGGTATGCTCACTCTTCCAAAATACCTGATGCCACTCTGCACCTGAGTTAGTCATCATGGCAAGCTTTTTTTGGAGAATCCACACAGTGAGTGTTTACATGGTGCAACATTTTTTTCTCTTTGTTTCAGATGAGGCAGATTCCATCCTGGGTCAGTTATTTCAAGAGACACCCCCAGCAGAGACCACGCCCTCTAATCCACCACCCACCATACCAGCTAGGGTAGAGAATGGGTCGGACAGTAAACGATCTAGACGTGTCAGTACAGGAGACAGCTCATATCTTATTCCTGATAAAAGAGAACCTGATGGGGTAAGTATTGGTGGGAGGAGTCAGTTATGTCAATAGACCACAACCCTCGCCCTGCCCACTATAACAGTTAGGGTAGACAGTGGGTCTGACAGTAAATTATGCTCTAAATTTCGGGTGTTTCAAGTTTTGGAGAATTTTTGAGGGTATTTTCCTTCCCAAAAGAGTGCCAAAAGCTTTTTTTATTCACTCTTTTTTCCAATTTATTCCCACAAGTATTAAGAAATATCAACCATGGAAATCTGTTATCTATCGTTTAGGATTAGAAAAATGTGAGCTTATTTCTATTTTGCACCCTTTTTTTTCAGTTTGTAAGTCTAGCTACCAGTATACTAAACTTCAGTAATACTTATCTTATTAACTCTTCTGATATTCAAGTTAGAAAATTGTTCAAGTAAGTTATAGAATCCATATTGTTATAGACTTTATCATCCAGTCGATGACAGGAGAAGTTTGGGTGTCAGACCCAGCCCTGTCCCCAGGAATGAATTGGTGCTGGGGCTCAGATATTGTACTCAGAAAATTTGAAGAATTAAAGGCCCAGAGAACTCCATTCTGACAATTTTGCGGTGCCAAAAACGTAGATCTAAATCTAAATCTTTTTGATTTTGTACAAAGACACTGTAAATGAATCAATCTCTGCTGAACTGAAGAAGGTTTTGCTGGGGCTTAATTCTAACTTGCTGGGAACCAGCCCCCACAGACCACACCCTTATGACTTATTGCCCAAATATGATCATTGATGTTTCATCAAGATAAAAAAAACATAGATTAAAAAAAAACTTGTCATATGGTTGAGCCATTAATTACTCTCCTTCAAGGCAATCTTACTGTCACATGACACCAAGGGCAAGGAACTCTATTTTACTAAAAGAGAAGTAACTCTTGTTATAAGAAGTACTTCAGACCACAATATGATATTAAGTCGATTATGTTTTTGTAGAAAATCACTGAATGAAGAACATGCAGTTAGTTTAGCCACATTGATAAAAGAATTAGATAGAGAATGTACCAAAACAGGCAGTGGTAAGTCTATTCAAATTCAGAATCAGACTCTCCAGTCATGATTGATATTTTCGGTGGGGAGTTTCCTGTCTTTAGCTCATTCACTTGTAGAAAAGAGGGATGTAAAACTTCATTTCAATTCAGTAAGTTATTTGCAATCATGTGTGGCCTGCTTGTCCATATTATGTTATGAGTGTACAATGAAATAGCCATCTAAGTTGATCATTATGTTTGAATTAAAGGGATTGCTGAAAGGTTTTCTAGCCTTTGTATGTATAAGGTTCACTTATAGCTTCTGATTTCCAGTACAACTTGCAGCTATCATAAAATGTCACGACTAGCTTATAATGTCACTATCAAAAATGCCATTTGATCCACTTGTTTGTTATGAAGGATATAATGGTTTATTTCAGATAAAGTATTTGATGGGATTTCTGTAGCTCTAGCCAAGTTTAACCATAGTCTAATAGCTACTGAATGTCTTTCTGAGGCTTTACAGGTAAGGTTTGCCCAAGTATTTTCTTTTGCTTTGTTTTGGTGACTTGTACCATATCTTTTTGTGGCCCATATTAAATCACAAATTGGCAGCTTCACACAGATACATAAAAACAAATATTAAAGACATACTGAGGTTCATGAAGCTAATAATTTAAATGTTTAGCTTGGCATTCTTTTCTGTAAGTCCAAATAACCATGCTATTTTGAAATAATTTTGGATTGTTTACTTGCCTACCCTCAGAGAGTCAAATACAGAGACTTATATCATTTTGATGTATTCATTTTTATCACTTTTCCCAACAGGATGTTCTTTTGCTTCATCTTGGAATCAGTCCATCATCAGCCGACCCCTGGCCCTTGTTGGTGTACCCCCGAACCTTGCCGTACTGGCGGAGATTCTGCTGTTGAAGCAGCAGAAGGAACGTGAACAGGAACTACCCACTACCAACTGTGACAAGGCTGTGATCGAGGTGTGGACCAGGTTTTTGATGACACTGAAGAACTCTATTTGTAATTTTGATAACAAGAGTGAACAATTTGAAGGTTAGAATATAATTAGATTACTTCCGAATTTCTTATGTACACAATACTGATACTCCATGTGTACTTTTTTCCTCCATTTTGAACTAATGAAGATGTTACACACTATTCCATGTGTAACTGAGAAGTTTTGCTAGAACAGTTGCTTGGGCTTACTCCTTTTCGATTTCCAACTGTCGAGGGATCTTAAACGTTCACAGCATGTAGCTTGAGGACCTTAGTCTATTGTTCCTATCCCATTTTCCTTGTCATCATACATCACTGATAGAGGAGAGTTGAAACATAAAAAGATACCATCTCAACCAGTGTCAATTTTAATTCAAATCGATTATAACTTAAATATATCCGAGTTTTGGGATATTATTTTTCAGATTTAAATGTGGAACATATTCAGCTTCTACTGTTCTTGTTTCACAGTTTACCATTGATGCAGAAAAAACAACTGTTACTAAATTTAGCTCAAACTGTCATCACTGTAGCCAAGAAAGATAAAGTGTAAGTAGGCTCTGGGATTGGGTTAGATATAAAAATTGACACACTTTACTCCATTTATTTCATTCGTTTTCTTTCATCTACTTCATTTCATATCATTTTATTTCATTTCATATCATTTTATTTCATTTCATATCATTTTATTTCATTTCATATCATTTTATTTCATTTTATTTCATTTCATATCATTTTATTTCATTTCATTTCATTTCATTTTATTTTATTTCATATCATTTTATTTTATTTCATTTCATTTCATTTCAGTAAACTAGAAGAAAGCGTACCTCTACCATTAAGTAGACTGATGTTAATATTTGAGTATATGTTACATTACTTCTATGACCCACCAACATCACTTATTGAAAAGGTAAGAATTATTTAACCATACCTTATCAGTCTGAGGGATTGACATTGATTAACCCTAATCCCCTAATACCTAACCCTTGCATAACTGCAAGGTTACAATCCATAATGCCATGCCTGTGCCAGTGGTTTCGTGGCATTGAATAACTGCAACCTAGATGCTACAGAACCTTGACCAGATGGAAATAAAAATTGACAAAGCTTATTATTCAGCTCTGCCAAAATTTCCCCCATTGCAAACTGTCATCCATTTGCAGTAATACAACCAGCTTACATGGATCAAAGTTTTTAGTAGGATATTGTATTCAAAATTTTGATGAAAAGCTCCATTCCATTATATTTCAGGTACAATGGAACTTGTTCACTGTATACACCATTCCACCTGGACAAGATCGTGAAAGTTATAACCTCTCTAAATCAACTCAATTCTTCCCCTGTCGTGAAGTAGAGGACAATTTCCGTAAAAACCTCACACCTCAAGAACAGCATGAAGGTTGGTACTAGTCATGTTGTTTTTACATGGACACTTTTGATGTAAATTCTGACCTTTGATATTTGAAAATTAAATGTATTATTACTATGAGAACTCTCCAAAAGTGAAATTGTTTTATATTTCAGTGGGAGTATTAAAACCAAGGTTCTATAACCTAGGACCAGGAGATATAAATAATCAAGAAGCACCTAAAATTGATGGTTTTGTAAGTTTCTTTTTTCACCTTAAATAGATAAACCAAGTACTAACAATCAGAACCACTATACAAACCCAAAATAGAAAATTGTGCACCATCAATATTGACTGGGAACTTCTGGTGAAAAATTTCACTGTCTATAATGGGTGCCCCATGTTTGTCAAGCCCTTTTTAGGGTAAAACCTGTTCAGTAAATCTCTTGCATAAGCCTGTTATTATTCATGTGTTATTTTCCATATTACAGGCCTGCAGTTTCCTGATCAGCAATCCAGATGTGTTAGACTATAATCAACTATATGATTCCTGTATTGCCCTGTTATTAGCAGGCTCTAGATGTGATAAAGCCAAAGAGAAGTTAACTCTATTGGTAAGTCATCCCTACTTATCCTCTCATTGTTCGCTTCATTGTACACTGAATACTACTTCACATTGATAGTGGCATGAAAGCTCTTTTCCCAGGCATCAACTTGTTAAAGTCCTATCATTTACAGGATATCCCAGCAATGCATTGTCCATTCAGTTACAGCTTAGCTGTAATATGCTAAAAATAGAACACTAGTATGACTTGAGTAGGACAATTGGTAGGAAAAACCACTATAACTGTTAAAGTTGGGTATCATGTGGTACACAAACCACCTCCATGACATCATGGCTGATCTCTCCTATGGATACTTTCAATTTTTTTGATTTTAGTCTGTCCATGTACCGCACTTTTCTTTTTTTTCAGTGAAAATTATGAATTTACGTCCTATGTATATGCCTTTGAGGACAACTCCACAAATTTTTGGCCAATGGAATAAAAGATTTCAAAATAGCTACTTTCTTTTTCCAGGATGCTTCAGCCATGCATTATCATTTCTTACTGATGTGGAGACTATTGTCCTGTCTACCTCCCTCAATAGAGTATATGAAAATATTAAAAGAAGGTACCCTACAACTGGGCAATGGTCATATTCTACACAACCTCAGATGGGCACCACGACTTGGACACAAAAACTTCACTACATGGATCACAGTGAGTGTGGCAATAAGTTTAATGACTTTTAATGCCTAGTTACTAGCAAGTTGGATTCTGGTCATGGAAAATTTATATACTAGTCTAAATACACAAATGATATTCATGTTGTTTCTCAGAGTTTCTTATTGTTTAATCTTCAGTTTATAGCTGAAATAGGTCAGTTGTCTGAAGAACATGTTTCAGGTTCTGTTTTAACTTGTATATTTACAAACTTGTATCAATTCACCAATATATCATGCCAGCACCAAATATTATTATGGAATAACCTTCTTTTAGGATTGTATCGTGAAACAAGGAATGACCACCAGTCTATCAGAGAGTCTCCTGTCTATCTCCAACAAGACATCTAATAACATGACCTATGATATCAAATTAGGAATGAGCTTCATCAAAGAACAGGTAAGTCTTTCTTAGATATCCTTAGAATGTTTTTGCATTACTTTTAAGTGATGCAAGTCAAGGGGCTGACAGAATGGAGGAAGTCACTTCAACTCTTCTTTGAAACCCATGTGATATATATTTCAGTTGAAGTCGCTACCAGAAGTTGATAAGAAAGATATATTAACTCCCAGTCAGCTACCAGGCCTGTCTTCTATACTCATGTTAGATGCTGTTATAGCCAAGATACAGGTTGCTCTAGATACTGCTTTTAATAAGGTAAGGATGGGGTCAGGGAGGTTGGACCATCTGGGGCCCTTTTTGAGTACTGTGAATTTCTACCTAATTCAGTTTCCTCTCTGTGTACATTAGAATTTCTGTTTAGTTGTGTTTGCCAGAGTTAGGTTCGGACATTGAGTTCCTTTGGATTTTTTCTATCTGTTTTCCCTGTGTTTTTTGATGCAGGTCTTAGGAGCTGATAGACATTCTGATTGGGTAATAAACTCTAAAGTGTTTGAAATTGAAAGAGAATGCAGCTGTCTTTCCAAATTTCTCTCTCATTGAACACTGCATTGCATTGTCTTCATTAGCCCAAACTGAAGCTGAAATATATGATGTAAAACTGTATTTTATTCAAGATATTGTCACTAAATGTTTCATAATCAATCCATGCGTCCATCTTCTTATTTCTTCTTCTTTCTTCTTCCAATCCAGTACATGACCTTCTAACATAATATACATTGTCTTGTAGTCTGAAAGTGATCTACATAGAGTAATGGATTCAGCCCAAGATTTGATACCAGCTACCTTTAAACTAATAGAGGCTTACTATGTTTATGTCAGGTTAGTATTACTATTAACATCTGTTTTGGACATACAATCTTCAACAGGACAGTTTGTTTCGAAATGGGTGTTAAATTTCCAAGAAAATCTAATGTATAATTGCGAATATAGTGTGTACTTTTTACCCTCCGGTATATCTGGAAAACTCTGGTGAAGTTACAGAATGTTTCCTCTATTATTTTAGATCGTGTGTACTGGATGAAATTGCTGGAGTAGACTCAGCTAACCTGACACCTAATAAACTGAATGCGTTTGGTACAGTGATGAGTATAGGTTCCAGCAGAAACTCTAAAGTTCTGGCTCTCGGTACCAGTATAATGGGCATGTTACCTAGTCCAGTTAGAACTACTCTAGATAAATGGAATAACAACAGTAATAATGAATTTCCTGCCATGCAATCTTGGGTATGTATCAGGGCTGTTGATTTGGCTGTATTTGCCAAACATGTATCTTCTTCCACCCAAAATGGCTGACTGAAAAAAAATCCTCCCAAGTTATTACTAGTATTTGAAGATATATCAGAGGGATTTTGTTTTGAATATTTGATTTATGTATAGGTCAACTTTCCAATATCAGACCTTGAAGCATCAGAGCAAAGCCCCTCAACAAACCAGAAATTCCAGTAAAGGACCATCAGATTTTAGGATCCTGGAGAAACTTGCATCATTCATGTAAAATAGGACAGTTCCTATGGTTCAAGCACTAAAAGTATATTTTGTGTTTATAATTACAGAGAAATACCACTATGTTTGGAAATGACATACTGCCCTGTGAGAGTTATATGGATGCTATTCACAGTGCTCATATGGTCTCTTTATCAGGTAAGTTAGACCACTCACCTAACAATTCCCTGCTCTCCCCCCTCTCCCAAACAGTACCCCTTGAAAGAATGAGGATCAGATCTACACAGTCAATGATAGCTGTTATAAAGACCCTCAGATATTGAGTCATAAAAACTCTTTGTTTTATCAGAATTGCAAGACCCATATAAAAAGTTTAGAAAACCTCTGTATAATCCCTTTAACAATATAAATGATTAACAATATCTATCTTTCAGGTCAAGCCAGTTTCTGTATTAATGCATCTTTAAGACATTTGCTACAATCTTTAGTTAGATTTGCTAATGATTTAGTCGAGTAAGTAGCCACCATAACATACTTTGATTTTCTCCATATTCTAGAGGTCAGATTTTAATTGGGCCCAGATCAAACTCAGTATCATTAGAGCTTCCCTGGAAAAGTACTGTGGTTGGGGAAAATCTTAACTTTGCTGGAAATTCTAAAAGCATTGAACAAAGATAGTCTTCATTAATATCCCAAGATGTGCAGAAAAGCAAAACTACTTGCTTAATACAAAATCAGAGTCCAACTCCTAAGAAGTATGTGTATTTTTTTGTAGATGGTGTCCAGACAGTGCTAGTAGTAGAGAACTAGTAAGAGTTATGTTCCCTTTACTGTACGATGCCACTACTGAATACCTAGCTGATATGGTAAGTACATCTTAGATCTTTAATCTTCATATTTCAATGAATCAACCAGAAGTTCTTTAAAACAAGTTGGAACAAGGTTTTCTGCAGTTAGATAGACTGACTCTTCATAGGGTAGTCTGTAGGTTGGTCAGTTGGAGAATCAAGCAAGCGATGGTCATTGATTCTAATCTCGGACTATGCGAACCTAAGTTGTTATCCTTGTATAAATTGGCTGTTGCTTAAATTCTTTCTTTCTTTATGGACTATTTCAAAATTAATGGCTATTCTATTTACAGGTGTCATTCTCTCTGGAGAAGTTCCTAGGTCCAGTTGAAGAAGAGAAGTTTGGATTAAATATGTATCAACATGTAGTGGTTGTCTGTCATCAATTGATAGAAAATTTTTCTGACTCGGATAGGTAACTTCTTTATTTTTTTTTAATTGTCAGTACAGCCATTGTTAGTCTTAAACGTTAAGGTCTAATCCCATTTTCATCTGATAATGGCTTGTGGTTATCTGTCATCAACTAAGAGAACTTTTCTGAGGTCTGAACACAACTCTGTACCATGATTGTTGAGTGGTATGTTACTTATAAGATTTCTGTTGCCATTGATTCAAAAGGGGGTGGAATAGATTGAGAAAAAGGATAAATTCTTTTAGAAATAAGCCCTTCTTGAAACAGTTTGTGTACCTTTAATCCAATCATTAATCCAATCAAGATGCCATGGAATAAGATGCTTTGCTAGGCCTTACTTAAGGCAAGACATAAGGGAAATAACTCTTCAATGCAAAAGGGAAATTACGCTTTAGAACTAAAGGGAAGTAACTCTTGTTTAACTTTGGTAAATTCAGACCACAAAGCTCAATAACAATTGCTTCTGTTTACAGTGGATTAGATGAGAACATTCTACATGAATGTATCAAGTTTATGGAAAGCCATGTAGAGAAAGCACCTTGTAAAAACGCCATTAGTATGTGTTATACCACAACTTCAGGTAGGCCTTCCTTATGGTAGTTAGTTACTATAAATAGAAATGATGCCATGGGAGTCATTATCACAGTATAGGTCTATCATAGTTTATTCAAGGGTAGCTTTAACTGGAAATGCTTTGATGTGTCTTACAATATGTACCTTTTGTTTGTGACTACAAGTCAAACCAAAAGCTTTGTACTACAAGATCAACTCTGTAATAAGAAGGCATATCAACCTTATTCCCTTTCTGTGTGCATGAAATTTATTGCTCTGAGGGACATGTATTTTGGCCCACCTCACTTTAAGCATCTTCAAACATTTTGATGAAATCTACAGCTGAGATAAACAACAATTTGAGATAAATTTACACAATGTTAAAACAAGGGGCATAATTAAACACTAACGTGCAATTTACTACTGTCTTTTGGGCAACTAAAAGACTGCTTTTTGACAATGATATAATATATGTATTTTCAGATTTGACCAATGTATTGTTGACAGTGGCTAGAGACAATCTCTCTCCCCAATTTACCACAGAAGTCTTGAAATTTGTCAACAAAATATTTAAACTGGGTAAGTGCTTTTATATTTACTATGTGGATTGTGGAGCATGAATGATTTGTATTACATTTCCACATTGGTTATGCTGTGCAGTGTTCAGTGAGGATTTGCTTTACCCTTTTAACATTAGCGTCTGCTCTACTTGTCAGTGATGTAGGTGGGAGGAGTTGACATTGTGTGCTACAGGCTGTGCAGGGTAAAGATCCCTCAACAGTTCAAAATCGAAAAAGAGTAAGGTAACACTGCTGTCTTGGCAAAATCAAGGGCATTTTATGTTTTTATTTCAGCTGAGAGATATCCTAGTGATAAATGTTATCAAGGTCTGAGTAGCTGTATATTTAAACTAGCCTCAGTTGATCATACAGTACTCAACTCTCTACTTAAAAAACTCTTTACCAATCCAACCAATCAGGTAAGAGAGACCTTTACTCTTGACTTATAACTTATTTCTATTGTGTTTCAATTTATTTTCAACATCCACTCTTTATTTTAGATTGCTCTCAAACTTACTTAGTTATTTCTTAATTTTGATGAAAAAATACCAGTAGATATCCCTAAACCACAATTTCAGTAAAACATTTTGAGAATCCAATCAGACATGGCTGGCAAATATTGCAGTATAACACATGTTTTATTATTATAGGATTCATATGATGATGCTAGTATTACAGAAAATAGACAGCTCTTTCAAACACTGGCTACATATCTTGTTAAAGACAAAAGGTAATGGTCTATTTCACCATATATCATCTCTTCAGCAAGTCCAAAACTAGAACATAATTTTAAAGCCATGATAATTTGACCTCATAATTACATAGATATTAGACTTCAAAAATTATTTGATAATTGTCTTTTCACTGCTGTAATTGAACAAATTCAGTGGCCACCATTTCAGCTCAAATCGCCCAAATTTCACAGCTTTGGTTTTGAAGATTTTATATCATTGACTTTAACAGATGTATCAGTTATTCTCCTTTGCTTTCAGAAATGCCAGTGAAAATGTAGCAGGGACATTGTTGACCTGTCTTCTACCATTGGGAGAGTCTTTACTCAACAAACCAGACAGACTGGGAGCCTTCTCTAGTCTAATGACAGTCCTACAAACACTGGCTGGGGCAGGACAAGGTGAAGGTCATCTACAGTTGTTTAAAGCTGCCACAAAATGGCTGGAATCATGGTATGTTTCAATGATCTGTTTCTGAAGTTTAGGCCTGAGCTTATGTTCTGTTAGGAGAGCTAGACAGATGCCAACAACCGATTGGTCACTAAATTTAAATGAAGTATTACTCTGGACTCTTATTAAAATAACGTATCATGTAATTTTGTGGTCAGTAGAGCAGCTGCTAGTGATGGAAGGGTTGCTCACAGAGCACAAATGAAAATAAAGCATCAGAATTAGTGTTTTTAAAAGGCAGCATTGAGATAATGTGGTAACTTTTTATTTGTATTTCAGTAAAATATATTTATCAAAGAAAGATGTCCTTGAAAAAGTCTTAAAGAATGAAGCCTCAGAAAAGGTAAGAGTCAATTTTAACTATGGTTTAAACTTAAAAGGATTGTAAAGAGGTTTACTAGCCTTTTTATGTGTATCGGGGACACCTTTGACTTCTATTTGGGACATTCCAGAAAGAGCTAACTGGAAATGACAAGGCTCCCACAATAACATAATAATATATGTTATCTCCCTGATACACATAAAAAGGCTAGAAAACCTCTTTACAATCCTTAATACATGTCGAAAGGGCTAAAGTAGCTTAGTCTTCTATCAGCTGGTTCTTGACCAAACATCTTGGTATTGATGCCTGATCATCTGTACCAATTGACCACTGCATTTAATGGACTTTAAGCATACAAACTAAGAATAGGCAAATGATGTCACAAGACTGCAATCACTGATTGAGCTACAGCCCCCAACCAAAAACATAATTTTCTGTGTTTGTGTTTTCAGGGTATACTAGACACTGTATGCTGTATTTTAACCTACATTGGTGAAATATTGACAGCTTTGAAACGATCTACTGACAGGTGGGTTACTATTAAGTTTTTAGCACCTTAAAGATTCTGCGACAGTTGGAAAGCAAAAAAGAGTAGTCTAATGCTGCTTTCTTGACAAAATTTCCAATTTTACATAACAAAAAAAAACCAGAGTACTATCAATCCCAAACGACACCTGAAATCCAAAATAAAGTTTGGCAATATATTGGTAGCAGCAAATGAATTTTTCAAATGAGAATAAGTGAGTAAGTATTTCATAATGAAAAGTATCAGCTTTCCTGAAGACTCTTGGTATATTTTTGTAGAATTGGAGCGACCACACCACCAATTGATAGAGACCTGACCTTAATACAGGAACGTGAAACAGATTGGGATGATGATTTGATACAAGATGATAATGAATCAGCTGGAGAAGACTCTGTAAGCTTCCCTTTTGTATTCTCCAGTCTTTAGAGACTTATATTTGTCTTCTTGCCTTTATCTAGGATGGCTCATCGAGCCTAAGGCTTGCTTGCTATCCAAGTGGGCAGGCACAGAGTCTTGCTCACAATTGAAGGTCCTGGGTTTAATCTCAGAATAGGTTTTGAAAATACATTCAGATTTTCCAACTTGGTTTCACCCCTTTCAGTGATGCAGGTTGGAGAGGCTGACATGGAAAAAGTGTATAGTTGTTGACCAGACCCTGTGTTCTACAGGCTGTATATGTTATAGATTCCTTAGGAGTCCCTCTAAAGTGGCATGAGATCTGTTTCCTCTACTGTAAATATATTTCTATATGGTTTGCTTTTTGCAGGATGAAGAAACTCTGAATAATAAACTCTGTACCTTTACTGTAACACAGAAAGAATTCATGAACCAACATTGGTATGTATTGGGATTTGCTTTTAGATTTATTATTTGGTTTATCCTAGTCTTTAAATCAGGTGCAGACCAGATTGAGAAACTCTCCATTTCAGTAAATGGTTATGTTATAAGTGGTTCTCTTGCTTTTCAAAAATTTCTATATATAACTTTGAATTAAAGAAGAACACAATGATGAATTGTCTAGTTGCTAGGCTTTGTCACTTCTCTCTCAAGGGAGACTACTCTTATTGCATACTTGATGGTTTCATACCACAATATGACATGGTTGAAAGTGCCATTGTCATACATGTAAATATTCCAATAACAATGATTTACATCTTCATTCTTTAGGCTTTGTCACTACTCTCCTAGGGGTGATAACTCCTAGTGCATACTTCACGGTTTCAGACCACAATATGTTAATATTCCCTTGTATTTTATAGGTATCATTGTCACACCTGTAAAATGGTAGATGGAGTAGGAGTATGTACTATCTGTGCTAGAGTCTGCCATAAAGACCATGATCTAACCTATGCTAAATTTGGTTCCTTTTTCTGCGATTGTGGTGCTAAAGATGATGGTTCCTGCAAGGTAGTCAGATTTTTGAACCTCAGATTGGCTTAATGTGCCACAGATCATTTATGCTAAAACCATGGTCTTTTGGAAGCTCAGCAGCCTTGCTCACGACAAGCTGTTTCCAAAGAGCAACTCTTATTTTTAGTCTGACTTCAAATTCAAAGTTAAAAATATTTAATAGTTTTCAAAATTCTTTTTAGGCATTAGTGAAAAGAACACATCAAAGTGGTCTGGACCATCCATCTAACATAGCCACACAGTCGCCTTTCTCAATGGAGACCTTACATCCTAGCCTACTGAGACGCCGGCTGTCTTCACCAAACCCGGATAATAAAACTGACGAGAATAAGAGAGTAGAAGAGGATGACAAGATCAGAGAAATTCTTTGTCAGAAAATAGAATCCTTTAGAGATGATCTGTTGAATCATTTGGTACGTAAAAATGATTGTTGAAAGGGATTGTGACAATTCTAAACTTTTACAGGATTGGGGCATTTATATTTTAGCAGTTTTTGGCATGGCAACATCCTAAAATAGTTTTTTTTATTGGAACTGCAAGAGCCACAGATGGAAATGGTGCCAATAGTTGCTTTTAGTGATGATACACATTGAACGTTAAGAAAACCTCTTTACAAATCCAATTTATTTGGTCATCATTATCTCCTTGTTGTTTTTTTCTTTGTTCACTAAGTATAAAATAGTAGGATATGAAAATCTAAGGTACAGACTGTTGCTACTTCAACACTTCAAGAGATTGGGAATTCCATATAGGGCTGTGATAGTGTTCAACCATTTTGTAGCTCATTCACCAGAAAGTAGGGTGTAAAACTCCATTCTAATTAAATATTTCAGGATACATCCAACACAGTCCACTCAGTGTTAGAAATGTTAGAGAAGATCCTACCACCATTGATGGAGAACTACCAAGATGTTTCCCCAATAGGTAGTACTGCCAGGGCCCAGAAAGCCTTACAGAATCTACATGAGTTAGCTAGTAAAACTGTCAATACGACTGACCAACTTATGGTAGGTTATGACAAGATCGAGAGGGGCAGGGGATAGGGACAAAGGGGATATTTAATTCCAGGGCATAATGCTTTTGGTCTCTTTCCCGTAAAATCCAACAAGAAATTTTCATCTTTTTTAAGGCCACTGTGCTTATTTTTGAGTTCCTTTCCATTAAAATCTGCCTTTTGTTTTTTTCAGACTGTGACTCTAGGGTCTCAAGAAGGAGCCTTTGAGAATGTTCGTATGAACTACAGTGGAGATCAAGGGCAGACAATCAGACAACTGATTACGGCTCACATGTTAAGACGTGTGGCTATGTGTGTCTTGTCCTCACCACATGGAAAACGCCAACATTTAGCTGTGAGCCACGAGAAGGGAAAGATCACCATACTTCAGCTTTCTGCTCTCCTGAAACAAGCTGACTCCAGCAAGAAGAAACTGACTTTGACAGTAAGTTATTTCAAACTTGATGAAAAAAAAAAACCCACTAGAATAGAATGCTTGAGGTGGTAAAGGATCTCATTAGATCATCGTCTTTACATACAAATTTGTATCAGATGTCTGTGGTTCATGCAATTTTGCCAAAAACTAAGCCTTTAATGGATGCTCAATCACAAATGCCCAAAGATATTATTGATGCAGTCTTCTTCATGATGTAAAGAGTCTCTAGGATAAAAGATAGTTTTCTTAATGTTTAATATTTCTATATTTCAGAGACTTTATTCAGCACCCATACCCTTCACAGTCCTGTCTATAACAGGTAATCCTTGTAATGAAGATTTTCTAGCTGTCTGTGGACTCAAGGATTGTCATGTATTGACTTTTACTGGTATTGGTACAGTAGGAGACCACCTGGTTCTTCATCCTTCATTAACAACCGGCAACTTCATCATCAAGGTCAGGCCATTTTTTTATTGCCGAGTTAACGCCAAATTTCCTTAACAAGGAATCTCATGCTTTGCTTCAAGACAAGTTCACTGTTAATAAATATAAAAGTCAATTTGAGATGCATGTCCTTGTGAACTTGCGTCCACTCAGACTTGGAATTGGAGAAAACTCAACAGAACGGATTTAAAATAAGAAAATACCAGTGGGAGAAATGCCTCATATTCGCACCAGGCATCCTTGTTAGATATTTCTGTGTCTTTTCAGGCATTATGGCTACCAGGATCACAAACAGAACTGGCAATAGTTACAGCTGATTTTGTCAAGGTAGGTTAAGAAAAATAATTGGAATTATATAAATGAAATTTCATTTTTGCAGATTTTCTCCCAATCTAAAGTAATGATGGTATTATTGGTCTGGTGTTTCAAGTGATATCAGAAACTAAAAAACAGTAGCCTTGATTCTTCAACATTGTTAAATGTTATATTTCATATGATTTCAGATATATGATTTAGGATTAGATGCCATCAGTCCACAATATTACTTTCTGTTACCAAGTGGTAAAGTTCGTGATGCATCGTTTATATTCTCTGAAGAAGGGAGGTATATGGTTTTGATGTCCTCTTCTGGATATATCTATACTCAGATTATGGAGGATGCAAGCAGTGCTGTACATGGACCATTCTACATCACTAATGTATTGGAGGTCAAACACCCAGATTTGAAGGTAAGAATTCCAAATTTTGGAAAATAAAATTGATTTTCGAGCTAAATGATGCCTGATTTTCATATTGAGAAAATATGGACACAGTGTGTTAGACACTAGCTTGCTAACCTGAAGGTCCTGGGATTAATCTGGTCACTGAAGGAGGTTTGAAGGGCCCACATCTAATAGTTCAGATGATACATTAAACCAGGGACCAGTGAGCTATGTTTAAGATCTTGGCCATCTTCGTTAGCTGAATCAGGAAGCAGGACTTGAAACTCCATTTCATTTTCCTTTCTTGATGAATATCTATTGCATTCTAGGAAGTTGTATCAGGGCAAGTAGCAGGAGGTGGAGTATCTGTTTATTATTCTCATGGTCTACAGTTACTCTTCTTTAGTTATACACAGGGTAAGGTTCTTTCATTTGTTGACTTTACCAAAGCCTTTGATACAATCTGGATGGATTGATTATTATTACCAAAGGTCCACACTTTGACTGGATGGATTGACTATCAATACCATAGCATAGGGATATTTTATTTGCTACCTTTTAACAACCTTTCCATTACAGCAGAATTGAATTTGATCTATTTAAAAGGATACAGTAGTCATGATATTTGCCTTGCTTTCTAATAGAAGTCAATCTCAGCTGTCTTGATTGATAGTGCTAGGGAGAAACTTGAACTTCATCTTGCATGAGTGCAATCTTTTCCCAAAGAAGACTGTCACAGTTTGAAAAGTTTCCAAGACATTATAATTGATTCAAGTAATATTGTTATTGTAGGTAAAAGTTTTGTTGGACCGGTAGCTAAAGATTTCAGTCAAGTTGTCAACCTGACTGCCATTCCATTTAAAAGGTAAAAAGGGTTTAAAATTTGTATCTATTGAAAAATACCAAAACACGGAAGTCTAAATGACATCTCTGAACTGGATGAAAGGAATGGTACCCAAATTCTGAGCTTCTGAATGATTGATTCTCATGTCAGTCTAATCTATTTTCCAGTTCAAATGGTGGAGGAAAGGGAGGTAACAATCATCAACCATTAGTTCAATGGTCAGAAGTACCTGGACATACAGGACTACTCTATTGTATGGCCCAGACTTCCAACAATCCAGTAGTCTTGATGATCAAGCCTGATGCTATCTCCATGCAAGAGATTAAAGTCATCAATTCCAAAACAAAGGTAAGAACTCAACTAGATAATAGATACTATTGTGATATTGTGGTCTGAAATCTATGCATGTAGATCAGAGTAGTCTCCCTTTAGGTCAGATATGGAAAGCCTTAGAAATTAAGATAAGAAATCAAGATTTTAATCTCTTATTCTTAACAACATTTAAAGAAAGCAGCTACTCTGGGTAGATTGAAACCCAATTTATTGCAGTGTTGATATAAAATCCATTTATAGATTGAGTAAGCAACTGTTCTTTCTTTACACCATTGAGTATGCCAATATTTTCATTCATTTCTGTTCTAATTTCTAGATCCAAGATGTAGTGGCTATTCGCCACATCGCCTCTAACTCAGACCAACAAAGAACAACCATGATACTGCTATGTGAAGATGGAAGTTTAAGAATTTACATGGCAAATGTTGACAACACTAACTTTTGGCTATCACCATATCTTCAACCACAGAGTCCTATAGCTATACTGAAACCAGTAAAGAAGAAGAAGGCTATTAAAGCTGGTCGACCTACTGGCAATGTTAACTTCCCTGTTGATTTCTTTGAACATTGTCAACAGACCAATGACGTAGAGGTAAGTTTGACAGAACTGAATTTCCTATTGCATCTTCAAGATCCAGAATTTGGGAACAGCCAATGGGCTGAAAATCACATCCAAGCTGTTAGTAAGAGCTCAGAAACAGCTAAATGAAAAGGTTTTTCTTATTTTCAGTTTATTCTTGGCCAAAATATTACTTGTTTAAGCTCACTCTAATTGAAATTGGAACACACAACCATCATATTCTGGTTCCACACAAAAAAAGACAATAACATCCACTAGTATAAAATCCAAAACAAGACAATAATGTATGACTATGATTTGCATATTTCCAAATTAATCGCACTAAATTATCCCTATTACCCCTGCAAATTATTTTTCCAGTTTGGAGGAAATGACGTCCTACAAATCTACAATGTACAACAGATCAAGAACAGACTGAACACAACAGGAATGTACATAGCCAGTACCAAACCTGCTGGTTTTAATATAGAAGTTAATAACACCAATAACGCCAATGTGATGGTTGGAATTCGAGTCCTGGTTGGCACTCAAACAGTTGAGAGATCTCCTTCCTTTATTGAAATCTTTGGACGTAATGTTCAGGTAAGAGAAATGAATATTGGAAGTGCCACTTGATTTAAGTTCAGTAGCTTGTCTTTGTACCAGGATAGCTCATGGACACAGGTGCTTGCTTTCTGAGAGGCCTGGGATTTGTTCTGGGTAGTGTGGTGCTTTCTCTACATCTGGTAGGTAGGGGGTTTGATCATGGCTTGAGATGGTTCCTCATTTCGGTTATGCATATTCAACACCTGACAGTTAAGAAAATCTTTGAAGCTCAAAATTTGTTTTAAAGCACACTTGGATCTGAAACTCCATTACTTCCTTTTTCAGGTGACGTCCACAAGACCAAGATGGTATGATTTACCTTTCACCAGAGAAGAATCTCTCACAGCTGACAAGAAGATTACTATCACCTGTAAGTCATTGGATCTTCTCTTGGATATTTGTTCATCTTCATTAACCAAATAAGATGCACAAAAGTAGGACGGAAACTTTCATTTCATTTCATGGTAATTTGCAGTAGAGATATACCTTCAGGTTTTTGCTTCTCCCCTGTCAGTGATGCAGGTCTGAGAAACTGGATGCAAAAGAAATTGAAACTCTGTGATCCATCAACAGTTAGAAAGAAAAAAAGACTAGGTGATTGTCCAATAATAATAATATCGAATGGTTATATGACATATTCCACAACCCTTCCTTACAACTTTTTTGCAATTCTTTCCCCTTTCTTACAGTTGGAGCCAGTTCAGATCTGGTAGGATTCACCATGGTGGACTCCATCAAGGTCTACATAAAGACTAAAGAGGCGTTTGGGTGGCCAGAAGAACCAGATGACTTCCCTGAAACTACCACCACCAGTAAGACTCCTAGTACAGCCATCACTGTAGCTAATACTGCTGCTGATAGTCTACCCACAGAACCTCTACCAATGACCACAGCTGACAAGTAAGTAATAGATAATACTCTGAGTTCCTTCAGATCAGTTGAATTGGTTGTTATATCCAAACATGCCCGACAGACCAGCTCGAATGTCAATTTTAGTCAAGGATCTGTCTGACTTCAAGTATACTTTAGACAAAGACAAAGACAAAGACCACTGGTCCAGATTAGGATTGTTTTCTGTGTGTTGTATTTTTCACAATTTGATGGTTTTGATTTTGCATGCATCTTCTTTAACTTTGTTTCTTTATTGTAGGCTTTTGGGCAGTGCATTAGAAGTACTGGATGGAGCTTTTGCCACAAGCAAAACACCAGAAGAAAAGGTAAGACCAGTGAGCAGTTTTTATTTGTTCACACAAAGCCTAAGCTATATTGTTACACACTTTCCATTTATTGGTTCATCTGTCAGTCCTAGTCACATTTTGCTCTTGCTAGATCTTTCAGCAACAATGTTATACATAAGATAAAGTTCTTGCCACGTTTTTATATGACTTCACAAGAAGCTCAAGATTGCTCTTCAAACCACCGTTTTCTATGTCTTTTAAACATAAGATCAACTTCACACCAAGGATCTTTATAACACATTGTTTTATCTCCTTCAGGATCAAAGCAGAGAGAAAGCATTAGAGGTAGCAACTAGACTCCTGACTTTACCCACACCAAATACTGTACAACAACATACTAAATCATTACTAGCTTCCTTGTTCTCTACCAAACACAACTACCATAATCACAAGGTAAGGATTGACAAGCAGGACTGGCCGTTTGGTTATACTTGTCCAAAGCTTTCAGAGATTTTGATCCATAAATGTCCCAGTGATATATTCATTTTCCCCAGTTGTCATTGCTATCTACTAAACTCTACTACCATAACCATTAGGTAAGGGCTTATAAAGCCTGCTGGTGGATAAGACTAGTATACTATACTTTGTGGGAACAGTTCACAAAAGGTTGAGACAGCTTCCCCTTTGACTACTTCAGGATCTAGCTTAACTGGTACATGTGATATCATTATTCTCAATTTTTTTAAATCCTTTTTTGAGCATATGAGGATATATGTAAGCTTACATGTGTCAACATCTTGCCTTGCTTAACAAGATTTTGTTTAGAGAACAGTCTTTATTGGCTTCTTAATCCTCTGTAGGATCAAGCTCAACTGGTTCATGTAATGAAGAAAATATCCTCAGAAGGCAGTGATATGGATGTAGAGTCATTCCAAAGATTGGTGATCACAGCTCAGTCAGTAGCTGTTGCCAGGCCTGGTAATCTTATCAAATTTGCTGAGAAAGGAGATCAGCTGGATAAAGACAGTAAGTGACTCTCTATCTTATGTGTTTTACATCCTTTGCAGAGACCCTTGTAAATTGAAAAAGATGAGGCAAAATTTCTTTGCACACTGCATGAAAGCATGAGATATATGATAAGCGTTGAAAGCAGATAATGTGATATTAAATCTTTTTCTTAACCTGAGGATTCAAACCTACTGCACTTAATTACCTCCTGGACTACATTCAAACTCACTGTCCATGAGCCTACTTGAGAGCAGAAAAGTAAGATGTAAACCGTAAAATGTTGATGAATATTTCAGGTTTAGAAGTAACTGATCTAGAAAATGAACGAGAAGAAAAACTAGGACAGGTTCTAAATATAGAACAAACTGAGAAGCATCATTTTACATCCAGATTAGTGGAAGCCTTCTGGAAACTCCATGCTGCTAAACCATCCAATCCCATGTTAGCTCCTGTCTGTCTACCAGGTAGGTGGCAAGAACACTTTGACTCCTTTACATATTACGAGCACAAAAGATGGTGTTTCAATAAGTTTAAGGAAGCTGCTGATGCTGCTACTAAACCTTCTAATCCTATGTTAGCTCCTGTTTGTTTACCAGGTATGTGGCAAAGGCCCAGAAGAACTCTTGATATATGTGGACTCTCCAAAATGGAAAGTTGATTTGACATAGTCACAGAGTGGCACCAGGTGTGCCAAGGTGAAAGCTATCCTGTCTACATTACTTATAAGAGAGGGGTTCAAATTCTATAAAGTCTTTGAACACATGATTTCTTTTATTTTTCAGGACTAGCTCATGTTGATGCTACAGTTGGAGCTCTGGTGAAGATTATCCATGCTTTTACCATGTGTGATTTGGACTGCCTCAACCTAGCCACCAAACATTATGTCAAACTTCTACTTTCTACTGTGAGTACAGACGATTTCTTTTCATTTTGAGGTTCAGCCTTCAACCAGTTCTTTATATCTTGATCGTTTTTTTTCGCTGGGTTCATTCTCATTCTTCTTCAAATCAAGAGAAGGATTCAAATAACATTTTACATTTTATTACTATCCTTCAAGGCAATCCCATTCGGTGTCACAGCAAGGGAAACTACCTTACCTGACTAGAAGGGAAGTAACTCTTGCTAAGAAAGTTCTTATACAGACCACAATATGACATTTCTCTAAAATTCATTAGATTGTTCAAATTGTTAGATCTGTTTCAAGTGTGTAAGTAAACGTAACACTCTTCTGTTTGGTTACAGGACCCAGTAGTAAGTTTTGCTTGTCGACAAGCAATGATTAATGTATTGAGACCTAGACATCGTAGAAGAAGAGTGTTTATACCTTCACCACCAAGATGTAGCTCTCCAGGTAGGTTTTGTGTGCTTATGCATTATAAATTTTCGGGTGTGCATCTTTTACTTGAAAGTAATTATTGATGCATATGTTCACTCAAAATGTCTTGTCTTCCACACCAGGAGATGGAGGAGATGATGATGATGACGATGATGATAATCCAGATAGTAGTATAGCTCCTCCTACAATCCAAGCTCCTGATACACCAGTAATAACTGAACAACCAGAATTAGGACAAGTTGAGGCCCCTGAAACTGATCAAGAATCAGACGACATGTATGAAGTTGTGGTAAGTTTTATTTTTATTTTTTGGGGAGCTCAGGGAACTCTGTAATCAAGATCTTGGTCCAGAGATCGGTTCCAACCAAAATACTGCCTCAAGATTTTCTTCTGGTCTGCAACTTGATTCATCTTTTTGTAGTTTCCTGCGCATTCGTGCGTCCACCTTTTAAATCCCTTTGGCCAATTTTCAGGGTAATGTTGATGAAGTACAGGGAGAAGTGAATGAGAATGGAGCCCATGGTAATGCTATGCCTGTGGGTGGGTATGATGGACTGTGGGGTATGGATGGGAACTATGCTCCAATGGTGGAAATTCCCCCTGATGCTGATGATGAAGCTATGGTAGAGCTGGCTATTGCTCTGAGTCTTCAGGATCAGTCTGGTAATGCTCCTGGTCAGCTCAATCTTCAAGCTTTGAGCCTGGACAGCCAAGGACAGGTAAGATTTTGCTGTATGAATCTATATGAAGCATGAGCGATCCTGTGTTATTGTCAAAGATTTCAGGTCCATGGCCAAACGGAAGAATCATCTGTTTAAGTTCTTTCAATATCAATTTTGTGGCAAACTGAGGTACATTTTTTCTCTATTTTTAGAGTATCTCATCCATGGAGTTGGAAGAAGGACCCCTCTCTGATACGACAGCTAGTGCTCCAGGCAGTGATGATGAGATAGGCTCCAATGCTGCTACAGATGGCTCTAATCTGAGGACCTCACCAGCCGATCATGGTGGTAGTGTTGGCTCTGAGAGTGGTGGTAGTGCTGTGGACTCAATTTCAGTTGGTGATTTGTTGGTGATTTTTCTTGAATCCTTGATGCAATACCTTCTAGATATTTATAGTAGTTTTGCTATAGAAAGACTGTTTTGCTGATGGTCTAGCTCAGTAAGGTAGAAAACCCAAGCTTCAGATTAGTAGGCAAACCATTATACTTTAATCATCAGCTCAAGTAGATGGAGATCTATGGGATTTGAAATTTTGTTACCCAAAAAGTGACTTCTCCCTTTGGTTCTCAGTATATACATTCCATTTCTGTCTATAGTAAGTGGAAGAAGCAGTGCCTATGGATATAACACTCATGCCACAGGAGCTCGAAGTGAAACCAGCAGTGTAGGAGCTCCCAGTGGCTCCATACATCATGATGCTGACCTTTCTGAAGCTGATACTGATTATGATACCAACTGCAGGTGGGTGAAACAATTGTTGACTTCATATCCATCATATGTTGGAATATTTGGTAAGATCACAACGTTCAGCCATGCTTTGTTGTCCTAAGAAATTCTCCTATACCTTGTCACACAGCTAGGTTTCATCTCCTGTTTCAGATTACATGCATTACGTCTACAGTTACTAGAAAGACTTCTGCTGTATTTACCAGACATCAGAGAAGTTGGTGGTGTTAGAGCTATACCATTTATGCAGGTAGGATTGTTAATCCTGTTTATAATAAGAATATCCACTATAACTGACTTCAAAAACTTACGATATGAATTGAGGTAGTTCCATTATTTCCACATCATGTCCAGACCAGTACCTAGTGAATTAGCTTCTTCTTTAAGTTTTCTAACACACTTTGTCCATTCCCTCCTTTACATAGAAATCTATTGTTAACAGAGAAAGTCCACTGATGAATAAATGCTGTTAATGGTCAAGTTAAAGAATTTAATTTTTGTCTTTGTTCTAAGAGGTAGTTTTCCTGTTAAACTAAGTGACAATTTACATCTTTGCTAAATTTTGTGTTAACACTGTACTTTAGGTTGTGCTGATGCTGACTTGTGATCTGGATAGTGAAGATGATAAGGACAAAGCAGCACTGGATAATCTACTCATTGTTATTCTTGCTGAACTAGACTTGAACAAACCAGTAAGTATTAGCATAGTAAAACTTTCAGTAGTATATTGAAAATGTTGTCCTTTGAGGAGGGTGACTGCAATCTAGAATATGTTATCTGTCAGAAAGCTGTAATGATATTTATATTTTTAAACAGGTGGTTGAGGAGTCGGTATCATCAAGATGTGAAAGAAATGAAGTCAAACTGATCTTACTGAGGTTCCTTAGTGTATTATTATCACGAACCCGAGCTGGTACCAAACCTCCAGTAGAAGCCTCCTCCTTCACCAGTAACTGTACTGGTACTGCCTTGATTTCTAGTGGAGCTATAGAGTACTGTATGAACATCCTTACAAAACTCTTGCCATTCTGGAAGACCAATTCCATACTTGAGGTAATTTTTCTTGAATATCTTGAGGGAGGTGCAGTGAGTTAAGATACTTGCTCACTAGCTTAGTGGTCCACGGTTCAATCCCAGCTTTTGTCGAGATAATACAGATTTTTCAACCCGGTTTTCCCCTTTGTCAATGATGAAGGTTGGAGGGGCTGATATGGAAAGATGGTCTAGTCGTTTTGATTTTGACAATGAATGCCCCTGTGTGCTAGAGTCTGTGCATATTACAAACACAACTATTCTTTGTATTGCTTCTTTTCATTAGCCCAATGAGGTGCTGTAAAGAAGGATGTTAAACTTTATTAAAATGTAAAACTCCATGCAATTTTTCTTGATGATTTACAGGAGGAAGCAGCTGCAGCTCCAGGTCAACTGTTGAAGCCTCATCCATGTTGTCCCCCACCAGATATGTCCCCTTTCTTCCTTCGCCAGTATGTTAAAGGGCATGCTAATGATGTTTTTGAAGACTACCCTCAGTTGTTGACAGAAATGGTTCTAAGACTACCATACCAGGTAAGTCAGTAAGAGTTGTCTCCCTTAGCAAAGCCTTGGATAGCCTACACAGAAAAATACTCTTAATAAATTCCATTTTGTCCATGAATTTTAATGGCAATTCAACAATTAATCAGAGAAGTTCCCATAATGGATGATACTCATTCCTGTTGGCCCAATCAGGTGCTGAAAAGAAACGTGAAACTCTATTTCATTTCTTTTTGTGAAAATTGGCAGTCCATCTTGAAATTTCTATCCAATTTTGTGTTGTAATTTCAGTTGAAGAAGATATCTGATTCAGTTCAGAATGTACCCAATGCTTCTTTTGATCCTTCTTGGAATACAGTTCTATCTGAGGTAGGTCATCATGCAGGATATTAAACTCCATATCATCAGGTAGATCAATATAGTTTTTTTCATTTATGATGTAGAGGGGTTGACATGGAAAAATGAAGATTCAGATGATACGATGAACAGTGTGCTTCAGGATGTCCACATTTAAGATCCTCCAAACTTTGGAAAATGAAAAAGTGTTCCCTTATGTCCATCCTCCTGATTTCTTTAGTCAAAAAAAGAGTACCCTAATGAGGTGCCCTGGCAATATTTCCATCATAGCACACTGCATTAGCCAAATAAAGTACAGAAAACAAAAGATAAAACTCCATTTCTTTTAAAATTTCAGTACATGATGACGAACCAAACACCATTTGTAAAGAGACAAGTTAGAAAGCTATTGCTGTTTATCTGTGGCTCAAAAGACAAATACAGACAGCTGAGAGACCAGCATGCTATTGGATCACATCTGAAATCAGTGAGAGAGATCTGTGAGACCCAGGGGGGTCTGGATATATCAACTGAGATTCTACCCAGGAGCATTATTCTACCCTATGATACTCTCCTTACTCTGGTAAGATCATTGACTGAACCAATATTTTTATTATTGCCATATTGTGGTCTGAAAACATCCAGTGTCTATCAAGAGTAGTCTACCTTGGAAGAGTAGTAACAAAGCCTTGAACTGGACCCCTTGTGTTCACTTATCAACCACTAATCAACTAATAATTTAAACATAGCATAATGGGATTTATATATTTATATTATATAACCATCCAAGAGTAGTCTCCCTTTGGAGAGTAGCATCAGAGCCTGGGAGGTTGCGCCTGTAGCACTTCTGCATTTGGAATCTCAACCTAGTTCCACCAGTTCCAGGCATCTGGAGCCACCACTGAGTGCAAAGACTTTTGAAGGAGTATCTTTGTAATGTCTTGATTTCAGATTGAACATCTTCGTAAAGTGTGTACAGAGATAGCTAGTAACAGAGCTTATAATTGGCAGATATACTGTGAGAAGGAGCCAGGTAAGCTTAATATAACTCTTCCGATATCCTTTCATGTTACTCTTTTAACAATTTCATTTAGCACTCACTTTTCATCATTTACCAGTTTCATCAGGCTTGTAAGCATCATGTCAAGGGCAGACAACTTCTAAAAACAGGGGGGGTAACTCTTGTACAGGTAGCTCCTGCTGCCTGATTGACCTCTGCCCTTGCCCAATAGTTTAAGTTTCATCTCCTGGCACCTGGCTAGTATTGCTCTTGATGAAGGAGTAGCCCCCTACCCTTTTGTAACTACTACAGATAGCTCTATATCAGATTCAAACTCAAAGCGCCAAATTACATCAAAAATTGACCAACATATACATGAAAATCTTATTTCAGATACCCTAGCTTTCCTAGTAAAAGCTAGTATCGCACTAGATGAAGGAGTTGCCCCTACCCTCCTGCAACTACTACAAATAGCTCTATGTGGATGTAAAGCTAGTCAAGTGAACCCCTCTATTGTGACCTCCAGTAGCTCTACAGGATCACCTGTCAAACATAAATCTAAAGAAAGTAAAGACAAACAAGAAGGTAAGTTTGACAATGATATCCAGGCTCACCACTTCTCTCTCAAGGGAGATTACTCTTAATACAGTCTATATTTTAAGACCACAATATTACAATATATGATATTTATTTTTCTGAAATAATTTGTGATTTTTTTTTTTTTATTTCCCCTTCACAATTGATTTATCCATGGTTAGTTTTTTCAAACTATGCAAGTGACACTTTTGATGACTTGACTATTTCTTTAAATCTATTCTTGTGAATGATTTGCTTCCAGATAATGAAGAGATAGCTAAATATGATGAAGCCCTATGTATAACATTGGTAAAAATATTAAACAAGGTTTTGGATAAAGAACTATTTGTGAAGTTCGTCAGGACATTCTTATTGGAGTCAAACCAAAGCAGTAATAGATGGTTGGCTCATAGCCTGGTTCTACAACTGTATAGGTTAGTATTTCACATTTCTATGAGTGAGGGGCGCGTCATAAGTAAGAATTGCCTGGTTTTGGATTAGTGAGAGGAGGTTCTAAGGCATTAGCGTATGTACTTGTGAGAAGTAAGAAAGAGCACTGGCAGTCCAACCACACAGTCAAAGGTTAGCACAAAACCATGTTCCATAACTCTGTAATGGTTCAGTAAAATGTTTCCTGTCTCTATTCTGTTTTTTACTAGCTGCTTTAGTATTATTTTAAACAGAAAAATGTCAAAAGCTTACCTGAAAAAAACTGTCTGAAATTTCCTGAAAAAAAAAATGGTTGCATTAGATATTTGTATATAGATCTGGTAAATAAAATATCATCACTGTTAAAATAGTGCTGAATACATCAATTTGAATCCTTTTGCAAGGGGCAGATTTGAAATCTGATCAGCATTTTATGGCACTAATTTTATTTCAGAAACTCGACCCTGACTGAACAAGAGACCATGTTAGATCTCATGTGGAGTTTATGGTGTGAGCTGCCAATCTATGGGAGAAAAGCTGCTCAATTTGTTGACCTGCTGGGATACTTCATCCTTAAAACTCCAGAAATACCTGAGACCAAGGTGAGATCACAATCCAAGCCTATTTTAGATGGAAATGACAATCCCTTGTTTCATTTCTGTTGGCTTTAAAAGCATATTGTTCCTTGATGTTACTTTTGTGGACAATAGTTTTGGAGTCTGGTGTGGTTATAGCTGTTGTATATTTAGAGTTGTATATATAGCACAGAACATGTGATGCCCAGGCTGTGGGACTTGCTTTGTCAACATGGCATCCTTTTGACGAGTCCATATAGCTCATGGTTATGTCAGTAATTATTAAATAGATAAGCTATATATATATCAGGATCTAGATTTTATTTGATATTTTTTGCACAAAAGGTACAAGAATATTTGAAGAAAGCTACAGCTGTGTTGAAAGATGAAAATCAGATCCTAACTAACCATCCTAATGCTCCTATCTACAAGTAAGTTAATCAACATCATTTAATTCATCTATTTTCCTATTCAAACAAACTTGCTCTTTGCCAAATGAAGGGAGCCGCAATGTCTCCAGGAATTTCAACCAAGTTCCAACTGGTTAGTGATGCAGAGGGGAGGGGCTGGCATGGAAAAAGCGTTGTAGGCATTTCAGATGGGACAATAAACCAAGTACCTGTTGCTATAGGCTGTACACAGTAATAGATTGCCTAGAATAAAAGCTATGTTTATGTATTTTCAGTATGTTACAAGGTTTGGTAGATTTTGATGGATATTATCTAGAAAGTGATCCCTGTTTGGTTTGTAACAATCCTGAAGTACCTTATTCTGTAAGTTTTTAAACTTTAATTGATATGCTATGACTTTCTTGACAGAAATATGCAAAATGAAAATTTGGCTAATGGCATCCTAAGGTCTGTTATGACAAAAGTGCTAACCAGTAGTACTTAATGCTTTTTCCTTATCATCAAAATATCAGAAATCTTTAAAGTAAATGAATTAAAAAGGTAGGATCATGATATTTTTAATTTCAGAGTTTGAAACTGTCAGCTATAAAAGTAGATTCAAAGTTTACAACCACAACTCAGATAGTGAAACTTGTTGGTAGTCACACGATATCTAAAATATCTCTACGTATCAGTGACTTGAAACGAACCAAAATGGTAAGTGTTACAGGTTAAATCATTTGGATTGCAAAGAGAGTTTCTAGCTTTTCTATGTGTATTGGTGACATTTATAGCTTCAAATAGCATGATTAAAATTTTCAGTCAGATATCTGTGATTCCTGTAATTAGATACATTCAATTCAATATGTTTATTGCAATCAGTTTAAAGGGACTGAGAGTTGTGCTTTTTTTTCTGCTTTGAAAATTCAATTCCAAACTCAAGACCTCTCATTGGATTTAATTGCATAATTTTGTATATTTTTACATACATTTTGTTTGATTACATTAGGATTTTTCAAATTGAAGATCTGTGTTTTTAATAATTCAAATATTTATATTAGGTTAGAGTATTGAATATATATTATAACAACAGAACAGTACAAGCTGTCGTAGAGCTGAAAAACAGGTTGGTGAAATTCAAAAATTAAGCTCATCTGCTATGAGTACTGTCAAAGTGTGTAATATCATGGTTTATTGTGGTCTTAAGATATCAATTCTGTTTTAGTAGTTATCTCCCTTAAGGGAAAGGTGGAGAACCTATCATATGACATATTGTGATACTGTGGTCTTATATATCAATTCTGCATTAAAAGTTATCTCCCTTGAGAAATTTGTTGAAGGCCTGCATAAAGATGGCGGTTAAATTCCTCATTTTAGACCAGGATTATGGCACAAGGCAAGAAAAGTGAATTTGACAACAGGACAGACTGATGTAAAAGTTGAATTCCCAATTCCAATAGTTGCCTGCAACTTGATGATAGAATATGCCGATTTCTACGATAATCTACAAGCCACATCTGAAACTCTGCAATGCCCACGATGTAGCGCCTCGGTTCCTGCTAATCCTGGAGTCTGCAGCAATTGTGGAGAAAACGTCTACCAATGCCATAAATGCAGGTGAGTAGAATTTATTTAAAGCCCAACTCGGTACAGAGAAATAGGCCAAAAAGCTGAAATTTATCATTTTTTTCAAACTTTCATAATGTATTTAAGAGCTAATGTTAACTTGTCATCTACCGACCTATCTTTATCTTGCTTTATCTAAAGTTTATGATGTATTTCAGAGCTATTAACTATGACGAGAAAGATCCATTCCTGTGTAATGCCTGTGGTTTCTGTAAATATGCCAAGTTTGATTTTACCCTGACAGCCAAACCATGCTGTGCTGTCGACCCCATAGAGAATGAAGAGGACCGGAAAAAGGTAACTTTTTCGATTAATGTCGTATTGTGGTCTTAAAATATCAAGTATATCAAGAGTTGTCCCCCTTGGAAGAGCAGATTAAATTGCCTGAATGAAGAATGATTAAGATGCTCATATTCTTGCTTGACTTATCTTTAGTTGATCTGGGTTTCATTTTCAAAATTTTTGTAAAACTCAAGCCTTTGATCTCAACTAAGAAGCATTCCAGATTTAGGGTTTTCAAAGGAAATGTATCTGAACAACATGAAGCATGACAATTGCTTGCCGTTGAATACAAACCACACTAATCCTGTTTGGCTTAATAATTTCTTGAAATCATTCTTACATCAGTAAGGCATTAAATATGTTCATTATTTGATTGCAGGCTATAACAACTATCAACACCCTACTAGAGAAAGCTGATAGAATATATAAACAACTCCAGTCACATCGACCAGTTCTAGAGAATCTACTCATACAGGTTACAGAACATGGCTGTGAGAGACTTAATGTAAGTTTGTTTGCCTAGAAAAGATTGTTAAGAGATTTCTAGTCTTTGTCTGTATATGGAGGACACTGATTTACCCCATTCCAATTTTAAGTTCTTGCAGTTCCACTCAAACTTAGTAGCATAGGCCAAATAAGGGCAAGCCATCTTAAGGTGTCAAAACATGTGGTTCATATATAAAACCAAGCATCAAGACTAATTACAGGGGAAAGAAAAATATCCTGAACACAAAGGATGTCCAAGAGATTTTATCCATTTAGTGCTTAAACATTTTGTTATTATAATCTTCTTTCAGGATGATGGTGGAAGCCCAGGAACAGGAGCAAGTGCTGGTGTCCCTGTCAGTAACGTCAACAAAGCTATCCAACTCCTAGCCCAGAAATACTGTGGTGAATGTAAATCATCCTTTGATGACCTCAGTAAGATCATACAGGTTAGTAACTAGTTAAGCCAACTCTTGACATCTTTTATAAGTTTTTATGTAATCCCATCTGAAAAAGATTTAAATGTGAGGTCTGTCTTATCCTCCTCCTTTGTGAAAAAAAGAGGAATGTCCATACTTTTAAAGAATTGATCTTGTCAGCTGGATGATACACAAATTCAAGCTACAGCAGAGCATTTTTAATGTCTAATATGTTTTGAAATCCATTTCGAAATAAGAATGTTAAAGTTCTCTTGGTTTACACTATAAAGTTTTGTCATTTCTAAGGCACAAGATGATGCTAAAAAGTAGGAGGTAAAACCTATTCCAATTATCCATATGAAATGTACAATTCTTGTTTCCAGAAAGTAATGGCCTGCCGCAGAGAGCTGGTAGAGTATGACAGACAACAACGTGAGGCTGTAGCTAGCAAAGGACAAGCTCCTGGTACATCCTTAGGCAAAGCAAAAGAAGCTTCGTGTTCAATTGTACCAAAGAAGATTTTGAAAGAAGAAGGGTAAGCATTTTTTAGAACCAATTGTATAAATTAATGGCCAAAAACATATTTCACTGGTTGAGAAATGAGAACCTGAATTGGTTTGAAAAAAATTATGTATTTTATATGATGACACAAGTTCAAAGGATTCTTCCACAAAAGCACACTAAGAAAGCTCATAATGTGATTATTACTTGCGTATGTTTCAGACCCAGATCTTCCAATTGTTATGGATGTGCCAACTCTGCAGTTGAACATTGTATCACTCTATTGAGAGCTCTGGTAACCAATGGTAACATGAGACAGATATTGTGTAGTCAGGTAAGAGTGATTCCAATACTTTTAGTGCAGTGCTTCTCTGAGATTTTCTACCATTAAAGTCAAAATCAAACAATTAGAAGACAGATGACTATAGAAAGCAATTTTAGGGACGTACACCATGAAAGAAGAAAACTGTTTTCACAAACCCACCCAAAAAGTGCTATTGCCAAATTGTTGATGAAAGATGAACGAGAATTTTTTTCTTTACAGGGTATGATAAACCAACTAATAGACTTTAATCTCCGTCATGGAGCTCTACCAGTTCGTAATGAAGTCAGATCACTGTTGTGTCTTCTCACCAAGGATGACAGACGAGGAACAGAAGAGATGAATAAACTCATCATGAATAGAATTAAAGCTGCTATTAGAGGACATCAGTCTAATCCTGATTTGGTAAGTGGGCACATGCTTTTGCATTTTCAAGTTAACTCAATGATTCTGCTGCTTGACCACAAGGTGCAACTCAAGCATGGATCTTTGGATTTTTAGCTAGTTAGTTTTCATTGTTAGTTACACATCATACTCATGTATGCTGACCAAAAGGTTCAAGACCAGCTAATCTTTGACAATATAAAAAGTCAAAGTTTTACCTAACAAACCTGTATTGTGAAATTTCTAAGGAGAAACTCTTTTTGCAGAGCACAAATATCTTCACTGATCATGCCTTTATTTTAAGCTAGGGTCATCTCAAAACTGAGATTCACATGTTCTATTTTCCATTCTAGGGATCCTCAGTCCGTCATGAGATATTACTGCTACAAACATCTCTACAACAAGATGACTCCTGCTGGGAACAACGAGTAAGATGTGGTAAGTGGACAGTTTTGAACTTTAGCATTCTCTGTGGTCAGCTTTTATTGGCCTATGATTTAGAATTAGTTTATACTTTTAAATGGTTACCTTAGATGAGACAAGGATCAACTCCTAAAGAGAGCTCACCTACCAGTTTAGTAAAGATTCTTAAAGTGTCCTTTGCTTGACAATCAGCTGATGAAAGTTATAAATGGTAGTTTAAGACTAGAATGCTCATTACATAATCATCATTGGTATTGTTTCAGTAATGAGGTTGTTCCTGATTGGAATGCAGCTGTATACACCAATCATCATGGACAATATCACTCTACCTTGTCTACGTATCTTACAGTCGCTAGTGAAGAATGAGGCTTCTGCCGCTAGAGTCAAGGTAATGTTCTAGTGCTATTTTTTCATAAAAATTGATACACTGTGTAAGATGCTTAAATGTTTTTCCTTTTCGTAAGTTGCAGGTTAATTTGGAATTGTTGAAGAAAGTTTTCTCTGGTGAAGAAGCTGACAAATTGTTCAGAGGCTCCGCTATCATGGGCAAATTGAAAGGCTTTGTCGTCATGCAGCTGGTTGCGAAAAGACCGAAAAGATTTTAGAACCTAGTTCAAGAACTTGTTACTTGGCTGGGGCTTGGCCTTGCATGAATTCCATCTGAAGTGACTCTTGTTTGTTGCAGGAATCAACACCAGATGCTGCAGCAGGAGATATTCTGCAACCAGCCAAATTTCACATGGATGTTAGAAAATGGCTATCTGGAGATTCAAGATATTCATATCAAAACTTCAAGAAGAGATTGCCAAGAAAAGGTAGGAATAGTGAGCAAACACATTCGTCTTAACTGTTAATCAAAAATCAAAATGTGATGTAACTGACAAACCAATTCAAAATGGACGACAATAAATCTACATGGTATGATAAGACACTTAAGAAGTTTTTGGTTTGTGGTCCAGGAGAGCAACAGGAGCACCAACATTATTTCCCTATTTATTTATGTTGAAGTAAATATTTCCACCTTGCTCTTTCAGTGACTCCAGAAGAAGAAAAGAAACTGGAGGAAAAGAAAGAAATCAGAGCCAGATATTTGATGGAGAAATACGCTACAAGATGGAGATCGAAGATGTGGAAGACACCAGCCATCCCTCTACGCTTGACCCAGTCGACTTGGCTCCAGCAGGCGATGTTCTCACCTAGTTCAAGATCAGCTCGACAGACTGCTTGTAGTATTATTGAGGCCATTGCTCAAGTACCCAGCCGTAGAAAAGAGGTCATTGACATGCTGACCAGGTAGGTGGAACTACTAACTACAAAACAATTTCATAATAGCCAAGATCTGATCTTAAGTATAGGTAGGTTGAGGGCAAGGAACAATCAGATGGGCATTGGGGTGGAGACCTTTGTAAAATGTGTTCAGCCTGCTCACGATCCCCAGTAAACAAGCTTTAAGAATCAAGATGTTAACAATGTACTTAATCATCTTATGATTTTCATCATTACAGATGTTTAGATGATGTGGGAAAGAGTGGAGAGAGTGCCTGTGAATTCCTGACTCTGTATAAGAAGCTGATAGCTCCTGATCATTGGAAGTATTACTTAGCTATCAAAGGAGTGCTGCTTCATCTGGGAGATCTGGTCTCAACTGTAAGTAACTTTCATTCATTTGACAATATTTTGTAAAAGTTTGATACCTTGCTAATGATGAATTGGGAATATCCACCACTTGGAATATTAAAGGGGTACTGCTTCATCTTGGAGACCTATTCTTAACTGTTCTTTGCTACTATTTTTGGAAGTTTTGGTACCATGATAAAAGAAGAAAGCTGGTGAAAATGACAACGATAAGTACAAGTTCAAATTCAAATTCACACACAATGCAAAGACACTGCCATGTTAGCAAACATTAAACTATTCTACCTCTGAGAATGGCTAGTTTAAGCTTAAAACTTTATGTTTTTAGGAGGTTGAAAAGATACTACAGTTAGAAGAAACAACACTCAGTTCTGATCTGGCTCAAGGCTTTGCTCTCAAGTCACTAACAGGTAAGTAACAGGGCTGTTGACTTGACTGTATTTTCTGGGGCAGATGAGCTCAAATGTCTTTTTTAGACAAGGATCTGTTGAACAACCACTGGCAAATCAAAATTCAAATTGGTAGAAAGAGTAAGCTTATGCACCAGAAATATATTACCCTTGCACACTGAGTGGCATTACTTGACCTCATTTAAACTGGAAAATTGGGCACTTCGCTTTCAATTTATTTCAAATTCTATCATTTTTTTCTACCTGCTTAGTTCAAATTCAAATGCCATTGTTTTAACAGAATTGATGTCCTTGTTTGTGGAACAAGACAGTATTAAGCATCATTATAAGAATAAGATGGTTGGATTTATACTGAATGGGTATTTGTCCCTACGAAAACTGGTAGTTCAGAGAACTAAACTAATAGATGAAACACAGGAGAAACTGCTTGAACTTCTGGAAGAATTAACCACAGGTAAGCCCCTTTTTTGAGTTTTGAGGGTTAATTTTGGCGTTCAGTAGGACGCCTACTGAATGGGTATTTGTCCCTGCTTAAACTGGTAGATCAGAGAATTAAACTTATAAATGAAACCCAGGTAAAAGTGTTTCTAAGCAAAATTTAAAGAAATATCAAGGCTTATCAAGGGAGATAACTATGTTTTTGAAATGGACAGGGACATAACTCCATTTATCAGACCACTATTAACTGCACACTTAATATTACTGAATACGGGTACTGAATTAGAAACTAAAGATTTTATGTCAAGTTGTTTCATGGCAAGTTGTTTCAGAGGCATACAACTTGAGTCTTAGAAGGGAGATAACATATCATTGACTTAAAAATTCTTACCAGACCACTATTAATTTGACAATAATCTTTCAGGTACTGAATCAGAGACTAAAGAGTTTATGTCAGTGTGTGTGAAGACTGTAGAGAAATATCCACTAGAAGATAACAGATCACCTGTCTTTATCTTTGAAAGATTATGTAGCATTATTTATCCAGTAAGTATATCACCCTTTGGAGACAGGTTCTGGACTATACCTATAAAGGTGGGAGGAATGTTATCTGATACAGGATTAAAAATGTATATAGTAGAAACTAGAAGAAGCATACAGGTCCAGACATATTTGGCTCCTCCTTCAACTAAAGATCAGACAGCAGATACAATAACATTCTGTTGCATGAAAATTTTCAATCTTTCGAAATTATGAGGAGACTTATCTTTTAAAGGCATCCAGTAGTTTTCATATGACCTTTAACAATTTGTTGAGTTGAATTTCAACTATCCATGTCACTTTACAAAATGACAATTAGTTTGTTTACAATTAAATCTATTCTATTTCTAGGAAGAGAATGATGTTGGTGAATTCTTCCTGATCTTGGAGAAAGATCCCCAACAGGAAGATTTCTTACAAGGCAGGATGTTAGGTAACCCTTACAGTAATAATGAACCTGGTATGGGACCTCTGATGAGGGACATCAAAAACAAGATTTGTCAAGGTAAGTTTCTCCATAGCTGAATGAAGGATTTAGACTTCTTCATAATTTTTTAACATATTTGCTTGCTTTGAGGGCTTAAGAAAGGCTGTTGGCTATTATAGGGTTTTAGTTGCTCAAATGCAAAAAAGAATGAATCAACCATGTCTTACAGATTAAACAGCTTGGGTAAATGAGGCTCCTTTCTACCAGCTGAGATCCTTTGCTACTTTGACGATATACCTCTTTCCTTTTTCCAGATTGTGAACTGATTGCTCTACTGGATGATGACACTGGAATGGAGGTAATTTTCATTTTTTGTTCTTCGGTTGCCTGTTTCCTAGTATTTTGTATGTTTAAAAGGGACACCTACCAATAGTTCTATAGTTCCTGTAATCCTTGATTAGTTAAACCTGATTATTACGTTATGATAGCACATGCCATAGCTTCCAAAACCAAATGCAACAATTGCTGGAAACTGTACTCAATAGAGATAGTTTGGTTGTTTGAAATTGAAAATCAGAAAGAATTTTGCCCTTGCAATATATCTCCTTTAAATGGTGTAAAACTCCATTTCATTTCATTTCAGTTACTAGTGAATAAGAAGATTATTAGTCTAGATTTACCAGTAAAGGAAGTCTACAAGAAGATTTGGATCCCTGAACATGGAGAGGTGGAGCCTATGCCTATTATTTACCGTATGAGAGGATTACTTGGAGATGCTACGGAAGATATGGTCAACTCTTTGGTCTCTAGCTCTGGTGAGTGAATGTTTCCAGCTCATTTTACTTAGAGTTTAGTTTCATCCATGTATATGTCAGAAAGAAAGGACCAACTATATTTCACAAGGATAACAACTGTCATGGTGCCGTCCTTGACATATCAGGATGGTTTTTTCAAAATTTTTCAGCTTCCCTTTCTTATGCCATTGATGCAGAATCTAGGCAATCTGTAGAGACAATAACCTAGATCACTGTATGCTGCATGCTGTGCACATTCTAGTTTCCTCATTGCCCACTAAATAGGATATTTTTATGGTATTGAGTTCATTGGAAAAGCATATTAAAATAGCATTTTATTATTTTGAATTTAAAAAAAGGTTAAGGCCTCAGTTCTTACAGGGTATGAAAGGATTCGGACTGAGGTGTGGTTGTTTTTTCCAAATGAACTTTTTCGGACTAATTAAGTCAAATCATTGTATATTTTACAGAAGAAGATATTGATAAAGAAGAAGTTTATAAGATGGCCAATGTTTTAGCTGAATGTGGTGGATTGAAAGTCATGCTTCAAAGGTGGGACAATAAACCGAGGCCCCATGTGCTACAGGCTGTGCACGTTAAGTGCGACAGTTGGAAATCGAAAAAGAGCTGGCTAATGTCACTGTCCTGGCAATATTTCCCTTATTGAACCCTGGCGTTGCCCGTCTTCATTAGCCCACATGGTGCAGAAAAGTAGGATGTAAAACTCCATTCATTTCGTTCAATTATGAATGTCTTCAACTGAATTTATTTCAATTCTTGACATATTTTTCTGTATTTCAGAATGGCATCTATAAAAGATCTAGTTTTAGGTAAACAGCTGATGGATGTTCTACTCAAACTATTTAACTATGCTGTCAATGTCAAGGTCAATAGACAAGAGTTAATCAAACCAGAACTGGATGCTATTAACATCATGCTGGGAGCTTTGAACTTGGTAAGTTACATGTTCATTACTTAGTTATGAAGAAACAAAAGCTCAGTTGATACCAAGTTATGAATAATTAAGGGTGACTGATCAACAATTAATAAGATTTCCCCATAAGCTACTAGTTGCTAGCATTCCCTGAAAATTCAGTTGTTCTCAGATTCTGTTATTTGTTTTTGACTTCAATATTTCTGATGCCTGACATAATATCAGCTCTTAACCTTCCATTTTTTAGGCCCTGTGGTCAGAACAAGAAGGATCATCTGCTGCTACCAAAGGGCAGACAACTACTGAACAGATCTTACACATCATGGAGGTTATCCTGATAGAGGCTAGCCAACAGTCTCCTGAGCAATATACTGTAAGTTGAATTCAAATCATGAATGGATGAATAAGAGCCACTGTTTGCTCGTACAGGTTTGGATAAAGCCTGTATTGAAATTGCTAAAGAATCAGACAGACTGGAAGAATTTTTACTCAATGTCATTTGCTTGGTTAAGTCAAACAAACGTTGGTTGTTGGTTCTAATCTTGGTTAGTGTATGAAAGCCTTGTAACCTTGACTAAGTCATCCTTCCTCATCATTCTAGTCAACCCAGCTGTAAATAGGTTCTAAATAAGTTGTCCTTCCTCATTATAACAATCAACACAACTGTGAATAGGTTTTGAATCTTTCATAATTTTTCCAAGAATCCTCCAAGATGATCAATCGTTTCTTTTGTTGATTGCTACAATTCAAGTTAAATCTATCAATATATCCAGGAGTTCTCTAAAAGATGTGGTGATAAAGACCAGCTAATGGTACTGTTAGATAGAATCAATTCAGCATTTGTCAGAAACAATATCAATGTCCTGAAAGCCTTGATGAGACTGATACCATTCTTAGCGTTTGGTGAAGAAGACAAGATGACAGCCTTACTCAATCATTTTAAACCATATATGAGTTTTAATAGGTAAGAAAATTTAATAAGTGCATAAAAGTGAATTCTGAGCACTTTCGTTTCTTGTGCATAAGCGCCAAAAAATTTCTGATTTTCATATAAAACTTTTGAACTAATAGGGATATGGATTCTTGAGTTCCACTACCCTTTATTTTTCAACTCTGGTTTCCCCTTGGGCTGTAGGAGGAGATGATATGAAAAAGTGTCTTTTCCATCGGATGGGGCAATAAATCACAGACAGGACCATTCCTGCATCTTCTTGCCCATATCTTTTAATCCAATCAGATGTGGAAAAGTATGACATAAAACTCCATTACATACATTTTAATATTTTGTTTCTACAGATTTGATGCTGAACATACTCAAGATGAAGAAATCCATCTGGACAGTTTCTGTGTTATTGCTTCAGGCATAGAGGTAAATACAAAATCTCCTAACATCCTCTTGCTTTGTTAATATACACACGCCTGATATTGAAAAGTTCGCCTCAATTTCCATAACTAGCTGTCCTGATGAGGATTGTGTATCCAAAACATGTGCTGGCAGCATGAGATATCTCTGGTTCTTGACCAAATCTGTTTGGCAGTTCTGGGGTATCTGGTGCCATTCCTATGAACCTCACACCAAGATAGGATTTCTATCAATTCATTTGTTAAATCTTATAAATTCGTTTCAGAACAATGCTAATGGAAGTCGATTAAAAGATATGATAATAGAGCAGGGTATTGTCTTGTCTTGTGTAGATTATATTCTAGAACATGCTCCACCAATCAAAACTCTCCTGGCGTAAGTTTAAATTACATTCAACCAAACAAAACTCTTCTTGCATAAGTTTTAATTCCATTCAACCAATCAAATCTCTTCTAGCGTAAGTTTGAATTTCATTCAACCAATCAAAACTGTTTTAGCGTAAGCTTGAATTTCAATCAAGCAATGAAGTTTTTTCAATTCTATCTAAGCCAATCGCAACCTTCTAGCATTAACTTGACCGATGCCTAACCTTCAAGTCTGATTTTGCTTAACCAATCAAAACGTTTCTATTTTTAGAACTGATTCTGATATATGGAAGGATATTTTATCTAAACCTGCTTTAGCTCATGTTTTAAAGGTTCTAACAGGTCTGTCACCTGGTCATAAACCTACACAGGTAAGTCTGTAGTTTTACTTATACCCTCTCCCCTGGCCCCAACCCATTTTCAAATATTTTATCATTGTACAATGTGAAATAATTGTATGTAAGAGCCCCTTGACTTTTTGTGGTCTCAACTTGATCCCCTCAACATTCATAGAAACAACTATATTTTCTAGCAGAAATCCCCCTATTGCAATCCCCCTATCCCCCTATTGTAACAACTCCATTTCATTTCATAACCATTATATCAGTGCAGAAAAGTCATTACAATAAGTAATCTTATACTGTATAATTGCATGTACAATGCGCAGTTTTTTACCCCATAAGAGGTCTTTCATTTGCTATTTTCTTTACAGAGTTTGATAGCCCAAAAATGTATCCCAGTTCTTCACAAGATGGAACAAGTCTCATCTGATAAACATATTGGAACTTTGGCTGAAAATTTACTGGATGCATTGAAAGAAAATGAAGAAGCTTCTAAGAAGGTAAAATTGGACAAAACTTATTCTGAAGTTGTCAAAAAGTACCCTACATATATTACCTCCCTTGTTGACTGGAGAGACTAGAGTAAACTTTGATTTACACTGTTATAAACCATATACCTATTTACACTGGTTCCTTATTCTGGCAAACTTAACTTAAGATGATTTTAGTGTTGCAATCCTCTGATTGGTCAATCACTAATATTGATTTTAAATTTTGTTTTATTATTCAATCAGATTACTGGATTTTTATCCTATTTAAGTTATCGGGAATAAGGTCCCAGGCTTGCATTTTCTTTTTTTCCATTGTACCAACAAATTTCAACTTCAAATTTTATGAATTCACAGATTGAAGATGTGCGTAAACAAACAAAAGCAGAGAAGAAAAAACTGGCCATGGCAGTGAGAAAGAAACAGCTGGGAGCCTTGGGCATGACTGTAAGTTATTTATAGAATTATATTTTGGGCAAAACTGTGTGATCTGTGTTTGTTTATGCTCCATTTTAATAGGTGTCATCTACTTTTTGGGATGATTGCTTTCGTTAAAAGTTTTGAGGTGCCAAAACAAAGTTAACAATAATTCCATAGAACCAGGACCAAAATGCAGAACCTGTACAGGGTGAAAGTAGACAAGACACTGTCGTTATCGTTTCCTCAAACAGACTAAAATTATAACATATCCTATGATCAAATGTTGAAATTCAAACCAAAGCGTGTTTCCTTGTTTATAATCCTGGTAATTATTATATTTACTCTTTCTATTGCAGACCAATGAAAAAGGTCAAGTTACAGTGAAGAGCAGTGTATTAAAACAAATGGAAGATTTAAAAGAAGAAACTGGACTGACATGTTGTATTTGTAGAGAGGGCTATAGGTACCAGGCTCAAAAGGTAGGTTTAATTCATTAGAAATAGTTATAAGTCCCACCCTTTTGAACCTGACAGTTTCAAACCATTATTATGTTAGACTTAGTGGTTACAATTGCAAAGGCAAAGAACCCCAAGCTTTTCAAGGCATCAAAGTTTTAAACCATTAAATCAGAAATCAAGTGAATATTCAGATCGATAACTTGGCATCCCATTTGGAGGATTCACATACCAATCGGGTATTCTTAAACCTTCGAAATATTTTGATAAGTTTGACGTTCAATGTTTTTCAAAACTTATATACAGAGTTATTGCCCTTGCATGCTTTTAACATTTAAGTGAAGGGTTATATCATTATTACAGGTTTTAGCAGTATATACCTACACCAAACGATGTAACCTTGATGATTATGAGAATAAAGCAAGAAAAACTGTTGGCTACAGTACTGTATCACACTTCAATGTTATACATGTAGACTGTCATAATGCTGCCGTCAGGTAAGTTTCATGAATGTTGTTTTTATAATGTTCAGAGCGTGAAATTTTAATTTTGAGTGGATCACAAAGCTTAGGAAAGGTTTTTAGCCTTTGTTTCAAAAGTAACTTCATAAGTATATAGCTATATTATGATGGTGCAAATTTGAATATGTGCAATTTAAGACAATAAGATACTGAGTTATTGCCCTTGTTTCTAAAATTTAAAGGATAGTATGCTGTCACTATGTAATTTCTAGATTTTTGGTTTCCTTTCAATTTCGTGATTTTGTGTTGTAGACATGCCCGAGGAAGAGAGGAATGGGAGAGTGCTGCTTTACAGAATGCTAATACTAAATGTAATGGATTATTACCTATGTGGGGACCACAAGTACAAGAGTCAGTTTTTGCCAGCTGTTTGGCCAGGTAGGCATCCTCTTTTAGCTGTTATCTCAACAAAATTAAGCCAATTTAATGCTAATCTGATCTTTGAAGTTTTTAAGATTTGACTCAGGTTGAGTGTCAAATTTTCCATTCAATTTTTGATTCAATATAAACACACCAGTAACCCTGATACTTACGAACCCCGGCAAGCCCCCTGTAACCTTCCACAGGGGTCTTTGAACAGTATAAATAGAACCGCGCAAGGTGAGTCTAATCAGTCTGAAGAGTTCAAACACGAACGAAACTAGTCACTGATAAGCAGGGATAACTGGTTGCATAGCCAATCTTTATCTCTCAATAAAAACAACCAGATGTAGGTCTAAGGTTGTGTATGAGGAAGATGTTTTAGAACTTTCATACTTAATTTCCAGTTGTCAACTTTAATGGAAGAATGCAATAAAACTGATGCCATACATGCTACATGCAGAATATAGGTGTATCGCCAAGTTTGAACTGAAGATTTAGTTGTTTGCCTCATTGCCCACTGTTTGATGTTTGTCTTCATCAGCCATGCATATGCAGAAGTCAAATCAATTCAAATTTTTTTTCAGACATAACAACTATCTTCAAGAATGTACTGGCGTTCGAGACCCCAGCTATCCGTTCACTGTGCATGATTTAAAGCTACTGTTACTCAGATTTGCCAATGAGAAGTTATTCAGTGAGGACAGTGGTGGTGGAGGAAGACAGAGCAATCTACATCTCATGCCCTACATGTTACATATGGCTCTTTATGTTATCAATAGGTGAGTAGAAATCTATTGAAATCCTGACAGTGGCAGTGTCATCAGGTGTTCAAGAAAGGTGTGCATGCCCTACCTTACTTAAGAATCTAATCTCATACCTCAGAAGTACATATATCTAAGGCAAGTAGCAGAGTGGCGCAAGGTGTTCCACTGAGCATTTACAATTGTACATGAAGCTGATAGGAGATTGTTAGAGGCTTTCTTAGTCTTTATGTGTATCAGGCATACTGATAGCATTGATTTGCACCATTCCAATTTCCAATCAGACGTCTGTGGGACTGGCAATTCCTCTAAAACTAAGCCTTTAAGACATCACTATGTCAAGGGCTGATATTAATACATGTACTTAAGGGCCTTTTGAGAATATATTTTGTGACATGGTTCTCCAGTATCTTCTAATGATAAATTTCAGTACTCGGTTGACCGGTAGAGAAGAAAAGAATATCAACAATTACTTGGAGCTTACCAAAGATAAATGGATTGAAAATTGCTGGGAGGTATGTAGGCATACTTCTTTAGCTAGGCCTTATTGTTGTTTAGCAGTGGTTGCTTCATAAGGCCTACAGCATAATGGACAAAATTTTCCCCTAGGCATCTCAGAAAGACAGGGATTGTTTCATAAGGACAATGAACATAATCGCAGAAAAATCCCCTTTTGAAGGGTTATAACTCAGGTGAACTTTAAGATCCAAGTTAAAAGCAATACATCAGCTGTGGAAAAGTTAATTAATTTTATTTTCAGACTGAAGGTCCACTATACTACCCGGTAATGTCAATGTTGGTTCATTCAGCTGATAAATGGCTGACAACTAGAACAAAGTTTTTAGAGAGGCTGATCATCGCTGCTCATGTCAGAAATGCTGCATCAGTGGGAGCCAAAACGTAAGTGAAATAATATAGCAAAATTATTAGCCTTGTGATTGTGAACCTTCTGAATGGGATGCCAAATTATAAATCAAATTAAGCTGTAATCAGTATCTAAATGAAAACAGAGTGCCCAGAATGACAAATTGGCACACTCAATTGCAGAGTTATATGAAGCTTTTCAGTGTCAGTGGGTCTACCAGCCATTTGTTATCAAAGAATGCAACAATAAAGTTTTTGAACAAACTGAGAAGCATAGTTTTCAAGTGTTACCTTCTGCTTTTATGATAATCAAACTCAAAATAAAAGCTATGAATCTGGACCCCCAGCCTCACTGTTGGCTAGGCTAAAGGCCATGAGAAAGTAAATCTTATTTAGAATATTTGAACAAGTAGAAAATGCTTACCCTTAGCTTCTTTAGAAAAAAATTCCAGGGCCACAGGCACTGTCAACAATAATAGTTTGCAGGAAATATCCAAAGGTGTGAAGCTGGACATTTTTTGTGTTTCTGTTGCCTTCTGCTGCTTATGCAAGGAAGATAACTCTAGCTACACATATCATGATTTCAGACTACAATTATTGTACTTGATATGACACGTGTGGAGAAATTGTGCAACTAGAAAACTTTGTAAATTTCCATTTCTGTTCATCTTCTGCTGCCCATTCAAGGGCGATTACTCTAGCTATATTCGTAAATGTTTCAGACCACAAATATAACACTTAAAAAAATGAGTTCAAAGATATGCAGCCAAACTGTTTTCATTTCTTTCATTTGTTGCCTTCTGTTCCCCATTCAAGGAAGACAACTCTAGCTTATTACATGATGGATACAGACAACAATATAACATTTAAAATTTTCATTATTTCAGATTGCCAGAAGGAAGTAAGACATTGAAAGATTATTCCATCTATAAACCAGTTTTGATCTTCTTTGGTTTGATTAACAGTTTCTTCCTCAAATTATTTAAGGTATGTCAATTGATCATGCGTCTCTGTCTAATACCTTGACAACATAAGGCACTTTTCTTGTGTCATGGAAGTTTGTAAATGAAGGGATTTGTTTTGATTGTGCGAATCGCACTTTTCTGCACCTTTTTGGTTTAAAGACATGCATGCCATTCAGTGTCCAGTGAGGGAAATTATGCCTGGGCAGTAGCCTACTCTTTTGAAATTCCAACTGTCAAGGGATCTTTTAAATACACAGCCTGTAGCACAATTGGGCTCAGTTTATTGTCCCATCCGAACAACAAGATGTTTTTTTCCAGTTTTCTTGTCAGCCCTCAAAACCCTCATCATAGACATGGGGGGTAACCGGGTTGAAATATCTGATGGTAACATCTCAAATTATTATTTTTAGAAAGTAACAGTTGGTGGTGATGGTACATGGAGTAACAGTCTAGCTGATTATATTAGATTTAATGATAAGATAGTCCTAGAAACTTGTGATAGAATTCTAGCTATATATCAAGAAGAAATATTACCTTGTGAATCTATCGCTGAATTCTTTGATGTCATGGGTAAGATAAAGGAATTTTGTTGAAATATTTTTTAGGAATTTCGAACTTTACCCTTTGTAAAGGGACAGGTGCGCCATTCTTTTTGACTACATGTAATCGTACTTTAGTCTCAGAAACGGAAATTTTTAGCTAAGCTAATCAGTAATAGTGTTCACAGTTCACCATCAAAATTTGAGCCTTCAAATCCAAATGCCTAACCATATATATCTAAGGGCCTTGCAATATCTTCATCATATAACACTTAGTTTTAGTATAATTGCAATAACCACAGACGTCGGACTGAAAATAAGATAGATACAAATTGATGATATCAGTGTCCCTGAAATACATAAAAAGTTTAGAAAATCTCTTTACAATCCCTTTAAGCTCACTTCATTAAGCTACCAAGTTTTTAAACTGACTAATTCTTTTTTTTTTTAGGTTTATTAGAAGATGTACCCAATCCAGAAGAACATTTTACAACTTTGTTGGCTTCTCTACCTTAATCTTTATCTCGCCAATTGGCTTGCTTAATGTTAAATGAATACTGTGTAATATGCTGCCTTGGATTTTGTGATTGTATTTTGTATGCTTATTAATATTCCCAAATCTGATTCAATGTTTTGCATTTCACAGCTCCAAATTTCATGAATATTTTGGTTTTTAAAGGGATTTTTTTTCTCAATTTGTGACTTTATTATCATTTAACATATGGAATTTTTCCCAAATTTAACAAATTTATCTTGTAACTGCATTTGGAATTTGATGATATATGTTTTTGTAGGATGTTTTTTTTTTTGGCAGTTAATTCTAAATCAACAATACTAGTATTAAAAATTATTCGTCCAATTAATTATAAATTGGACAAATTATTGGACATGCTTGGTGAAAGGGATTCAATGTCACCAACACTCAAAATCAAGTGGATTTCTCATAATTATGTTTTCTAAAATTGTTGCCATTTTAAAACAAATATTGATTATTTAAAGGTACCAATCCTCCAAATATTATTTTAACACGGAACATTTTGATTCAACAAAGTTCTAAGACTAGCAGAAATTAAGCTCTATCAGCTGGTAAAACAAATATTTACATGCTTTTATCTTTCAAGATCAACTTCAAAAGAAAATTGTATTTTAAACAATGAGTTTTGATTCTGAAAAATGTCAAAGGCAAGCTTAAATTGAGCTCTATCCCTTATCCCTTTCAACTTAGAAAGAAAATTATCAAAGTCTCCTCCATTTCCAAATTGTATTCTGTTATCAGCTGATGTTTTTTGTGAAAAAGTTGTATTGTAAGCTTCAATAAATGCTTAAAGTGAAAGTTTTGAGATTGGTTTTTTGGGGTGTGTCCATAGACTATTGGTACTCTCATTACCAAAGCCCTACTTCTTTAAATCCCTGGTTCCTCATCTTCACAATGTCAAGCTATTATGAACTTGATCTTATACCTTGACTACAATAGCCACCTTTCTTTTATCATTGATTTGAATCATTTGATACACCAAAGGTGGCTATTGCAGTCAAAGTATAAGATAAAGTATGTTACAGCTTGACATCGTGCTCGTTTCCAACCTGGGATAGTAGTATCCACTGGAAGTACCAATAAACACCACAAGGTGTAGAAAAATGCTAGGAAAAGGTTTGGGAAGCTATAGGGTTATTTCTATTGAAGACAATGCGAGATTAGCATAATTAGCTCACATGAGCTTTAAGTAGTGAATAAGTTTAATTTTCAAAAAGAATTTGTCTTACTTTTGACAGGATTCAAATGAAATTAAAATGATAAAAAAACAAAAATGATAAATATACAGCAATGTCAAGCAAATATTTTCATGTACTTTCAGTTTCGATTCAAAACATCTCATTATCTAAGACTATGAAATGAATATTAAGCCTTTTGATTCATATATATTTGCTATAAAAAAAATCGGCAACTGAAACCGTTTGTGTGCCACATAATAGTGGTTTTTGAAAAGAAGGATTATCAACTCTATTATTAACAATAGTAGAAAAACCAAGAATGACCAAAGGGGGGAATTTTTTTTTTTTTAATTAGGCACAGGCATTCTTTTTTTCTTTCTTCTACATATTCAAAGACATCTTTGAATAATTGGCAGTGAAAAGTTCACATTTTAAGCCCAGTGGCCATTAAAGTCATTCTTTTAAAAAAAAAGTTAAAAACGAACCCACTCAATTTTGAATTGAAAGTTAAGCAACGCCCAGCATAGCTATACTACAACAACTACCGATTATTTCATATATTAAAATGTGGTCGGTCACGCACAATTTCCTTCAAAATCATTAAAAATAAAAGTCTACGCTTCCAAGCAAACTTACTGTGGTACAGAGGACTTAACAATATTCTTAAAAACTTAACCCAAATAGGTTAATAAACAGAATTTTTAGTTAATGGAATACTAAAATAATGTTAAGTTAAGTTTTCAAGAGTAAAACCATGAGATGTTGGTCCCAAATTCCGACCACTTACGAGCGTTTCTTGACCAACTGACCATTGGCGTCAATCCACTGTGTAAGAGTATATCGTCCACTCTGATTATTATTCTCTTGCAAAATTTTCACCACCTCGGCAGGATAGCCGTTTTTAAACACAGATTTCTGAATAACCGTCCGTCCAGTTCGATCCTGATTCAAGTCTCCATCTTTTTTCCCAATGTCCACGTCCAAGTTTTTACACATCTGTAACATCATAGTAATAAAGCATGCTGGGAAATCTCGATCTAGAATAATTTCTTCCAGACCTTGCGTACCAATATAGTCCTGAATTAGTTCTTCCAGGATTTTATCCACATACGGCGTCAAGTCATCCAAAGGTGGGTCATCACCTGCAGGTTGGGGATGTAGCGCCGGTTTCCAGTCTTTAAACATGGTTGGGTTTTCCGTCTGTATTTTCTGAGCAGCTTCCTTCACGGCAGCAAAATTATAATCTGCATTGTTGTACTTGCGTTTACCAACCTGAGCAGAGAAATAAAAAAATTTCAATATTTTTTTTTTTTCTGATTTTCAATAGGCTTCATCCTTATATGTTTACTAACACTCACAAAATTCGTCAAAATCCGTCAAGAATTGAGTGTTTACAGGCTTAAAATTGAACTCAATGTTTTCAAGAACAAGGGCAATTACTCATACTTAATATTTTTCAATTTATCTGATTTTCAATAGGATTTATCTTTAGGTGAACACAGCAAGTTTTGTCAAAATCTGTCTATAATTGTGCCTCAAGAATTGAACGCGTTTTCAAGAACAAGGGCAATAACTCATACTAAATATTTTGCTTGTCTTTAATATGGTTCATCCTAAGGTGATTACAAACACTCACACCAAGTATCATCTACCCAGAAGAATTGTGTCTTCTAGAGTAATTGTGGACGGACATCAGTCACCCAAAATAGTCTGTATCCATTAAATCAATGAAGATGAGGCAACAAATGCTGCATGATTTGAAGACTCAGTGTTCTACTTCCCGTTTATGTGGGTTATTTTTAACTTACTTGTATAACTGGGTTGTTCTCTGACAACCATGACAGGACAATCCTAGCAGCGTTATCTTTAGCTTCTGCTCGGCTGTTACCATCTCCATCACCTACCATCTCTCCTTGCAGAAATATCACACATCTGGAAAGACAGAGATTCCATGAGTTAGGTCAACATCATGCTGTGTGCAAGGAAGGAAAAATAGCCTCCTTTTTAGGTTTCAAACTAATTGTAATGCATTTAGTGTCATTTTAACATTCATTCACTGATAAGTCTGGACACACAATGTGAGCTGTGAACACTTTTACTGATTGGCTTAGTTAAGAAAATTTCTGAAACTAAAGTATGATTGGTCAAATGAATGGTGCATCTGTCCCTTTAAGGTGGACAAAACCCTCTGGTTTAAACTGACCAACCCTGCAGTTTAGTAAATTGGAATAACAAGGAAAGATGCCTCAGTCTGTGCCCTAATTCAAATCAACAAAAATCCAGATGTTCTTACCTAAAGCGACACTCATCATCTTGGCTATAATTGACAAATTGAATCAGCATATGGTTCATGTTGGCCAGGTCTTCCAGAACTTTGTATGGAATGGAAGCTCGATCGTGAGTATGCATCATCACCACCAAGTTTCTGTGTTCTTCAATGTCTTGTCGCCAAGTATTGGGAAACTTTGATTTCAGAATCCAAAGATTGGAGCCTCTCTCATGATTTTTTCCTTTAAATTGGACCTCCATCACATCTTCATCCATCATATCCAGTTCTTGGAGTCGTTTATTTTCACGTACGATGTCTAAGGATGTTTTCTGATAGTTCATCAAATAATTCTTGGTATTGGTATACGCATAATGATAAGCTGTTAATTTCTTAAAAGCTGAAGCAGACGCAAGCATCAGATCATCAACATAGAGTTCACAAGTCACCATTTTGTTGTTTCCTGGCGTTTTACGATACACCAAGGTAATTCCAGCTTGAGCATTACCAGACGACACGTCAATCTCATGTTTCAGCCTCACTTCAAGACCTTGCCGCTGGTTTTCATAAAGTTCTTCACGCATCAGTTCTACCATATACTGCAATCGATTGCCGATGACCTTGTTAGGAGCACCCTTGAGATTTTGTTCCTCTTGCACTTTCTTTGGAACATTTTGACGCAACTTAATAGAATTGGCCAAAATTTCGCTGACAGACATGGTGAGAAGATGGTACAGTGCTTTCTTGTAGGTAAGATCTTTGAGTTCAGTTTTTCCATCATTTTGTTCCACTGCCAAAATGACGCCATTTATTCTCAGCATTCCAAATTCTGAAGGCGTCTTTCTCTCGTCTTCGTAAGTGATATATTGTGTACGAACTTTGACATCATCAACATGCTCGTGTCGGGTTGTTTCAATAGCTGAGATGGGAAGGAACAGTTTTCGAAACTGAAAAATGTAGCCAATGAAGATATGCATTCTGCTTTCAACGCTTTGTCCATCATAGAGTGGAAGACTTGGGTCTCTTCTTCGTATCTCTGGTGATCTTCCTCTTCCCCTTCCTCTTCCCCTGCCCATGGGTCTGGCATTAGTTTTATATGGCTCTCTAGCATAGGGATCCTCACCATAAGGGTCTGCTGCATATGGATCCTCACCATAAGGATCTCTAGCATAGGGGTCAGCTGCATAGGGATCTCTGGCATAAGGGTCAGCTGCATAGGGATCAGCTGCATAAGGATCTTCACCATAAGGATCCCTCGCATATGGGTCAGCTACATAGGGATCAGCTGCATAAGAATCTTCACCATATGGATCAGCAGCATAGGGATCTTTGCCATAAGGATCCTCACCATAAAGATCAGCTGCATAAGGATCCACTGCATAAGGATCTTCAGCATAAGGATCAGCTTCATATGGTGACACCTTCCTGCCAACACCAGGTCTTCCTTCATGATAAGCTCCTCCTCTGCCTCTTGCTCCCCTTAATGCCCCTCTGGTAGCATAGGGATCAGGTTCAGCATAGCCCCCACCATACCCCGGATCTTCCATTTCTCTGCCCCTTCCATACGGAGCTGCACCTCTACCTCGAGCCAATGGACTTCGGCCTCTAGCAGGGAACCTTTCACCACCTCTGCCCCTAGCAAGAGAACCTTCACCTCTGCCCCTAGCAAGAGAACCTTCACCTCTCCCCCTAGCAAGATAGCCTTCACCTCTGCCTCTAGCGAGTGCACCAAGTCCTCTGCCTCTCAATCCAGCATCTCCTCTACCTCTTGCTCCCCTGCCAGCAGTAGGAAACCCATAAGGATCTTTGGTAGGTTCTGGTTTTCCACTTCCAAGGGTGTCCCATAGTGATTTGTGACCCCCTCTCCTTGCAGCTGGTCTTCCCCTTTCCCCTCTTCTTTGTGCACTCCCACCTCTTTGGTGAGCTCCTCTTACTGTTGCAGTTGCAGGTACTGCTTGGCTTTCTTGTTTTATAAGTTCTGCAGATTTTGTAGCTCCATTGGCAGTACTACCATTAGTTCCTCCAGCCATTTCTGCAATCAATTTGGACTGCATTTCTAAGAGCTTCTGTTGCCTTGCAAGGACCTTGCTGAGCTCAGAATTTCCCTGAGAGCTTAAAGCTGACATGTCTCTTTGGGAGGACTCTAGAAGCTCATTCATTGAGGATAGTTTAACTCGCTTGGCGTCAGCTCCATCGGTTAGTGACTGATGAACAGCAGGAGCTGGTGGTCTTTTACCTACAATATCAAAAGTTTATGGTTTGAAAACATAGTAGTTTGATTGGGCATCCCATCGGTAGAGCAGTGGACAACATTCAAAAGTGGTAGAAACCCGACAGTTACATTTGTATGATTACATTCATTCATGACAACCAGTGATATAAGTTAGTTAACATCAACCAACTCCATAGCAAATCAACATCCTGTCCAGAGAGTCCATAAAACTAATACTGTTTATTTGGTTTATTATATTTACAAGTAATTGCAATTTGCATAAATATGAAAGATTTACCACCTTGTGGACCACCTCCTCTAGGTTTTGGACTGTCAAAAAATGGTCTAATGGGTTGTTTAGCTGTAAGAGACAATTTATTGGGGAATAATTGGCAGCCATGTCTATCTACCTTCCATTTCAAATTCAAAGCTCATACTTGATTCCATCAGTGCTGTAATTTTTTTTCTATTGTAGACCCTCGCCAAATAGGGACATTTGAGCTGGTTTGCTGGTCATGTCCAGAAAATGCAGTTAAATTAACAGCTATGGATGAGATCTTGGCAGCTTCATGCAACCATTTTCAAATTTTGACACCGAGGTCGAAGGCAAATGCCTCACTTTTGAAATGACAAATTGTGTCTTTTTTCTCAAAATATATATTTCAAATTAACCTAGACCCCCTTTGCCCAATTTCTAACTTTGATTGCCTGCCTTGTATGATATATCTTACCTTTCATAGGGGCAGGATAGGAGACATATTCTGGTTGGTTAAAAGACGAATGGTAGTCCGCAGGGCCTGGAGCAGAAACTCTTCCATAAACATCATAATAATCTTCACTAGCTTCAGCAGCAGCACCTCTTCCTAACATCTTGGCTACAATGGTACAAATTAAAATCAGGGGCCTTATTCTACAAAACTTAAAATCCAGATTTTAAGAAATACAGTAATCTGACTGGATAATAGAACTAAATTTAAATTAATTTTAGTTATTGCCCAACCCTTTCACAATATACATTGGAAAATATTGGTCCGAACAAAAAGTTTACCCTTAAAAGAAAAAATAAACCTACCTCTAGCCTCTGAGTTGGCCCAATCTAACGACGACCCCATGGATGATGAAGCAGGTCGACTGTCGTAAGCACTGGGTGTCCATGATGAAAACTGACCCCCTCGTCCTCTTCCTCCTCTCGTTGATCCTCTCAAGTTACCTCCCCTTCCTCTACTTTCACCACGTCCACGATACATCGTGTCAAACCTTCACTTGTAGGTATCTTTGAGGAAAAAATAACATATGACATATGACATTAAATTTTCGCATTTGTGTGAAAATTGCATTTTTAACAACGTAAAATGCTAGTTGTTCAATTGACAATAAATTTGTGATTTTGAATATTGTTTTTGATAAAAGGTTTATATCTGAAGTGAAAATGTTTTTGAACATAAATTAATATGCCGTCTTGATGAAACAGTTTTTGAATAACTTTGTCCATTTCATTTTTTGATGAATTTATTGATAAATTTCAACCATTAATCATTGGCTCAAAATTGGAGTAAAATGGTTCTCCAGCATATAATTTTCAAAAGTATCAAAACAGGCAAACTTCAAGTGCCTTCTTTAGCTGATATGGTATGGGTTTTTGTAAAAATGAGTGCTTCATTCAATTCCATCCAAAGTGCGAGATTGCAATCTTTGAATGATACAGATACAGAATATTACTGGTAGAAAAAAGGAGTAAAAAATTCTCATATCTAACGCTTATATACCATGACACTAGGGCTGCAACAATTCACCTATGAATCGTGATTCTTTCCTTCTTATCGATGCAGTGCATTGTATCGTAATAAATCGTATCGTTGGAAAAGTATCGTATAGTGTATTGACTCGCAACTTCAAGAATCGTTGCAGCCCTACATGACAGTGGTATAAATACCAAATAGATTAAATCCTTGGCCCATACAGTTATAGAAGACTCAAATTCAGACTTGCAATGTATTCAACACAGCGTCAATGGTGGCTGTTTACGTGAAATGTTCAGGAAAAAACTGAGCAGAAAAAAAACGACCAGGAAATGACCTTGAACTAATTCCAAAAAAATCTAAGCAGGTTTATTAAGCCAAACAAGTGATTAATTTCCAAAAATATGCACTTGGGAGTTGTTTTTAGTCGGTTCATGTTTTAGTAAGTGCGTAATGAGACACAGAAGACAAGAATCTGTTCCATTCATTTGATTCATTAGCCGATAGATTCAGCTTTATGGATTTTCCGAAAAATGTTAAAACAGCCGGTGGAGTTAGATCCCATAGCAGATGGGAACATGGTTAGTTAACAATAGCTTTGTAAGAGGTGGTGAATTTTAACCAATCAAAACGACCTTTTTCATACAAGGTGGTTTGCCCGTACTCTCATAATATTAATGAGTTTCGTGCCTGTGGTCATTTTTATAACCATTGTTATGGACTATGAAGTGAGTTGATATGCTACTTTTAAAATTACATGGCATCATGATTTTTTAGGAGGTAAACCTGCAATCGGCATCAGTGAAACACAGTAGAAATATGTGATAACTTCAGGTTTGTTGAAGAGTCCACGATTATACCTGAAGCATTATTTTTTTTAGCAATTGTAATATTTCTAATTAGTCGTAAACATGCATAAGGCCGTGTCGGTCAATAAACGTTACAACAATCGACAGAAGGAACAGGAACATCTGGATAAAACGGCCATTTTCGTTTCCAGTAACAGAGATCGAAAAATACAGCTTTCATCTAAAAATTCATTTAAACTTTGAGGAAATGACCGTTTGGCTTGAAACAGTTTCATTCGTTATAAGTTACCTTCTTTAAAATATTATTATTTCTCTTCCTGGTTATAATAAAAAGCTATAAATTAGTCTTTGAAATTGTCTTTTACTGCAGGTTTCTATAGAGACGATAGAAGAAATCTTTCTAAATCTGTTCAGTTTCTGTAATCAGCAAACCTAAAAGGAATAAAAGCTATGAATTTGACATAAAAAAGGCCCACCATAAGAGGGTAATTCTTTGGTAAAATTCTTTGGAAGAGCTCTTTTTTAACAATGGTATATAAGCTTGTACATTTCTCAGGTGTAAATAAAAATTCATTGAATTAAAATATTACATTCTTATGTATAATTATATTTTGTTTTTTCAGGTTTTTTTTTACACATCTCAGTTGGTAACTGAAGGCAAACAAACTGTTTTTCGAAACAAGCTCGTCACAGGATAGAACAAAAGTATGGTTTTGCAGCTGAAAAAAGTTGATTATCTTCATAAATAGAAATAATAATACGATGCAGGCAGTCTAGCTGTTTGTTTTTTTTCCAATACATCTTTTAGTGAAACAGCAAGTTGTGAAAAGAAGAGAAATTATGAAAAAATATTTCTTTAGACTTTACAAATAGCATAAAAATCTGTACAAGCAAAACAATTTCGTTAACCAAAAATCTTGTCCAAGGGATGAGAAAATCAGGACTAATAATTGATTAGTAGTGGACTCCTAAAAGAAGAAGTACTACCGATGATCTACAGATATTTTGAAGGCTGTAAGAATGTTCTGCCTTGCTTGCAGACACCGGAATACCCGACAGATCAATTCATGCTTAACTAATCAAATCTGCGACAAAGCAAGAAGCAAATTTGTATTATTTGTCAAGGCTCTTGATGTGTCAATTTGAAGGTACTGGTGGTAAAGGGGAATTCAGAGATTTTTAATCACAGAATTCTTCAGTTACAAGTAAAATTATAAAATAAACACTTTAGAACAATACCCTGTTGGCCTCACGTCAAATCAACAAATACTGATATTAAAAGTCTGATTTTATTAGAATTATTATTATCAGAACTATGTTAGTTGCTAAAAAAGGCAATTACGCTGGTAGTTTGTGCTTTGCCTTTCTTTTCAAGCTAATTTATAGTTTCTTTCTTCCTGGATCTCTGATTATATTTGCAGAATGAATGATGACCAAATTTTTGCATTTATCATAGCCACAGAGTAAAAATGAAAAATTGCAGATGAGCAAAATTATTTAATTTTTTTCTGCATTCAGTGCTGCAGCAATCAGGACTGGGATGCCGTTTCAAAGAGTCATTCAAATTCAGACAGACACAAGATTTATTCTTCCCAATTCTTACCAAATTAGGGATGGATTGGGACATATTGAACTGAGTTATTTTTCTGTTTTGGTTGTAATGTAAGTTCAATGCTTTGTTGTACTTCTGCAACCGGAAATGAATTATGGCCGGACGGTGTTTGGCCAATTGGTTCCACGGGAGGAAAATTTCATAAGCAAAATAATTTGAATGGTACCTACTAGTTTCAGTGTGAATTTATTTACATGGCTGATGAAAAAATATTATTGTTTTGAATTTGTTACTTTGAGTACTCTCAAACGCAATCTCAAATATTTAGTTCAGCAGAAATATGAAATTTAGTTTCCCCTTATCCGAAAAGACCTTCACCGATACTACAGCGCCATCTGGCTACCATTTTAAGCGATTAAAGTGTAGCGTTGTTTGTTTCTAGCAAATTGTTCCTCAATTTCACGTTTGACCCAAAAGATGTCCGCAGAGGTAAAGTATATAATGCTTAAATTATTTCCTTCAGGAAATATTCTTAGATTGAGGATTTACACCATAGTTTTTTTTATTTCATTGTCTGCTTTGTGCGCCCTGATTTTATCGTGGCTTCAGATAAAGGGCAGATAACTGCTGTTTTATCGATTCACTAAGAAATAATTGAACCCATCCTTTAAATTATTGAAACTCATGAAAAAGATTTTGGTTGAAATTTGTGATGCATTTGAGATTCATAAGAATGAGACACCACAGTTAAAATGATTCTGATGTCAGTGATGATTGTCTGAAAGTGAGTACAGTCCCTTGGCCAGTGTTCAGTCAACTCGTCTACATGTCAACTCATCAACTGAGTTAACTCGTCTACAGTCTCAAGTTAACTCGTCTACAACCTTGGCCAATGTGGTGCATGTTTGTGCATTGTGTCCATAAATCACATTCCAAATGTGCCAATTGGCTAACCTTCTTGTTCTAGATTCATTGCTTCCTGCTATTCTCAATATGAATTCACCACTGTATTTTCATTTTTTAGGTTGTGGTTTTCTGAAGATTGATTTTAAACAAGCAGATTTTTTCCTAAAGATTTTCCAACCATTCTTTATGAAATTTTGAAGTTAATTCCACCATTTTGAGTTTTTAACGAAACATTTTTTATTACAAACTATAGCCCTCAGCTGGGTACAAATTTTCAATAAAAGTAAATAAAAAAGGTAACAAGAGTGTACAGTTTTTCTTTTTTCAAATAATTCTGGACAATTTGACAGCTCTGATTTTTTTTTGGTTGATTGGTAGTAAAAATATTTTATCGGTGGTTTACTACAACAAATTCCATTTCTTGAACAAAACCATGAGACTATTGGATAAGAGTAATTTGTTGTTTGGTCAAAACTTTTGTTGGAGATCTTGTCGCATCTGTCATGCTAAGGGCTTCTACCAATGAACAGTGTTATTGTGGCGCAAACATGGCAAACTAACAGAAAAAAAAAGATGTCTGATTTTTGGTCTATATGATGGTTTCCTTAACTCTTTTACAATATTTCATGCCAAGGATTGTTTCAATAAAATTATTTTGCTAGAAAAGTCCCATTTTTATAACATACATGGAATGGTAAACACCTGTCTAAGCACTTTCTATTTAAAAACCTTCTCAGAGGCTGAAAATTCCAAATTCCTGTGGACAGAAATGAAAATTTGCTCATAAAACCACTTCTACAATAAGAATTGGACACATGAGTAACATCTACTTGAGATTTATAATGTGTTTTTCTGAATTTAGGTTGATATAAGTTTAGTTCAAGATGAATTTTGGTGGCGGAGGAAGTAAGTTTTCTTTAATTTTTAAAAATATAGTTCTGAAAAGGCAATTAAGGCTAGAAACTTGTTTTGGGTTGTGTTTGACACTCATTCCAATATATCTTCAGACCGTCAATGAGTGTTAGACCGTCTGGATGAGCGTTAAACTGTCTGGATGAGCGTTAGACTGTCTGGATGAGCGTTAGACCGTCTGGAAGAGCGTTAGACTGTCTGGATGAACCTGATTAGATGCAGCAGAAAAGTAGGGCGTTTTACTTCATCGGATCAAAAATGTCTATTCTAAATAGTTCCTTTTGTGAGAAATAGTTTCTAGGTTTCAAAGTTGTTAAAGTTTTATATATGAATATAACCTAAACCTTTTTTTCCCTTGTCCATTAATCATAAGTCCACAATTGACTTACATGATTGATGATTATTATTCTTTCAGTGAAGCGTCCATTGGAAGGGGCAGACTCTGGTGGATCAATGAAGAAAAATCCCTTAGAGGTGATGCAGACAGTCATCAAGAATTCACAAAGAGACTTGCAACAGAAAACTTCAGATGGACTACCTCGAGATCCTGAGGCTTTGAAACAGATCTTCACACGACAACAGATGCTACTTGAACTGCAGACTGAGATGATGACCGAGATGGCCAAAGGGAACTCTGAAGTCAAACCACTAATGTCAGAGCAGGTTGTGGCTTATCCCAAAAAAGCACCCAAGACAGAGAATGACGATTTTTATTATGGGTTCAACATGGGCGCCGGCCCTCCTCCAGGACCACCAGGTCCTTCTGGTAGGGGTGGCAGAAGATTCAATGAAGATAGACATGAACCCATGGGTATGGGTAGAAGAGGAGGTCCCCCTGATGGAAGGAGGGGTCCGAGGTTTGGACCAGATGATGATGATGATGACTATTGGGGTCCCACAGGAATGGGTATGGGAGGCCCACCCATGAGAGGTATGGGAGGTCCTCGTGGACGATTTGGTCCTCCTGGACCAGGACCAATGGGACCTGGTCCTAGAGGGTTTGTGCCCCCTTTTGGACCACCCAGAGGTCAGAATTTCCGTGGACAAAATCACCGAGGGGTTCCAGACAGAAGAAAGAATATTCCAAAAGATCACAAGGGTAGAGGTCTTCCACCAACACCTGAAGATTCCTGGGATTATCATGCAGTTCCAGGGAACCCACTCAACAGACCATACAATGGTCTCCCATGTGAGGACCGACTCACAGTCCTGAAGCGGGAGATCTTCAAATATGACAACTTTCCACAACCTCTGAGGTTGATCGAAACGGCTCGTCATAATTACCCAGATGCCCATCTTAGGACAAACTATGTTGATGAACCTGTGGAAGGTTCTGAGGATTTCATTGGTTACCTGGACATTAATGGAGTTCTGATCGCTGTGGAAAGAGGGGTAAACAAGATCGACGCTAAAGTCAACTGCTATGCTGAAGCGTTGTACCTCCTGTCGTGCAAACCCACCAGTTACATCTATTCAAATTGCGCTAGAATCCACGACGTATATGGACATCCATCAGAGAAGATTCAGAAGCGCCACAGTTTTGTCCGAGATCGCTTGAGCTGGATGCTTGATGCTCTTCATGAAGGTGTCTGTTCTATACCGCGATCGGCACCCAACAGAGACTTCGAAGAGATCATCTACACCATGAATTTATCAGTCACCCATGTCATTAAAGAAGGATCTTCTTCTAAAGGTTACAAGTCCGATCTCTATGTTGATGATTTGTATATCTCATCAGGAGAAGGTATCGATAAATTTGAAGCCACTAAAGATGCTTATGCCGAAGCTAGATCAATCCTCTTTAAGGACATCAATCCTCAGATGTTGGATCGGGAGAACAGACTGACCAACATCGATTTCTTTGATCCAAGCATCTTGGACATCAAACACTCAGAATTCAAGCATCGTATCTTCACCAATATTGAAACTTTGTCTCGAAAGGGAGCTTACACTCCAGAACTGTTGAACCGAAAGGACAGGATTATTGCCATTGTTCCTGTTGATGAGAAATCAGACTGGAAGTGTTTGGATGAAACTGCTGCTGCCAATGATTTACTGATGGAATATATCGAGAATAATTCTGGTACAAGTGCAAGGTGAGCTGTGGCCTCAAATTATTTCTCAAAACTAAATGCACACATTTGATAGCCAAACTCTGAGTTTAAGCTTCTTAGTGTCAATGATACTGACATGGAAAGAGTGTCGTCAAACTTTCTTTCGTTGCATTTAGTAGTTTGGATGGGGCTAAAACCAAAGCGTCTTTTGCTGTAGGCTGTGCCAAGATCTCTTGATCTTTGGAATTTGAAAAAAATTAAATTTTGTTTGCAAGTTTGTTTTCTCTATTGCACACTAGTGACACTGCATGACATTCCCTGTCTTTATTAATTCAAACTTTCATTTCTTTCCAGATGTACAGTATTTCTACAAGGGTTGTGTTATGCTGATTCGTACAGCAGTAAAGAGGAGTCAGCTAGATCTGTGGCTATGGGAAGAGCTAAATTTATTCTCTTGAAGAGATGTACCACTGTCATTGAGGTAAGACACCTATCTTGGATTTCATAATCAAGTCCAAAAGATTTTGGTTTGTGGTCAATTACTTTGAATACTAAAGCGAGTTTTGCGAGGATAATGTATATAGTCATGGTCACACATCCAGATTAACTTATAAGGAAGGGCTGTTTCTCCTTGTATTAGGGCATTGGAATTTGATATTTTTTGCTCAGTTATGCTGTACAAATGGTGGTTGTGGTTTCTAATCTTGGTCAGACTGTATTGGTTGGCCATATATCAATACTTTATATGTAGTTTCACATTTCCCAGCACAACTTTTTCATGTGTGTTTTTTTTCAGAGGAAAAATGTCGACTTCAACAACGTGGCTTTAACATTTGAACAGATAGTGGAGAAGGCAGGAGAGCTGTGCATGTCCCAACCTAAACTTCTGGACGGCAAGACACCACCGACATATCAACCATCGTCTGATAAAGATCCACAACCAAACGACTTATCACCTTGGGTGGACGAATTTCTTCGAGATCTAATCTTAAATTATGGACAGACAGATGGACTGGACGATTTGATCATCAGTCATCTCCCTTCGTTCCATTCCAAAGTCTTGAATGACCGGGCTGTCGAATTGAACGTAGCTGTAGATATCGAACGCCACAAGAACGTCGCTTATACTATCGTCATGAAGTCCATCACTAAGCGCCTCTCCTCCGATGAATTCATCGAGTATTTGAAGTCACATGACAGTGAGTCAGGTCGATTTAAGTTGACCTTTAAGGAAATGAATGAACCCAGTGCTCTGACCCCCTTGAAACCATCAGATAAGGAAAAATAAGACTGAAATGTTAATAAGAAAACTAAAGTCAGACCCAGTGTAAATTTCAAATAATTTGAAACATTTTAAACTAAGAATTGGATCTTGCATGATCAATTTTATGTTTTATGTGTTTTTGAAGATGGGTTCATTGCATTGTTCTTGGCAGAATCATGCTTGTCTTTGGCGGTCTTATCATTGTTTGGCTGTTAAAAGACACTAAGTTATCCCCCTTATGGAAAACAGAAGATCATAAAGCCCAAAGATCATAGGAATCCCTTTTAAATTAACTAATTATAAATGACTTACTATTGTATGTTTTTTGTGCTAATTGATTGGAATTATGAACATTATGAACCTGCTTTTGTAAATAACATACGTAAAATTTTGCAGAGTGTTTTAAGTGTTCTGCTATCGCTAGGGACTAAACATCCGATGGCTGAGGAAGCTAGGGAATCAGGTTCAAGTTTCATTGAAACCTCAATGCCTCGACAGACGTTCATGTTTACATTAACATAATGTGACACCAATTGCGTATGATTGAGTACCGATCGCTGTCCATTTGTTGTTATGGTTTGTTCGATGGACTGCTCTGAACATACTCTTGAATCTAGTGTGCTCTAATTTAGTTCCCTGAACAAACACGCTTGAATTGAATGTTTTGAACAGTCTCTATTGAATCTGACGTTTTCTAGTAGTGTCCTGATCAGACTCTGAAATCGAGTGTGTTCGGTTAGTGTTCTATTACAGTGCTCTTAACCAATTCGTGTAATCGATGCGTTCTATTTATCTACATGGAACTTAACATTCAACTTTGTGTAAAGAGGCCTATATTGTATCAGTTGTGAAAATAATCATGATGATGTATGTTGTAAAACGTAAGTAACAAAAGTAAAATGTTCATGTTATATATATCGAGGTGTTTATTTTACCCAAAACCCGCCCCCTAGTACGGACGATACAAAACGTGCCGATACCTCATCCTCATATCACGCCCAATGAACGGGTAGAGCCAAGGAACTTTGCTGTCATATCTTGATTGAGAAGTCCCCGTAAACCTTCCAAAGGTTTAATCGCGTTTGAGGCCTCAAAAACCCGACCTATGCTTTGATTGAACCCTAGACCTCCAGGTAAACGAACTGGCGCTCAACGCACTATGTCGAGGGATCTTAAACGTGCACAATTTGTAATACAGGGATTAAACCCTGGACTCTCAGTTAGCGTCCAATAACTATGTCACCGCGGTCCCGGTATATGTATGAGAATCACGTCATTCCGAAGGTGTCAACTGCGCATTGTATAAGATCATATTTGTGGCCTATATTCAACAACAGTCATTGTTATTTTCATGATCCGAAAATTCAATAGATTTATATTATTTGTTTATTAGATTAATTAAAGCGATTTAGAATTCTATTTCACGCTGAAATGGGTGGGGACGAGGAGTGCCATGATTTTTCCGAGAAGGATTTAAGATTCGATTTCATTGATTAGTATAATCTGATTGATTTACCGTTTTTATTTTAATAAATAAGGAAGCCAATGGACAGTGATTCGAAAGCAAGACAAATTGATGTTGGTGGGTTAGCCTATGAACCGAAAACCAGTGTGATTGGTATATAGATAAAATTTACCGTATATATTATAAAAAAAAAAACACCCCAGATGACTTTATTTCTCAAATTCATATATGGATCAAGCCCTATGACCATTATAGTAACATCAAAATATGTCCTCTAATACAGGTATTTGAGCTAAGCCATGGCTTAAAGCTACAGCAATTTGCATAAGTGCCCAGGCTTTCTAAGGGAACGGGGGGCATCTTCAAGAAAATCTGTACAAATATGATATGAATTCAAGTTAGTTTCGGACTACCATACGGTTCATTTTGAAATGGAGACACCCCAGGGGTAAATACGGTACGGACAAGATATCCAGTGTTTTTCGGTCAGATTAAAAGATAAAGGGATTATCTATGAGATTACCTCCCATTGCTGTCGGTGCTCAGAGCAGATCGTGTTCGAGAAGAAGACAGGATGAAGCTGTTCTTCACTCTCTTGGTTTTGGTATCTCTTTTAGGCTCTGCTTTTTCTGGTGAGTCTTACAACTTCTTAGTTATTTATATCAAAAATTTCATTGAGGAGGGGGGGGGGGGGGGGGGGGGATTACTGGCCGTCTCGTGATCTTGAAGGATGGCGTTGAATACGACTGGCCGTTTCTACAAGTTTGACTGTACTTTTATTTACCACGAAAGAAAATGAAAATGAAATGAATGGAGTTTTACGTCCTACTTTTCTGCACCATGTGGGCTAATGAAGACGGGCAACGCCATGCAGGGTGCAATAAGGGAAATTTTGCCAGGACAGCGGCATTAGCCTGCTCTTTTTCGATTTCCAACTGTCGAGGGATCTTTAACGTGCACAGCCTGTAGCACACGGGGCCTCGGTTTATTGTCCCATCATAACGACTAGACACTTTTTCCATGTCAGCCCCTCGTACCTGCATCACTGACAGAGGGAACCGGGTTGAAAAATCCGAAGGTATTATCTCGACTTATGCCGGGATTGAATCCTGAACCTTCAGGTTAGCGAGCAAGCGTCTAACTCACTGAGCCACCGCGGCTCCCCTTACCACGAAAGAGACTGCAGAAAACCTTGCCCGACACAAAATAATTATCCCTATACCTTAGCGAAAATGTCGACTTGATAATGTAAGATTTTTATCATGGTTTTATGTCAGGATTAGAGGTAAGAGGAGGTCATGGCTCTCCAGATCAGATGATCCATCATTGCCACCCCCCCTTCCCTTCCCCCACTCTCAAATTTTAGGCAGTGAAATGAATGCCTTGCACCCCCTCTTATCCATGAAAAATTAAGACTTTTTCACATTGTAATAGCGTTGCATGGTCTTCTTTACATAGTTGATTGGTGCAGATTAGTAGGCCGTAAATCTCCACTTCAATTCATTCTTTATTGTAGGATGTACCAGAAATGCCCAGCTGACTGGTCAAAGGGGGATAATCAAATCAGATCATTACCCAAGCAGTTACCCAAACAGCAAAGACTGTACTTGGAGAATAAATGTCGTTGGTAGAGGCATCAAGTTTGCTTTTTATGACCAGTTTGGAATCGAAGCTCACGCCAGTTGTGGATACGATTTTGTTCAGGTAAGTTCAATTGTATGGAAGACTAAATAGCCCATTATTAATAAGGATTGGGTAGAAAGAACTATATTCAGTATTAAGACGGCAATATTATCAGGTTATTTGGTCCTCCGTACAATTGTCAATTTTAAGCGCATTGATGCATTCGAAACTTCGTGTTGTTCACAGAGCTCCTTTGAAAGGGATTGTTAAGAGTTTATGAATAGAAAGTAAGGGTGTTCTAATTCCAATTCCAACGAGTGACCGATGAAGAAAGGTCAAAAAGTCTTTTTTTGTTTATCCAGACTGTACATAGATGGACATTTATGATTTGTTAAAACTCTTAATTATATGCTATAAGAACATAATGGTATGATTAAGAATACATGATAATTCATAATTCAAATAGTTTGCTTAATTTGACACTAAAAATTAAGGAAACCCATCCATAACCGTATTTAATGTCACTTTGATGATTTTAATTCTGAAAAGTAGTCTGGATAATAGGCCTGATGCGTTTTACAATGTATTTTTCAGCTTTACAAAGTAACGACTCAAGGAGCATCATCAATAGGGAAATACTGCGGAAATAGATCACCAGGGACGAAAATAGTCGATTCCAACCAGGCCTTGATCAAATTTGTATCTGATGGATCGCAGACTGAAAAGGGTTTCTATTTGATCTACACCGCAAGTGAGTTAACATCCTTTTAGCTTTTAAATCCCTTTGTCTTGTTCTCCTTTGCATAAATCTTCAACAGACAGTAATAGATGGTTCCAACATTAACATAATAAGCCCCGCCCCGTAGTAACGGTTGCTAGCCCTACATTCCATACCAAGATGGTGTGATGATTGACCACGCTTGTTAACAGGCGACGATTTGATTGGTTTGATTCATTGTCATAGCGTGATTGACCATTAGAGGCCACGTTTTTTTTTGTTGATTTGAGTTGATTAGACTGATTAGTATAACCGTCTGTATTTCAAGTTACGGATGGTGGTTGGAGTGATTGGTCCGAGTATGCAGCAACCGGAAGCTGTAGTACCACATGTGGCAATGGAACTTTAACTGAGCAGAGAAACAGAACATGTAACAATCCAGCTACTTCCGGTGGTGGCACGCCATGTTCCGGAAGTACTCGAGAGACCAGAACCGTTCCTTGCTTTGTTCGAGAATGTCCAAGTGAGTATCATTCATAGTCCAAATTAAATCTGAAACACCCTTGATCATCGACAACGTTGTTGAAATTGTCAAGGTATACGGCGTGTGGGACAATTAACCGATACCCAGTGTGCTTTTGCACATTAAAGACCGATGGAAATAGGGAAAAAGTAGGTTGATGTGGCTATTTTAGAAAAATTTCATACTGAACACTGCATGGCGTTGCGCCAGGGCCCACTGGCAGGAAGCACTAGCTGTGGTATCAATTCTTACTCTGAGGAGAACTCGAACCCACGGAACCTAATCGCCTACCAGACAACAATACAATTCGTTTCCGGTTGAGCTATTTCACTGCCACTACTTATTAGCAGTGTATATTATACTCATTAGTATAATCCGATGCAAAAAATTTGGATTAAAACTCTATTCCATCTCATTGCAGTCGACGGTGGCTGGTCTTCCTGGGAGGCCACAAGTACCAGCGGATGTTCCGTTTCCTGTGGAATTGGTGGTACTAGGATTCAAACCTATTCAAGAACCTGTGACAATCCAGAGCCTCAATTCGGTGGTCAATACTGCTCTGGGTCTTCCAATAGAACGCAAGTTGTAACCTGTTCCACAGTTCCTTGTCCAAGTAAGTATTGTTAAAGGACGTTAAGCTCTCGTTAGCAAAATAGTTTACTTAAAGGGATTGTAAAGAGATTTTCTAGATTTTCAAAGTGTATCGGGGACACTGATAGCATCGATTTGCACCAATCCAATTGTAAGTCAGACGTCTTTAGTTCTTGCAATGTATTAAAAGAATTTAATGAAAATAGCCCCGACAAAGGCCATGGGATATTATTAGCAGCTTATTTTCGTATAGTGACGAATCTGTTCTAATGATTTCTCATTCTGTTTCTTTCAACAGTCAATGGTGGATTTGGAGAATGGGGTAATTGGACTAGACACGGCGCATGCTCGGTGACCTGTGGTGAAGGTTTGATCGCTGAAAAACGTAACAGATCATGTGACAACCCCGAGCCTCGTTATGGCGGTGAAGAATGTGTTGGCCAATCAGAAGAGGGCAGAAGTGTCGAATGCTCAATGGCGGAATGTAATGGTTGGTATTGCTAATCTGGCCTGAGCTTCATAATCTGAAACTTAAACATCGTAAGATGCTCTGTATCGTTTCTGAATTGACAAGAGAAAATTACTGTTAGGATTTCTAGATTTCACCCCTGTCAGTGATGAAGGTTGGAGGAAAGGATGTTGGAAATCGAAAACGAGAAGGCTGATGCCACTGTGCAAAATATCCCTCATTTGCACTCTGCATAGCGCCGCAGTCATTATTGGCCTGAACAGGCGCTGAAATGTAGGATGTACAATTCCATTCCACTTTACATTTCAGGAGTCTGTCCCATGGATGGAGTGAAACTGGTCTACACTCGAGATTTCTCCAAATATTATGAATGCCTAGACAACCAACCTGTGCTCAAATCATGCTCATATGGCTACAAATTTGACACAACGTCCACAAGCTGCGTCAAGATCTGCACCTCTTTCGGTACTGAAACCGTTGGGTATCCATCCGATTGTTTCAAGTATGTTCAATGTGTCTGGGGTATGGCTGTGGTCATGAATTGTCCACCAGGTACGGCTTGGTCCAGAGCCTTGAATCTCTGCGACCATACTGGAGTAGCTAATTGCGAATATTAAGCAATAACGGTTATTCGATATTTCAATGTTCAATATATTGTTTGACTTAGATAAATAAAGAACATCTTATTGATTATATTATTACCAATGTTGTTTTGGATTTCGCTTTGAGGTTCAGTAGACTTTACTAAAAGTAGGCTAGCTGCTTTGAAGGCTAGTCCTGTATGGTAAAGTTAATCAATCCAAAACAATAGACGTCCTGAAAAGCTTCTGGCAGTGGTGGAGCCAAAGGGGGAGGGGGCGTTGGGCAGAGAGGCGACCCACCCCCCTCGCAGCCCCGAAGGAATGTTTTTCGGGCAAAAATCTCATAACTAGGTTAGAAATTCGGGCAATCTGGGGTATTTCTCATTATTAAGTACTAATACATTTCAATGCTTTATATTTCTACAAATCACTGTTCTGAGACCAACAAAATATTTAAATATTTATAATTCTCTGTGGGCCCATCATTAGTTAAACTACGGTCCAATGACTAGGCAATCTTAATTTGAATTTCAAACTAAATGTGCTAATAAACAAGACAGGGGCGGCACCAGCCTCCTTGACAAATAGGGAGCAGATGAAATGACTAAAAAGGGGGGGGGGGACCAGTAGGGGTTTAGTTTCCAAATAGTGTAGCGCCACGCAAGCCTCTCATTTTGAGTCAGTCTTCCCCCTATTTGTACCCTCAGTCTGGCATTGGGGCCAGCTTAAGTTCAAGGTAACTATGCCCCAGCGGCAGCCCCCAACCACTACACCGATAGAAACGTCCCCAGTGGGTTTGGGCAGATATGGAATATGAAGTGTTGTAGCGAGGAACTAAATGAATAAACAAACACATTAACTTATAAGATTATCTTCAGCGGAATCTGTCTCCAAGAGTTCAATGCATAGAAATTCATTCAACCATTTCTGTAAATCATTTCTTAATTGATTGGCGTTTTCGCAAAACATTCAGCGACTATCCTTTCAGCTCAGCATCTTGTGGTTCCTGTGTCGGATTTTTCATCCCGGTTTCCAAATTTACGTTCCATTTTTTTTTATTAGTTTATACTTTTAATATAGCCTCCTCAGTTGGGGTCTAACGACAGGCCTCTTAAACGTTCGTCAAATTAACCTTTTGACCTACCCTGGTAAACACCGCGTAAGAAAATGCCAGTGCTGGAGAAGTTAGAAATTTGATTGGTTAAAGCAGACGTCATCGAGTTAGGTCAAAGGTTAATTTAAGGAATGTTCTAGAGGGCTGTCGTGTCGTTAGACCCTAACTGAAGTGGCTGTATTAAAGATAATGAATGTTAATTGAAAAAGGGTGTAATTCTAATTAGAATATGTTCCCACCTGTCAGCGATGAAGGTCAAGTGTCAAGTTGTGAGGCCCTGTGTACCTCAGGCTTTACAAAAAAAAGAATAGACCAATGCCACTATCCATGCATACATTCCTTCATTGTACACAGTATGACGTTGACAATTGACCTTTAGCCCAGGTGCAAAAAAGTAACAAACACGTAAAACTCATTCTCATTTCATTTATCTCCTGAACGTTGTGCTCAAATACCCTTCCACAGTTGAAAGGTATGATTAACGTTGTGCTGCTCGATAAACAAATTTCATTTGCATCCAGAAGAGCAAAAATCATGGTTCTGTTGTTTTTTCTTGTATTTAGTCAATTTTTGGTCATTGGCACAACCCAAGGAACTATTGGTAATTTATGTAGAAACGAGACAATTTCGGGGAAATTAGAAAACGCGACATTCACCTCTACCGCCCGGGTCCATAATTTCATCCAATGTGTGAACCTTGGAAAGTCGTTGAGAAAATGCAAATCGGTCAATTATAACATACGGTCTAGGGAATGCTGGTTGAATTCGGGAGTAATAGACGACGTCTTCGTGAATTTCGTGAATCAAGCGGATTTCATGTACAGCGAGATTTGTCGTTCGGTGAGTATAATACTGCGAGTTTCAAGATTTTTACAAACTTTTTTTTAAAGTCGAAAAACTTGACTAAATTTCAGTTCTCTTGGGTGCAAGTAAATGTTGTGATATTCCAAGTTGGTTTATATAGCTCGTTATAACTTTAATAAACTTACGGGTAATATTGCTTGCAATATGGGTACTTTAAAGATGGGTTTCCTTATTTTTTGGTGTCAAATTAAGCAAACTTTAGCTAATTATGAATTAATAATGGACATGTGAGACAAACTGGTATTTTCCCAAGTCATTAGAACACCTCTACTTTCTATTCATATAAGTATAAGCATTTTCATTTTCATAAATGAAAATAAGGGAACCCATCTTTAATAAGGTAGTCGAAGCATTAGCAATAGACTACAATTTGTTCCTTTTTTCAATATTGTTCGTACTATTCGTACAAATGAGACGAAAACTCTGTAAAAAAGAAATGATAATCAGCGATATTTTTGTCAAATTTTGATCGTGGACTATGTATTCAGTTATTTTTTATGTCGAGTTTTCTCTCGTTAAAGGTGAAGATTAATCCCTGCAGTAAGTGTGATGACGATTCAGTTTGTGTTCCGGTGGACGGAGGAAGAGACACCATTTGTTTAAGTCAAGGTAAGAGTTAGTCATGAATGCCCCGGTACTCATACAAAAGCTCAAACCTCCGTAAAACTTCCTTTATTTATGGCAATGTCTATTTACCGCGCCATGGTTTACAGACACTTTCTTGACATACGAGTCATGACTTTGATCGTTACTTGTCGATTTTGTCATTATGATAGTATAATACTCTTACATAGCCCGACAAATCTAACCCTATCCAGTTCCTCAGATGTGATATCGCCCGCACAATCATGGCTGCGACTCGCGACCTTTCTGAACTCCCCCGATAAACCACCAAATTGTCTAAAGTTTCAGTGTTTCCAGCTAGTGCACCCCAGCGGACAATACAATGTCCAATAATAGAAGATAGAGAGGCTATGGTTGTCGATACTTCTGGTTACAAAATTGGCTCTACTGGAAGACTAAACTGTAGACACGGATATATAGGTCCCACCAAGACTATGAATATAACGTGTCTGTCGACTGGAAATTGGAGTCAAAATACCATCGACTGTGAGAGTAAGTAAATACAACCAATTCCTACTTTTCATGCACCATAGCTGAGTATTTTGGTGGCATAGTGACAATACATGATCAGTCATCCATCCGTCAATTCAATCGCCACAAATGCTTTTGATGATATAACCGTTTTTATAATTTTCAGTAATCTCTTGTGGTAATCCAGAAGCTGACGACACAAAGACTGTCCAGTTTACTGCTGTAACATTTGGATCCACTGCTGTGTATAGTTGTAGGCCAGGGTTCAGTGGAACTGGAGATAGAAGCAGTGTCTGTCAGGAAAATGGTTCTTGGAGAACTCCAAATCTGACTTGTACACGTAAGTAGCAAGTGCTTTCATATCAGTGTTGTCATCGTCGTCCGACTAAAGAACCAGTAGCTATCTTCGGCAATCTTCGCCAGTTTCAGTAAAGCAGTGTGCTAGTGTAACTTTCCCGGTAGGCCGTTTGCAACAGAATCGACAGTATTCTAAAATAAATCCTCTTATCTCACTTTTACAGTGATTTCTTGTGGTGATCCAGAAGCTGACGACACAAAGACTGTCCAGTTTACTGCTGTAACATTTGGATCCACTGCTGTGTATAGTTGTAGGCGAGGATTTAGTGGAACCGGGGATAGAAGCAGTGTCTGTCAGGAAAATGGTTCTTGGAGAACTCCAAATCTGACTTGTACACGTAAGTAGCAAGTGCTTTCATATCAGTGTTGTCATCGTAGTCCGACTCAAGAACCAGTAGCTATCTTCAGCAATCTTCGGCAGTTTCAGTAAAGCAGTGTGCTAGTGTAACTTTCCCGGTAGGCCGTTTGCAACAGAATCGACAGTATTCTAAAATAAATCCTCTTATCTCACTTTTACAGTGATGTCTTGTGGTGATCCTGAAGCTGACGACACAAAGAATGTCCAGTTTACTGCTGTAACATTTGGATCCACTGCTATGTATTTTTGTAGACCAGGATTTAGTGGAACTGGAGATAGAAGCAGTGTCTGTCAGGAAAATGGTTCTTGGAGCACTCCAAATCTGACTTGTACACGTAAGTTCCAAACTGCAACTCAGTATCGTCATTGCAGTTGCAATGAAGCTACAGTGGCTTTATCATCATCATCTTCAGCGGACGACAGCGGTGTTGTCAGAAAAATTGCCCCTGGAACAGCTGCAACAATTCCTTATTTCCAAAAGTATGTGCCTCGTCTCTCTTTTACAGTGATTTCTTGTGGTGATCCAGAAGCTGACGACACAAAGACTGTCCAGTTTACTGCTGTAACATTTGGATCCACTGCTGTGTATAGTTGTAGGCGAGGATTTAGTGGAACCGGGGATAGAAGCAGTGTCTGTCAGGAAAATGGTTCTTGGAGAACTCCAAATCTGACTTGTACACGTAAGTAGCAAGTGCTTTCATATCAGTGTTGTCATCGTCGTCCGACTCAAGAAGCAGTAACTATCTTCGGCAGTTTCCGTAAAGCAGTGTGCTAGTGTAAATTTTCCGGTAGGCCGTTTGAAAAATCATCGGCAATATTCTAAAATAAATCCTCTTATCTCACTTTTACAGTGATCTCTTGTGGTGATCCAGAAGCTGACAATACAAAGACTGTCCAGTTCACTGCTGTAACATTTGGATCCACTGCTATGTATAGTTGTAGGCCAGGGTTCAATGGAACTGGAGATGGAAGCAGTTTATGTAAGGAAAATGGTGCTTGGAGCACTCCCAGTCTTACATGCACACGTAAGTTTACTAATTCAACTTCCGTAGCATCGTTTTCGTCGATGTCCAAGTCCACAAAAACATCATCACATCATCATTGTGATATGGATCATCTTCATCATCGCCGTCATTACTATCATCATCATCTTCATCATCTGGAACAGGTTCATCATCTTCTTCGTCATTAGTTTATCCATTTCTAATGAATGTCTTTTCTCTCACTTTGAAATTCCTTGTGGTAATCCATCATCGTTTACCATTCTCATGTAATGTGGCTCTCGGCAAAATCACCAATAGCAAAAGGAACAGCAACCAAATATGGTAAACATCATTATTCTAATATTAAGTGTTCCGTCTCTCTACAGAACAATCATTTCCTCCTACTGTCTCCTGTGACAACCCTGTAGGAGATGACACAAAGACTGTTGAGTTCAATGAAGTAACTGTTGGTTCTGGAGCACATTATAGCTGTATCTCTGGTTACACAGAAACTGGGGATGGAACCAGTGTCTGTCAAGAAAGTGGTTCATGGAGCAACCCGAACCTGGTTTGCGCACGTAAGTAGCAATTACTTCAATTAAAGTTTTGTTGTCTTCCAACATAAGAAACGTGGCGAGGGTAGCGTGGGTATCAGCTTCATCATTATCATGAACGACATCAGTATAATAATGCATCATTCATCATCATTCATTACCGCAATCGACATCATCATCATCATCATTGATCATCATCATTATAGCATCCATAGTAATATGGTTTACATCATCATTTTGTCTTTTTTCAGAACGACAGTTTCCTCCTCCTGTCTCCTGTGACAACCCCGGAGGAGATGACACACAGACAATTAAATTCGATGATGTTACAATTGGTTCGAGAGCACATTATAGCTGTATCTCTGGTTACTCAGAGACTGGGGATGGAACCAGTGTTTGTCAGGAAGACGGTTCGTGGAGTACTAACAGTTTAGTTTGCACACGTAAGTGTACCGTTCATAACCGTATTTTACCGTAAGTACACAAAGGATCCTTTCTATCAGCTGGACACTGGTCAAACCTCATGGTTTTGACTTAATTTGAAAAAAGATGACTTATTCAAAGTCATCGGACTTTCACAACGCTGACTGAGATTAGAACCACCATCGTTTGTTCGACGTCAACGCCAACGAAATAATGTTAATAGGGTATCAGAATAATGTTATGGATGATCCTTTTTACTGGGCACATACTGATGCTTGGGCGGTTACACTGTTGAGATCTTGATGGCAATTTTGCTTGGTTTGGTTACCTTAAGTTCTCTTGAAAACCTTAATAATGAGATGTTTCCTTCTTTTCTTTATAAAGCGACTACCGGTTTTATTGATCCTGGAAGTTCATCCGAAATTTGTCCAATATTAGATAGTACTGACACCATGGATGTAAATGTCAACGGATATACAGTTCAGTCAATGGCAAAATTGCGTTGCAAAGAAGGATACAAGAATACAATGGATACAATGGATATGGTGAAGACGACCTGCTTATCAACTGGAGAATGGGAACCATATAGGATTGAGTGCGTCTTAGAGATATGAATTTTAAACTCCTACCATCTCCCAGCGGAATTAGTGGTAGCCGCTTGAAACTGGGGGTACCAATAGGGGACAGAATGACTGACATGTCAATCATGTGCGTTGCTATGAGTAATTCCTTAATTCTTATATGACGTTTCCACTCTTACCCGCTTCTGGGGCCATATTCTTAAAAACTTGACTTAGATAAAACCCATAATTTAAATAATTAAGTAATCTGATTGGATAATAAAATTAAATTTAAGATCAATATTAGTGATTGACCAATCAGATGACTGGAACACTAAACTCATCTTAAAGTTCGGTTCCCTTATTTTCATTTATTTATATATATATTCCATTATTGGACGACTAATACTTATATAAATCGAAAACAGAGGTGTTTTTAATGATTGGGAAAAATACCAGTTTGTCTCAGAATTCAATAATTAACTCATAATTAGCTAAATACGAGGGGATTCCAATGATCGAGCACTCAAGAGTGACCCCTCTGCGCCCCCCCCCCCCCCCCCCCC